ACGGAAAATTAAACTACGTTTTATAATTTTCCCCTTATCATAATCTGTCAGAGTTAGTTATGAAGTTTGTTATACAAAGGGAACAATTGTTTTGGGCCGTTCACTGTATATGCCACGACTCGCGTAATAGCCTTGAACTCGAGTGGTGGCATATACAGGGAACGCCGCAAAACATCGACAGTTGCCTCGGAACCATTCCCCGGCTGTATGCACATGGACTACGCTCTGCGGCAAAACGGGGGATCATTAAACGACCCGCCCGTGTCTTCAAGACGCCGCTGCAACGTCGCCAAGGTCCCCCCTGAGGAAGGAACCGAGTCGGTTGAGAAACGTCGGCTTCTTACGTATTTTCACGCACTTCACTTTGATTGGAGTTAAAATGGTTTTCCCAAGCTGACTCGTGATTGACGTGTGTGGTTTACCGTCCCAAAACCACCATATATGACTTGAGAGACGCTGTAGTAGAAAGCTCCGGGAATTCGGACCACCTGGGGTTTTTCAACGTGCACCTAAATCTTAGCACACGGGCCTACAGCATTTTCGCCTCCGTCGAAAATGCAGCCTCCCCAGCTGGGACTCGATCCCGCGACCTTCGGGTTAGCAGCCGAGTGCATTGGCCACTGGATCACCGCGGCGGGGCTAGATTTCCCAAGCAACAGTTCGTGCGCTTCTCAAGTTCAACTTGATTGTTGACGTTCGAAGCGCCGGGGGAGAGCGCCGGCGTTTACCACAGGTGTAGTGTGGTAGCGTTTACCACAGGTGTGGTGTGGTACGGCACGTACGTATCTTCAAGCACTCGCCGGCGAGATTCTCGATGCGCTGGACCTTCTCCATACTTCCGCGAAAGCTGACAGGAACCGTCGTGCCCGTTACGTCGGTGCCCATTGTATCCAATTTGTCACTGACGGACGACCTGGCCGAAGCAGGTTTACGAGCAGCCATCCCGACTATGCAAGACAAACAACAAACCGCAAGGCTGCACGAAAAGCACGAACCAAATGGAACGCGCCTTGAAACGCGCGCGCCATATGTGATGATAATGTTTGCGTGTCCTGATCGGAACAATAAAAAAAGTTAATGAAAGGTAGCAAGAAAAATCATAGCAGGTCTATGTCACAAACAACTCCAATTTTCGGATTATTCGGGGGCCCCATCTTCCTAAGAGGGGCGCTTTTGTGTTCGGGGGACGACATCCGGCGACTAACGACCCAGCGTGGCGCCGGCTTGTCTTCCCTGCACCTGTACCGAAAGGGGCACCGGCGGTCTAAAAAAGGAAAATTACTCCCAGATGAGACGGGAGCACGTGTACGTCCCTGAAGAGGTTTGGACTGCATCGGAAAAGGCAGTTGACGTAGAGCCAGCAACAAGTGCAGTCGTCGGTGTCGCGAGTCTCGCGTAGGCGGCGAGCATGGAGTGACCCGCGCAACGTATTGAGACGGCTGCAATTCCGGGCACCCTCGTCGTCTACCAAGCCGGCGAGATCTCCAGCGGCACCCGTCAACTCCCCTACGTGCACTAAGAGCTGGCCTGGTCCGTATGGAACTTTTTATTGTGACTTTTTTTAAACTGTTAAATTGTTTTAACCAGCCTTTTTTTTAACTGTGTAGTTGTGTGCGCTGCGACGCACATAGAAATTCAAAAGCGCGACTAATGATCATTCTGTAACTATTTCCTTGTAACCCTCTTTTCCGATTTCCATCTTGTTGTTATTTTATTAATGTTCCGCATATTTGTCTTTAGTTTGTATCTTTTGTTGTGTTTTTTAGCATATTTTGTTATATCGCTGTTGTTTCTATCGTGCGTATCAGTTTTCCTCCTTTGATATTTTTGTAATCTCCTGCCTTTGCCCTTGTTTCAATTAAATGCTTGTTAATGTGTAATCAAACTCCGTGTCTGCTCTATGAGTGCGTCGGTCAGGCCCACACATCACCACACGTGCAACCCCGCACGGGTCGACCAACCCGCAAATAAATTCGAATCGCGTAGGCGGCGAGCACGGAGTGACCCGCGCAACGTATTGAGACGGCTGCAATTCCGGGCACCCTCGTCGTCTACCAAGCCGGCGAGACCTTCAGCGGCACCCGTCAACTCCCCTACGTGCACCAAGGGCTGGTTTGGTCCGTATGGAACTTTTTATTGTGATTTTTTTTAAACTGGTAAATTATTTTAACCAGCCTTTTTTTAAATATTTGTAGGGTGCGCTGCGTCGCACGTTGGAATTCAAAAGCGCCACCATGAGCATTCTGTAATTATTGCCTTGTATCTCCTTTGATTCATGTCATTAGTTTAACATTCCGCGTATTTGTCTTTAGCCTGTATCTTTTGTAGCGTTTTTAGCATATTTTGTTATATAGCTGTTCTTTCCATCGCGCCTCAGTGTTATTCCTCTCTGTTATTTTCCTGCCTTTGCCCTTGTTTCAATTAAATGCTTGTTTATGTGTAATCAAACTCCGTGTCTGCTCTATGAGCGCGTCGGTCAGGCCCACACATCACCACACGTGCAACCCCGCACGGGTCGACCAACCCGCAAATAAATTCGAAATGTGCCACTTCGAGGCCTTTCAGGCGTCGCAGGCAGAAGCGTAAAGTGGAAGCCTGCGAGTCTGCCGCACGTCGATGTTGGATCGGCGGGGCCTCACCCGAAGTGTGTGACAGTCCATAAACATTACAGCTGTTCACTGTTCTTTTTTTTTTAAATCTCACAATTGTAAATTACTAATAGCCAACTTCCAAGGCACTACAGTACAACAGTACACGGTAAAATTAGGCATCGTCTGACTGCTGGAGTTCGTGCTGAACGGTTGTGTCGCCCGCGTGATCTCCGACGCCAGCGTAGCTCTCGCCGATCGGCCTGACGCCGCTCTCGCCGAACGATCTTGTTTCCCCTCTTTCCGATCTCTTTCTTCTTTCCGTCGCTGCTGTGCGGAGTGCTCTATCTTCTTTATTTATCCACTATTCCTTTTATCCCCCTTCTCCCATCCCCTACAAGGCAACGTCACTAGCAGAAATAAGGTGCTTTATCCCATTCGTCAAGCTCCACTCATTCATTCCGATTCATAGCCTATGCGCGCGGCTATCCCCCACAGTGAGTCGCGCCAAGATGTTGATCGAGGAACGAACCTACTGTTCTCTTACTGACCACTACTTTAGAAGCCCTTCTTTTGTTAATGCTGTCGCTGCCAGGAGGTGAACGTTGGTATATGAGGGTGCTCGCTTCTATAGGGTGCCATAAAGTTACTCTGAACAGTAAAACTTTACAGGCGTGCGCTTGTGAGCATATATGTCAGCTGCTAGAAAACATCTTATTCAATAATAATACCGTATGTTTTAAGTCTCAAAACCACGAGTTATTAGATATGCGTAGGACTCTGGAAATTTCGACCACCGGTGTTCTTTAGGGTGTCCTGACATCACACTATATGGGCCCATTTTGTCTCTAGAGTTGCAGTCAGGATCGAAACGGCGGACTTCGGGTGCCAGCAGCCGAGCCCTTGACTTCACCTCGGAGGTCGACAATCGACGTTATTATTATTGAATGCGAAGCAGCTCTTTGACTAGTGTCCATCCGTGTCTCCGTGGCAACGCGCCGCGCTGCGCTCCCCTCGCCGCAGGTGTTGGGGCTGTGCCAAGTAGGTCACGCCTATCCTCGCAGTGCGTGGTGACGTCACTATCTACCTCGCCTGCCGCGCGCTCGCCACATATCTAAAGCGTGTCACCTCTCTCTCACTTCACTTTCTCCACCACTCGCAACGTTCGAGCACACATATTGAGTGAACACTCTTTCGGCTCGCTTATCTGCGGTGGAGAGGACGCAGGAAAGCGAAGCTCCTTCACCCACCGAAACATACGCCGAAGCGGTTTGGCCGAACCAGACCGTCGTCAGTGTTGCGAGGGTTAGCAGAGCCGATCGCGTTCGCGAATGGCGACGTCGCACGAGGCGCAAGCGTCGGCAGCGGAAGACCATCGACACCGACGAGGCGCGAGTGTCTGTGTCTTCTCGTATCCGTCCTGTTTCAGCGCTGTTACTTATTTTTTTTTTGTCAGTCGAAAACGCCGATCGCGTCCGTGCGCAACGCTGCTGCTTCGCATCCCATAAGGGTTCCCTTAGGAAAGATGCCATTAATGTATTATTATTAGGGGCGAGGCTTAATTCTCCTTATGGTCTAGGGCAGTCCATCCCTCCGGCGTAGCCAGCACAGCATATCCACAGACAGGCAGACGGACGGATGCTTCACCCCACTTATCATTAACTCCGTGTCGTGAGTAATTATTATTGTTATTATTATTATTGTTGTTGTTGTGTTGTTGTTGTTGACTCAAACATGATTAGAGTGTAGCTGGATGCGTAGATCGATCGGATTGGTATGCGAATGTGAGACGTGTGCCCAAACCATTGCGATGCTTCCTGCGCAGATTCCGGCACCACAGCCAGAAATGGTCTCGGGTGCCAATCTACCACGTAGGCCGCGGACGTCGGAAGACACATGCTTCTGCCATGGGCGTCAGCAGGGGGGTAATGGACGCTCGCCCCACTCAAGCCACACCAGCCCAAGCTATACAACAGTCATCCTACTGTACCCCTGGAGGCCATATCGAATATTACGACGTCTGAAGCCACCGTAAAAGCGTACACACATACACCGGTTTCAGATAACGGACCACGATTTGTCTCAGCCATCAGTTTCAGAAATTCGTAAAAATGAACGGGATCAACCGTGACGACGGCTCTCCTTTCCACCCACCGTCAAATGGCCTGGCGGAACGCGCTGTCAGCACGATCGAGGAAAGACTTAGAAAAACTCATGGGGACAGCAAGTGCTACTAAAGTCCAGCAAGTTCTCCTTAAAACGAACGTTATTGTGATCGGTGAAGTTTGGTTGACCGGCGTACAATCACCAAAAGGTGCCTTTGATGTTCAAAATTTGGCGCCAAGCCGATTATTCTTCGAAACGAGCCAATCCCGTTTTGGCGCACTAGTTTTCTTTGCGTTGTTATTTGCCGCACAACGCTCGGGCCAAGCGCGTCGTGATATCCCGTTCCTGTCAGAACAGTGGTGGGGAACAAGCATGCTGATGTACTGCGGTTGAACTCTGCCGAAGCCCGTTACCCATTCGGGAAACAAGTTTCTTAACGCGGCGATACGCTAACATGGGCGGCATATGGAGTAGGCAAAACGTCCGGGTGGAAGAAGTAGACTTCGCCGCCAACTATGCCTACAGGTATCCGCCGAAAAATGGTAAGTAGTGTGTGCCCTTCTCAGCTGTGCTCCAATGGCGTCTTGACAGTCGACGCACCGTGCATGTTTCGCAGCTACTTCCTTTTTTTCAAGCGGGCAAGTTATTAGAAGAAACTCGCTAAATCACGTCAGATGCAGCGATCATTCCGCACTTCTCCGTTTGACGCCGCATTTGCGCTCAAAAACTGGTTTCTGACGGTGCACCTATGAAATGTTTACATCCTCCGAAACCCGACCGAAACCTACCTTACGCATCTTTATTTTTTTAAAGCTGTACCAACGAGTTGAGGTCGTAATCTCCGTGACAGCTGGTGCTTCTGCAACACTTTAGCCTTGAGAGCCTTGTTTGATATCGTATCGCAGACAAACTTTGTTGGTAGTTCAGCTAGTCGTTAAACGGGTGTCAAGTGCACTTGCAATCGCGATAGAGCCCGGATCAGGCTCGAATCTCTTTGTCACTATTGGCTTCATTAAGAGCCAGTTGAGAGCAAAGAAACTGGATACTGATTTGGGCTCGATCGCGATCGAAAGTTCCCCTTGTGTCACCTGGATCCGGAGACGCCCTAGATTGCACTGCTGATCACCTAGCTATCTTCGATCGCGATCGGCTTATTTCGCTAACGATGTGGAAGGGGGCCATTCACAGTGGAGAACTCGGGCACTATCGGCCCTTGGTGGTGATCGGAGGTACACCTTTAGTCACCCTCATCATGAGGTAGCACAGCCGATCATGCAGTGCACTTTCTACCGGGCTCAATTCGAGATCGGGCTCAATTCGCTTTACCGCTATTGGTTTCCTTGACAGTCAGTCGAGATTTGGTCTCGATCGCGATCGAAAGTGAACCTTGTGTCACCTGTATTCTGAGGCGCCCGAGATTGCACTGCTGACCAGATGTCGCATCCCCCGGGCCATACCTTGATCGCGATTGGCTTATTTTGCTCGTGATGCGGAAGGAGGCCAGTCACAGTCGAGAAACTAGGCCGCGATCGGGGCTCGATCGCGATTGAAGGTACTAAACCTTCGGTCACCTTTATCCCGAGCTTGCACAGCTGATCATGGACCGCATCCCAAGGGTATATCTTGATCGCGATTGGCTTATTTTGGGCACAATGTGGAAGGGGGCCGGTCCCGTTCCAAAAATTAAATCGCGATCGGAAGCGCCCATACCTCAAAACTTACGTTTGGTGGTCTCTGTTTTTCGACCACCGAATCAGACTTGTGCGTTCGTGAACTGCTATAATAATAGTATGGGGGGTTTTACTTGTCAAAACCACAAGATATGACTATGGCGTAGTGGAGGACTCGGGGAATTTCTACCCCCTTGGTATCTTTATCGTGCATCTAAATCTTAGTACGCGAGCCTTTAGCACTTCATCGCCATCGAAATTAGACTGCCGTGGCCGAGATCAAATCTGTGGTTTTCGGCTCAGCAGTCAAGCATTGCAACCATCCGATGAACTTCTATGTCATTGTCATTCGCAGGCAATTACTTTGCGAGTCACTTCATCATGGGAGGGGAGCGGTTTGACGCCAATCAACCAGAAGCGTACCTGTTCGGGGAGAACACCGACCTCAACTTCCTAGGGGGAAAGCCGACTCCTGTACGTGAGTTTGTGTGTTTAAGTGATTGGTGGCCTTGCTAATCGGCCAGTCATGTCTGTTAACCCGTTAAATAAGCTTGTCCAGTGCAGTGCGTTGGCTTCGCTTGTGATATTACCTATGGAGTTGTCCGTTGTGTTTGACGGGATGATTTTTGCAAAACTCGTTTTTACAGCTGCCTGCAATTGACTGCTGTAAGTGAAACCGATGTAAGTAGAAAGCGCATAGTTACGCTAAATTCGTAATTTTTTTGTTAAGTATCGTTGAATTGCTAATGATTCCTGGTAACTGTGTATGACTGCACCATTGACTTCTACATGACGCAAGCTCGTTAAGCACCCCTAGACATTTTCTTGCAGCCTGAAGAGAGCCATCTAAGCGTGAACAGCCCTGTCCCCTTAGCTTGCGGCTTGCATCGATGTGACCATGTAAAAGCTGTTGGCAGGGGATTCAAACCTGGGACCAATATCATTGCGGGTTGGCTGCCCTGTCTACTATCTCATTTAATCATGAGACTTTGGTTGTTACGTTGCATTTCATAAACAAGCTTATGGGCAGTTAAAGAATAGACACCAAATGGAGCTAATCACTCATGTGTAATCCCCCAAAAAATGAAGGAAGGTTCATGCGAAGAAAAGTGCTTATGTTTACTTGTACCTTTTCACAGCAAACGGTTCGGTAATAAGTTTTAATTTTTTGTAATTGGTTGATATCACTGCCCGCAGGTGGGAATGCACTGACATTGCTCGCCGTATCAATGTCGCATTCTTTCCCAGGCTGCTAGCCATTCATCTTTGTACAATCGTCATTTCTGTTACATTTCTATATGTGCTATAAATTCTTTGCTCTCCTGCCGAAACTAATTTAGCAGAAAACGGCATTCTATAGTGACTAAGTGCTGATTCATTGATGATCAGTGCATATTCAAAGCTGCAGATATGTTGCTTTATTAACACCAATATTTAACTTGCATTCCAGTCAGGGTATGTGCTAATGATTGCAACTACAGGTTAGCTCACCGATTGACCCGTCAGTTGGCATGTGCTGCATCCGCTGACTTTCCGCAGTTCCCGTACCCAGCGCCACAGGCCAACGAGCCGACGAGGCCGCTGCGAAGTCTAGTCAACATCCGTAAGGAGTCCTTGCGCTTTGTCAGGTACGTCGTCTGCTGAATATTCAACTCCTGCAAGCGTGGCCGTAATGTGATGTTTAGTCAACAGTCGGTGTGGCTGAAAAATTCCTTACGTGCCAATTTTTACTCTTAACGGGGTGTGCATTGCAGGTTAATCTGCAAAATATACGGTGGGCATCGCAACCTATTACTTAGTGAAATGGTCAGTGTGCTCTGTTTGTTTTGCAGCAAAAGCTTTTATGAAGTCACAACAGGGGTCGTTTTTGATGCTGCCACTGGTGTACGTAACCGCTATCGTCCGAAATAAGGAGAGGGACAAATAAATGAAAAATATCCAGGCTGGAATTGGGCTCGGACATGGGTCCTCCTCTGCAAAAAGACCCTATACAGGCGTTGTGTAGGGAAGGAGCCGCATTAACACATGTCAGTGATGGAAGTGGTGCTCCGATTGCTCCAAACTGCGCCAAAAGAGAAATGCTGCTACATACTGCTCCAAACAGTAATTTTTGTTAGTAATGGATTGGTCCAAACCTGCTCTGAAATGACACTGAGAGAGTGAGAATGACTAGCTTTTACTGTTTGACCGACTCATAAATCCTAGAGAAACTGAAAAGAATTTGTGTACTATCGGCCAAGTGTGCACCTATTTCGCAGCATTATTGGCTTTGATCTCTCTTTTTTGTTTTTTCTTCCTTTCAGCTAGACATGGGGGCTAGTGTGGTGAAGTGTGAAAATGAGCAGGATTGCTTTTTACCGATTATCTACTGCTTATTGGACAGCAGTTCTATCGGACTGTGGTTGCTTCTAAGATGTGGCATTCAGCTTTTCCGTTTTGATTTGATTTCTGCCACAAGTACTAGGATCTTAAGTTGTGGGTCATTTGGCAACACATTTTCGGCAACCTGCCATTGTTTGCTTCATGTAATTAGCATTTTTGTGTGTAACATATATTTCATCATAAATATTTTATTTCCGAGATGCTTCAATAATAAAATGCTCCGAACGACAATTAATGTGTAGCAAATTCAATGTCGGCTCCTAAAACACCAATAGCTGCTCTTAACTAGCATTTTTCGTTTTTCTGCTCTGAAAATATTTATGGCTGCTCCGAAGCTGTAAATTTCCTGCTTCAAAGTATGCTCCAAAAAAAAAGTCACTTCCATCACTGATATATAGTGTGGTGGAAGAAAAAAAGAAAACTACAACCAGGCATCACGCAATGACAGTTTAGTAACAAGGCGTCTCACAATATGAATTGTGTAACGAGTGGATTGTTGAATGCTTCCAACCCGTTACAAAGGGCTCGGCCAGAATTCTTCGTTGTTGTTAGTCGCCGCATCAAACATGTGCACATAATGCCTTGCAGATGCGTAGTGGTTGCCTCGCTTCTCCACAGAACGATGAATAATACCGCATTGTGTGCTTGCCAATTTTGACAAAAATTATGACTTGTGGCGTAACGGGTACCTTGCGAGCGTACTTGCATTAGCATGCCCCAAGAGAGTTCCCAACCGGTTCTTGAAGTGCCCCTCTCTCAGCTTTTGCCTTTACTGCGCTGCGCTTTGCACACAGGCCCGTCGTTTATTTAATTGGCAATAACTGCTACACCATCCTACTTGCCCATGCCACCCATGCCTGCAGTGAGTGAGAATTTCGCTTCCAGTGCTCATTGGTTGCTTGTTGGCTGGAACCCCTTTGCGACAAGTGTAAGGCCGCTTAGGGTATGGGCGTAAAGACTCGTGCTGGAGGTATTTCAGACACCTTGCAAATCAAGGGAATGGTACCGTAGCAACTACAAAGCTATGCCAACTGGCACAGTGATCCGCCTTGCGGAATTTCTTAGGTTCCAAGGTGGTTGAATCGTGCAAGTTGAAACTAGGACTAGAAGGATAGACGATGACACACTGAGTGCAAACTGCAGGAAAAATTTATTTCCTGAGCACACAGTTTTTATGCCCCGCACAGGTTCAACAAGGAGTGCACGACAACCAATTCTTTAGAAATGTGAGCTCTTCGCGAAACTTGTTCATTTAAGTACATCTTGGGTTCCAGTATCTGAACATTGTGTGAGGGGGGGGGGGGGGTGACAATAATAAACGAGTATTATAGAACGGTGCTACACATAGCAAGTTCAATATAACATTAGAGTAAATAGAATAAAAAACTTTGAAAGTCGGGGGAAAAAGAAAACGTCGCAGAACATGTGAGGCAATGACAAATTGCACATACACACACATACACAAACTTATGCTGTGTTGATTTGAATCTAGGCTGATAGCTTTTTTCTAATTTCTTTGTATCAAACTCCAGGGTCGACTTAGATTCGGGGATTGTGGGAAATGCGCTATTTTTCATTTAGAAAAGTGGTGCACAACTAGGGCCCCCCAGAAAGTAATGTAGCCGTTAGTAGCCGAGCCAACACCTGGCTAAAGTACACACACGTGAGGCCGCCACTTTGATCTTTGTAACGAGTGTTGAAGTTAGGGATGGGCAAAGCTGCAGTGAGGCGCTGCAGTGAGTGGCTCCGAACGGCTCAGCTCAGTAAAGCATTTTGAAAGGAGGCATTGCCAAACTAACACAGCGATTAAGCACGCTGTGTTTGTGCTGTTTCTGTGTGTTTCTTTTTTTTTTTTAATATTGTTTAGCACTGCTTTTTCTGGTACTGGTTCTCGCACTTTCCTCAGCCACATTTTCTTCTAGCCTTGTGAGATGGATAACTGTTGCTTCCTGGGAATGTCTCATTAACCGGTCTGCATCTCTGTTCTGCCTCCTGCGTGACCACAGGATTCAAGACGAATCGTTGAAGGCGGATGACGATACGACGGAGGTGGCCCCGCCTTGCCGGTACAACATTGAGTTCACGTTCGACACGGACGTCCGGTGCGCCATCACCATTCACTACTTCTGCGCAGAGGAGATCACCAGCAATGGTCTGATGTAAGCGGCTTTTCTACCAGCTTGGATTGCACACAGAGTGGCCGTACTTTTCTCAGGTGATTGGCGCTTGACGTGTCGGTGCCTGTGATCGATGATGTTTCCTCTACACCGCCTCTGCATGGCTAGCACTGTGAGAAGCTGCTGTGGCCCGTAATTCTGAACTTGTCTCTTGCAGGTCTTGGAGAAAATCTCGCAATAGTGATGGCATTGCTAAAAGTGATCGCTCAGGAATGCTGCCGCACGAGGTCCTTTTACAGCATAGTGATATGGGGAGAGCTATCTATGGGGTTTATGGGAACGAACTATGAGAACACTTTCAGATTCAAGTGCAGTTGATTTAGGGTTGAATGAATAGACAGGAAAGTGTAGCAAGAACATCTTGATTCCTAGCTTGTTAAGGCTAGTTGAGATTTATTCTAATTAGTATTTGTAATAAAATGGCGATAGATACATTAATATATAAATTATATATTAGTAGTATATAATCTTAGTCAAACCATAATAAAATGGAAATGTGTATGAGGAGTAGTCAATTGTAACACAGTAAAAGGAGGATAGTTTTGCCAGAAAAGCAGCACGAGGTACTTTATACAAGTATTACGAACTACTGGATATGGTGAATCTGTTCCTTGTAAGACGTGACTTCACTGTGATGAGGTTTAACTGTAGTTAGAAATGCAATTATGACTGTAATTCTCGGTTTGGTGACCTGCTCTTTGCTCGCTCATAATGTGATTGTCCGTCTTGCTCCTTGTATATAGTTACAGCCCAAGAAATGCCGAGATGAGTTCGGAGACGTACCACTACAAACGCGGTGCCAACCAGCAGTTTAGCCAGTCGTCGCACATTTTCGATCCCAGCCTCTACTGCGAAGAAGAGGTGAGTTGGCTGCCTTGTCATGTTCTTAGGCATATCCATGTGTAGTTTTTAAAGGGACACTAAATAGGAACAGTGACTTGGTTTAGATGGACAAGCTGCACTCTGAGAACTCTAATATTATGTGTTTCGCTATCGTGAGTTCATTATTAGCTGAGAAAATCGAGGTTAAAGTCTCATTTTCAAATTTTGCGCTGACATCTCCGTGCCTGACATTTAAGTTTTCTGAATGCACTTTTCATATTTTCGGAACGTAGGCTCAAAGAAGCTTTCCGAAACTTTGTATGAGAGAAATGTGGCACCCACGGATGACAATGTCGTTTAATTTTATTGATTAAAAGCTACGTAGAATCCAGTAGACGCCTTCAAAATTTACAGTCTAACTCGGCTACAACGAACGCCACTTCAATGAAGTTTCCGCTACAACAAAAAATTCATGGTTCCCCGCCAGCAGTTTATAGGAGTCAATACATAAACGTTCTCGCCACAACGAATGCTTTTTCTTCTGCCGTCCTGCTTCAACGAAATTTCACGATGCAATTCCAGGCTCAGATATTTATTGCTATACAGTAAACACAGTCTTCAGCATTTTCATGAATTTTTAAAGCTTGAAAATACGCCGACGGAAGTCTAAAACATGTGTTGGCACCACCAGAAACTGCCGCTGTTTAGCAAGCGTGAGCGCAGCCATTGCTCGACAGCGATGGCAATGAGGCTGCCCTGCTTTTGCCACTGGCTTGCTTTTGAGCCGCAGACGAACTGAAGCTGAAGCTCAGTCGCTCAGTTCATGGTTTTATTTCACGCAGCTGTGCGGAACGATGCCTTTTTCGATGCCAATGCGTATCATCTCGCTCGGTCATTGTTGTAACTAATCATAGCAGCTGCTCGCCTGCATTATCAACAGAACCAGCTAGCCGCGAGTGGGGATGATAACGTGCAGGAATTTTAGACCATACCTGGTGACCGAAAAAGCAAGTGGTACACATCAACATGCCACATCTGACTGGTAATTTCAGAGTGCTCATGCGGTCCTTTGAAGATTGTTTGACCTTTAGCCTAACCCAGGCTCAGATACTTATTGCTATGCCATAAACCCATTCTTTAACATTTCAATTCATTTTCAGAGCCTAAAAATGCGCAACGACGTCTAAAACACGCGTTGCCACCATCAGAAACCGCCACTGTTTAGCAAGCATGGGTGTAGCCATTGCTCGATAGTGATGGCAATGAGACTGCCCTGCTTGCTTGCTCTTGAGGCGAAGACGATCCAAAGCTGAAGCTCAGTCACTCAGTTCATGGTTTCCTTCTCGCAGCTTCTGAGTGCAACCACGGAACGATGCTTTTTCCGATTCCAATGCTTATGTTATTCGTGCTTGGCCAGTGTGGTAACTTATCAGAGCGGCTGTTTGTTCACATTATCAACAAAATCAGCTATCCGTGAGTGATGGATGATAAGAATGGCATAGAATAAGGCAAAATTCACCGCTCCACGATACTTTGCCTCCATCTCGGCGTGGTCGGATACACTTTGACGGCGGACAGCTGCTGGTGTTAACGTGTTAACGCAGCTGTTTTGTTCATTCACGGAAGTGGTTGTAGGCTTTGTTTCAGCGTGCTTTTCACCATGGCCTCGCTATGCATGAGTGAGAATCTCATCGTGACGCTGCTGGGAAAGAATAGGAAGCAGTGGCCATTTTTTGAATTTTGAGAATAAACGTTCCTTTGTTTTGCTAGCTCAGATCAGCTATATTTTTTTTGACATCACTAAATTTCCGCTTCAACGAAACTTTTTTCGTGCCCCGTCAGTTTCGTTGTAGCGGGGTTCGACTGTATAACGCCAGGGTGTTTAGTGTGAGAGTCTCGAGGTGGCGTCTCCACTCTCATCTAACTTTCGTGCATTTTCTCACTTACCAAGCTTCATGTTGCGGTAATAGTGGGGTTTTCGGAATTGTAAAATTATACTTTACTAGTATGCGAAAATCCTTTTGCTCCTTGGGGTCTCTTTAACAAACTAAGAAACGAGTTTTTTATAGCAGAATCACTTGACGGCAAGCGTGAGGAAACCTTGAAACCATCTTTGTGTGTCAAGTTCTTAAATACTTACGTATTTACGTATTTACACTGATCTCATGGCTTTAGATACAGAAAGAATTTGCTAGACTGAGCACTTACAGATCTCATGAAATGCAATTTACAAAGAAAACATATAAATTATGAGTTAAAAAAGTATGTGGCATACAGTTTTCTTATTCCTGTAATCAGGAATAGAGCCGTCTTATCAAAAGAATACTGAATTAAAAAAAACTAGAGGAAGATCTTTTATCTGCTCCTTCTATTAGAGACTCATGTAGTATCTCATACTGCCCTGACCACTTTACCTATTTACGTAAGGAGCGGCAAGGTCATTGGCTTCTCAATGCTGTTTTAGACCGACAATTCAAATGCGAAGCTCAAAAAATTGTATGGCAGAATGTTTATTTGAGACAATCTGATGCATTCATTCTACGGGGCTTGGAGTGGTGGTTTGAAAGTGCCCGAATTTCTAAGCACGTTCAAACGATAGAGTGCTCAAAAATCTGCTACTGACTGTATCATTTTCAACGGACAGGTTCTTATTTCAGAACTCCATTACCGTAGGAATTTCATATAACAGGCATGGATAAAATGTTTCATGCCAGCAGCGAGACGGTGCTGCCTGTGTTGCTACCTCTGCTCCATTAAACGTGCATTGCTTGTTTCCATGCAGCTCAGCTACAACTTCGAAGATGAAACCCTGCCAGTTGTCATCCACTGCCTGGCCGAGGAAGGGGATGGTACGTTGTGCAACTTTTGATTTCTGTCAACATAATGTTTGTGCATACACTTTAACCTCGATATAACTAACCTAGATATATCGAAATGCCTGTAAAATACCTGTAAAAGTATATGAAAAATAGTCTTGCGGTAGATATAATGTTAAGAATAAACTTTTGTAGCGAATTTCGGAATATAACGAGCGTATTTTCATGTAAAATACAACTTTGTTATAATGAGGCTTAAGTGTATTTGCAGAGGTTAATGCGAACAGGTGTGCTAGCTAGCCCAAGCTCTCGCGGCTACTACTGAGGAGCGCTGCACACCTGTCTGAGTTGTACGGCACTCGCATATTGAAATGTAAAAATTTAGGGTTAAGTAATGCACATACTTTAATTTCTATCATCTACGGTTCAAGTCATATGAGCGTGATTTTGACTGGAACTCCTTACATCAGAGCCAACATTGGAGCTTTAGGGGCCAGATTTGTCGCTACATGGCGCACCTAATGAAAGCAATTGCTCTTGGCATTCATACTATAATAAATGTCACATTTCAATTCGTGAGTATTGTACCTCCTAACTCTGAACAATAAAATTTGAGTGTGAGCATTCAAGCATTGTAGGAACTTACTTGAACTACCTCAAAATGTGTTTGCGAAGGTGGGTCGTCTGCTTATCACCTTAGCAGCTTAGAAAGTGCATTGGAAGTTCTTTCTCACTGTGCCTTCGTTCGTGGACGTTCCTCGGCGCTACAGAGCCGCGCCAGTCGCACGTGCTCGTCGCCGTCGTGGAGAAGAACTCAGACAACACGTACACGCTCAAGCCGCTCAAGCAGAAGCTCTTTGTCGATGGCCTCTGCTACCTGCTGCAGGAAATCTACGGCATCGAGAACAAGAACGTGGCCCAAACCAAGGTGAGGCCCAGGTGCTCGGATTGCGAGCATTTGCGGAATACGTGATGGGTTCTTGAGGATAATGGTTTTTTTTTAGCAAGTTACGGAAATACGGTATGCTAATACCCTACCGTTCCTCTTTTTCCGGGCGTTGACCTTTGACCAGTGAAGGCACCCCGCCCCCCACCCTTCCAGAAACACAAAAGCTTTTTTAATATTTACTGTGGAGTTGTCATGCCTCGTCCTGGTCTGTCAGCCTTCACATTGTTAACGAGGAACCTGTCGTTTGGAGGATGCACTGTCACTGGAAAAGAGCACTACCGTACTACCTTACCGTGTTTGCGCACCGTATTTGCTTAACTTGCCAAAGGACCCTACCGAGTGAAGCCTTCTGCAAGACGACATTTTCTATCACGAGAATGAAGACTTGTAGGTTTCCTGCTACACTTTTGCAAGTAATCATTGAAGGGCTTCAGTAAAAGAGTTCGTTGCCTCACGAATCAACTGCCGTAAGAACTTCTAAAATCCCTCAAGCACCAGCAAAGTTTCGTGAATTAGTTGCACGCTTCGAGTGTTGCCTTTCTCCTTTCATACTAGTGAGGGAACAAGAGGCCATGTCCATTCATTAGTGTGTGTCGTGATATTGATTGCCTTATTACTTTATTTTCGTTTGTATGCCTGGCTTATTTTCATTGTGATTGGAAGCTCCTCAGTGGGCACGTGGCGACATCCTGTGTTGACCGCAGTAACTACGCAGGTCGCAGTGCTTTAGTCAACCAATTGCTGGGGACTTTGGGTTGAGGGCTCAGTCATTTGGGTTTATGGTATAGAAGATATGACGATAGAAGAGGTAGCGATTTCCAGTTGACTGATATTTAATTTGAAATCCTTGGCCACATGCTGTGCTATAACGTTTGGCTCACGTGTTCTCAGGAATCCCAACTACCAATTGGTAGCATTTTCTGTCCCTACTGAAAAAATGTCACTGGGCTCCTTTAATTAAAGCTGGGGCAGAGAAGAAATGATAGGACGGTAACAATGCTGGCCTTCACCTGACTTGTCACTTTTGAATAAGTGTAAATTCAGTTGAAAACCAAATACCATAGAGTTCCCTAAAATTAACTAGAGGGGTCTCTTGCGCTGTCATTGTTCAGCGACCATGGGAATGATGGGTAGTACTTGGATTTGCCTAGTCTTCATGCATGCATGCCTCGAACACAATTTTGGCTTTGTTTATTACTGTGTTTTGATTTTGTTTCTAATGAAAGAACGGACGAATGGTCATAAACTTTGTGAAATGATGTGAAATCGTGAGACTAAGAGGTTAAAGTAGTAAAGTGCTGCTGCCTAACACTTGCTGATTTTTGCTTCGTGACGAAGCAACTTCGATCCACGCGAAGCCAACAGGGGTTGAAAGTATGGAAATTAGACAAATCCGTGTACTAAACCATCATTCCCATGCTGGCTGAAGCTCCCGTAGACACTAGCATTGGAGCTCCCTCTAGTGTATTTATAGGAAACACTATGCCAAATACCACGGCACCCACGCCTGCACCTGCGAAAAATCTATGAGAGTGGCCCTATGGTGGCCCGGACGTAGAGCCTCCCAAGTTGCCCAGACATGGGGGGGGGGCAGCACCACGTCTGGGTCATGCAGGCCAGGTAGACAGCCATTTGGTGCTACAAAAGGCTGCAAATGTGCGAAGACATCGAGAACAAATACAGTGACTACACAAGCAGGCGGTGAGGAGGTTGCGAGGAGACGATCGGTTATGTTTGCTGCGTAAACTACGAAGTATAGGAAGCAACAACCACGGCCCCAAGCGTGTGGCGATGGTTCGTTGCAGCGCCCCCGACTCCCTGGTGTGTCAATGTATGGAGCAGATTTTGACCCCACCCCCTCTTAGGTGACTAGGGGAGTGGCTAACCCCCTCTTGTGCACGCCTGTCATCTGTTGCCTCCTCTGCGTTTCTTACTGCAAGATTGCCAATTGCTTAAACGAGATACTCAGTTCAGACTGTGAATTCCACTGAAAAGCTGTGCAGGTTCGTTTAGTCCTTTGACCATCTTAAACGAGCTCAGCTCGTGCTTGTCAAGCTGTGCCCAAATACTTTCAGACTAGTGTCGCTCATCCGCTTCAGGTAACATCTCCACATGGGCGTTTTGAACAGGACCTGCACATTTCCAAGCTAGCTTGCGTGTCACTTCACTGATGTCAGCGCTTGCATGGCAATTTCTTTTATTTTAGCCACCATTTTACATTTTCTCACGACTTGTGTTTAGAATATCTCGTTCAGTTATCGCATGCAGTGCTCGTTCATTGTCACAGAAAAGAAGCCTTTCGTCATTGTCCAGCTCTTCAAGGAGCAATTATTCAGATTCCGAAATTAAGTTTGATACTGGAAATGAGAGTGATAGTAACCATGGCATCGGGATTGGCACTTTTGCAGACGAGGAATACTGTTTAATGGGTGGCATCGTTATGCTGCTTCATTATGCTAATTTGATTTAACTTACACGGCAATCGTTTTTTCTTTTCTTGTCCATCGAAACATGTCTTTTAGAACCGGGATATCCATCATCAATTTTTTTTTTAATTAACTTTTAGACAGAAACACTCAAGAAACAATGGTCAAGGGGTCCTTTTAGAACCGGGAAATCCATCATCAAGTTTTAGAAAAAATGAACTTTTAGACAGAAGCACTCAAGAAACAAAATGGGTAAAGGGATATGAGGAGCAAAACGCTTTTTCTTGTATTAGTAAAGCACAATTTCACCATCCTGAAAATACCACTCTTACCGCGACACGAAAATTCGTAAGCGAGGAAACGTGCGAAAAAAATAACTGCCTTGAGATTCCCGCACCGAACACTGTGAAATCATAAATTTTGAAGGTGTGTACTGGGTCTTACGTAGCTTCTAATAAAATAAAATTGAAGTACATCGTAATCTACGGGTGCTATAGGCTTAGCATACGAAGTTTCAGAAAATTATATCAAGCCAATGTCACGAAAATACTGATGTCGTGTAACAAAACAATGTAGAACTTCTGGCGCCACGCTCAGAGATTACGGCACGGAATTTAAAGATAAAACTTCAACCTCGATTTTGTTCGCTAATAATTAAATTATGACAGTGACGCTTATGACATCAGAGTTCCCAGAGTGCAGTTTATCAAGCTAAAGCAACTAATTGTTTTTTGTTTATGTCCCTTCAAGGGGTCAATCCTCTCTCGTCATGTTAACGGTGGTGCTTTTTCTTGCGCACAGCCTCCCACGGGTGATGAGGAGACAGAGGACAGTGGTGCCGAGTGCGTCATCTGCATGTGCGACAGTCGGGACACCCTGATCCTTCCCTGCCGGCACCTGTGCCTGTGCTCGTGCTGCGCCGACTCGCTACGCTACCAGGCCAACAACTGCCCCATCTGCCGGGCGCCCTTCCGCGCCCTGCTCCAGGTGCGGGCCGTGCGGCGCACGCTTGCCTCGGCCGTCGCCGTGCCGCACCTCGGCGCATCTGCTGGAGACGCCCAGGTTCGTCGCCGCCTCTCGGTCTTCCTCGACTCAACATCGTTTGTGTCTCTTGTGAAAACTTTCTGAGTAGCCTTCTCTAGAAGGCAAACCTGAAGTGTCCTTCAAGTTTCTGCGTCTGGACTCCCTTACATAAATACAGTCGAATCTGGATAATTCGAACTCGAAGGGATCTGAAAATTTGTTCGAATTAAAAGAAGTTCAAAATAATGAAAGCTAAGTAAACGAAGGGCTCTTCATGTAGTGGCGCATGTGCATTGAGCTAACACACGAGGGGGAAGTTTCGGAAGACTTGCATTTATTCACGAATTTCAAGACATCCGTAATTAATTGAAGTAATCGGTGATGTGCGTCTGCACACATTTGCCTTGCAGCGAGTCAATCAATTTCGCACGCAGCTTGCAAAGCATGTCTATTTCGGTTTCAGCGTTCTCCTGGCAAGAGAAGTTGCGCGCGGCAATGTCCAGCGCCGACACTCTATAACGACGACAACGACGACTGCATCTTCGCTGCTATCCTCTGCGTTAAAGCTGCAGTGTTGCTAGCACGTGACGAGAAAAGAGAGTGTCTCCGCGTGTAGAGAAGCAGATCAGCATTTGGGAGAAAACCAACACTCCACGGCAGCTTTTTTTTTTTGCTCTCTTGGCGTTTGCGCGCTGAAAGAAGGGTTACGTGGCAGGGACAGGAAAGGGGGAAGCATGGCACTGGCACGTGAGAGAGAGCCACTTTCCACAACAGCTTTCTTTTTTTTTTCCCTCTCTCTCTTTGCACGCGGCGTTGGAAGTAGAAGGGTCTTTACGCGGCAGGGGCGGAAAAAGAAGAAGCGTGGCACAGGCGCGTCGCAGGTCGGCATTTGAGAGAGAGCAAACATTTCAGCGCAGCCTTTTCTTTCCTTTTCTTTTCCTTCGCGTGCAGCGTTGAGGTGTCGGAAGTGCCGCCGCCAGATTGGTTTGGGTGCTGAGAGCATTTTTGGAGCGTGGTATGTTCAAATTAACCGTCCCAAGTGCTTGCGCGTTCGAATTACCAGCCGTTTTCGCCCATTGGAATACACATAGCTTTGACAGGACCTCATCGTGAGTTCAAATTAACCGTAAGTTCAAATTAAGCGTGTTCAAATCAATGAGATTCGACTGTATGATGAATTGCACTCCCCTTCGCCATTTACAGTGGTAATTGGACGAGGACCACGAAAAGAAGTTGGCACTTGCGGCATGATCCTTTATTTTCTATTCTCATCTAACTAGCGCTGTGAGTTACGCAAGATGAGCAAAGTAGCGATTTGGGTGAGTTGGTTGAACTCTTTCATGGCACAGCATGCACACATGACAAAAAAGAAAGAAATCGATGACATAATCGCTCATGTCATCGGTTTGATTCCTTATTGCCTTTGTGTGTGTGTGATGTTTTATGAGAAAAAAGAAATTGTCGGAGATCAATTACCACCAATTGCTTTCTCTGTTGAACAGCTGTATGCAGATCCATTGCAAATATTACATGCAAAACTAGAAAACCGTCAAGTGAGATTAAGAGACTCGATAAACGGTAATCTATGAAACAGAAGTGCTGTTTAAATGAAACAACTACCTCTCTATTCAGATTTTTGCAATCCTATTAATCTCTTCATAAAGGGAACTTTTGTTAAACGGACACTTTCCTGGTCATATTCAGGTTCATTTTGACGAGACTCTATCGTCTATCAAAGTCTCGTTCATATCCGCATCCATATTCACCACAGTCGCTGAAAACTACCCCTGTAACTCTTTTGGTTTTCGATGGACTTGAGAAATTTTTGCCAATCAGTTCGTGAGTCAATGAACTCTGGATACTGAGATTATTTGGTGATTAGTTGAATGAGTGGTTCAGTGCACCTTTAACTGAGAGTTGGCCAACTGCATCTGAATTTATCTTTCAGACCTGCCAAGACATTCCGCCGGGCTACGAGGTCGTGCCGCTCGTGGAAGCCCTCAACGGACCGGTCGCTGGCTCTGCGCCAGTTGCCGCCAGTGAGTAGTCGTGGATTTCATTTCGCTCCTAAGCAGCAGCGGATTCTGCCGGCCGAATCGGTGGCGCACCTAAACAACTTAGGGATCGGATTGCAACCTGTGAGATTCAGAACTTTGTCCACGGGTAGAACATCTCAAAGGACCCCCCCCCCCCCCCCCCCCACAAAAAAAAAAAAAAAAAAAACCACATGGTGGTTTAGACAACCAAAATGAAAGGCAGTGTGTCACCACTGTCGTCAGTAACGGGCAACCTACGGATTTGCCTTTCCTTTTTTCTTGTGCGTCAAAAACGTTTGCGTGATGGTTGAGTTGAATTGCTCACCTCCGATGTGCTTTAAAATATTTATGTGTGTGTGATCAGTGTCATCTGCAGTCTTACTGTTTGCTGTTTTTTGAAAAGTTGGCCGGTTTTTATTTCGTTTTCATCACCATGTGTTTTTTTTTGTGTGTATGTTTCTTTTGTCTACATCGTGCGCGCGCGCGTGACCACCGCACAAGCGACGCCGGGTTGGCTTCCCCTCCGTCTCCTGCGGCCCCAACTCCTGCAACGAAGAGAGCGAAGTACGGAGCAAAGGATTTGGCTGCGAAGGTGAAAATATTGAGGGCGTTGCAAGCGGGAGCATTTCGAAAAGAAGTGATAGAAAAGTTCAAAGTGAAGAAAAGCACGCTGAGCACTTATGCAAAGAACGAAGAGCAGATTATGTAAGCGTATGACGGGGACATGTTTGGCGACCAAAGGAAGAGGCTTCGAGTGGCGGCGCATTCCAAGCTAGAAGAAGCGCTGTTGCGCTGGATTGCCGTTTCGCGCGATGCACGTTTGCCCTTGAGCGGCCCTCTTATCTGTGCACAAGCAGAGAAGTTCGCGGTGACCATGAACATTGACTCCTTCAATGCGTCGAAAGGCTGGTTCGACCGCTTCAAGAAGCGACATGGACTGGTGTTCCGCAACGTGTGTGTTGAAAGAGGTGTGCTTGACGAAAGTGCTGTTAGGACTGGCGGTCTGGACTATTTGTGCGCTTTTCTACATACAAGCCGTGCAACATTTTCAACGCTGATGAGAGAGCGCTGTTCTATAAGGCTCTGCCTGACAAGGCAATCGCGTTTAAGGGGGACCCATGCGTTGGTGGAAAACAAAGTAAAGAGCGCCTGACAGTTCTACTGACTGCTAACATGACCGGCACAGAGCGGCTGCTGCTGCTGGAGATCGGGAAGGCTGCAAAGCCAAGTTGTTTCTAGAATATTAAGCAGCTGCCTATCGACTATCGGTTCAACAGAAAGTCTTGGATGACTGCCGAACTCTTTCAAGAGTGGCTGCGTCAGCTCGACCGCCACTTTGCGGCCAAGGCTCGGAAGGTGTTGTTCGTGCTAGACAACTGTACTGCGCACACGAAGGTGTCTGGGCGTGAGAACATTGAACTGCTATTCCTGCCTTTAAGCACAATGGCTTCCCTGCAGCCGATGGACCAGGGAATCATACAGTTTGTGAAAATCCGCTGTCGATGGCAGGTACTCGAGCGGATGTTGCTCTGCATGGATTCAGGCAAGCAGTACGAAGTAAGCCTGCTAAGCGCAATCCACATGCTGACATAGGTGTGGAACAAGACACCGCCTGCAGTAGTCGCAAACCGCTTTAGGCATAGTGGCTTCGTGCACGACGCTGCTGATCCTGGGGTGGTGGCCCATGAGGAAACCGGCGAAGAGCAAGATGGCCGCTATGTGAGCATCATGCCAGCTGATGCACCCCTGGGTGATTACTTCGCAATTGACAGCGATGTTGCCGTGGCCGGCACAGTGATCGACAGCGATATCGTCGCCTGAGTCTTGGACGGCGAAGGGGTATCGGCTGACGAGGACGGAAGTGATGCTGACGAGCGTCCACCCCACACTATGATGGAAGCTGCGCATGCATTTGCCGTTTTGGAGGACATATGCATGCTTTCCTCGGACAGTGTGGGCGGACTAAGCCACTTGCAGGAACTTCGCAAAATTGTGACTTCGTCGCACATGGCATCCGTGAAGCAAACCGAGATCACAGACTTTTTCAAGAAATAAAAGTCTGATCGTGTAGGAGACATTTTTCAAGTGTTTTGTTCGTACTCGCAATAATTCGTACTCTCGGTTAATTCGTACTCTCGGTTAATTCGGATATTCTCTCCAGACCCGTGAAGTCCAAATTAACGGGGTTTTACTGTACCAAAGAACAGGATGGGCAACTGAATCTGTGAGAAGGTCCCGAAGCGATGGAAGGCGTATGCCAACGACGCCATACTGTAGACGTATTGGACGTGCAAACAGTTGGTTTCAGTGCAGGTTTATGCCTTTGGAGTTTGGACGTTCGTGTTGTGTCTGTGTCTGTCTGAGGATTAAGTTGAACCTCTCTCTACTGAGAATTAATGTAGAAACAACCTAGCTAAAGCCTAGCTGCAACCTCGATGCAACCTAGAACCTGCGTCACCTAGCTACGGCCTAGAAGTAACCCCGAAGCAACCAGACTAGAGTTCGAATTTGCCCAGCTGCGCTGTTTTAAGCCTTGCGCGGCTTGATGCTAGCTTCGACATTCTTTTTTTCTTCGAATTTTGTTGCCAAATGATGCGGGTAGATGTAAGAAATTTATATTTTGTTTTTTATTGACATTGTTCGTTTTGTGTCGCCCAGTGCACCTAACTGTTGGCCTGCCACCTGAAGCGTCAACGCCCGAGGGGCCAGCAGCCAAGCCTCGAAGGAGTGGAAGGTAATGGTGGCAATTCTTGAAGTTCTCTTGTGTAAGCAGATCATCTCGGACAGAGGTTGCATAACAAGAGGGCTGACAGTTCAAATTCCATTAAATCCTGGGTATTATTTATGATTTTAATTTTTAACGTCTACTAGTAAGCCATTCAAGTGAATACAATACGTTTTCTTCCTGAACCGGAGGGGCGGTTCGTGGCTCCCCTAAGCACGTGTTTAATTCTGTTTGATGTCCTTTTTTTTCAGGCGGCGTTCAGGAAGCACATCATCATTACAGACTGACAGCGCCGGAGCCGCTGCAGCTGCTCCCGAGGTCGTGGTGGCCGCGGTGGTTTCGTCGGATGCCGAGAAGGGACGCGCGGTCTCTCCACTCGGTCCAGATGTCCGCTGGCACCGGCGGAGTTCCTCCCGCGCCGCGCCGGAGCAGGTTCGTCTGCTGTCAGAGTCGTCCAACGGCTCTGCGGGTCGTCGAAAGGTGAGCCGACTTGCCGCTGGCACCGCCTCTCAATTGTGTACGGCGTTTGAAGCTGCTGTCACCTGTAAGATGGGGTGTGTTATGCAAGCTTTACTTTTCAAGACAGAAACCTTGTACTGTTCTAAAAATGAGATAACACGGACACCAAAAGGAAGTCAGGACAACACATATGCCTGCTAATCACTGAAAATGTGCACAACGGCAGAACATAAAGCAGGCACAAAAGCTTCTCCTTGCATGCCCACACAATATATGAACCTATCAAACTGGCATGCATGGTGGTCTACGTAAAAGATAACGGTTGAGGCATTTGATTTCATCTTTGTGCAAGTTCATCGATGGTTGGCTCATGCATGGGCTACCACTACGGTTGATGTCCGTCTGATTTCCTGGACCTTCAAAGGACCGTGCAAACGTCTGGAAAATGGAGCCGGCCGGAAAAAGGAATGCCAGCGAAAACACGCTTTAATAGGTATTTTTCGCTGACAGAGATATTCGCCCAAGGTGTTCAGTGTTCCCATTGCAATGCAGCAAGTGCATCGCTTTGATGGCTCTGAAAAGAGCCGAAAGAAAGAAAGAAAAATTTTATGTGGCCTGCGCTACTGCATTTTAAACACTTAAGCACTGCGCTACTTCATTTTAAACACTTAGGTGCAAGGAAATAATAATAATTAAGTGACCTGTTTTTGTTTGCACGATGTCCCCCTTGCTTGCGATGATGTCTGCAGCAACTTCATGCCGTCACCGTACATCGGTGACAGTGCCAATGCTTGCGTAAGCTCCAGGCTCGTTAGCTGAGTTGGCACTCCCTCTTTGATCTCGGTGTCATAGTCATCGTAACCCTTCGTAACTTGACAAATGATTTCGTGCACAGCTCCAGGTCTTCGTCAGCGTGGGCGAAGCCCTCAAAGGTTATCTTTGCTGGAATTGAAACACTGGCATTATGCAGTTCGTTGAAAACAACGTTCGCGGATGGAAGTTGTTGCACATGCTGTCCACTCCGGTCGAGGCGGTAGTGTCGGTGTCCAGTATGAAGGTGGCGTGGCGAAAACTGTTCTGTTGCATAATCGCCTTTCTTGAGTCTGCAAACATTCCGACGGCAGACCAAAGGTGAACAGCGTAGCTTTTGCCACTGTCGGAGCACAGGCTGCTCAGCACCATGCGGCCTAAGCTATAGCCAGAGGCTACGGCTGGCAACGGATTGGAGTGCGCTGGATTACAGCATTTTTGGTTTCGAGGGTACGTCGGCGCAGCGCGGTGTGTTCGAGGGTCCGAAAACAACTAAAATGGCGCCATCAATAGTGACTTCGTGTCTGTGGTTAGTGGTAAAAAATCCAGAAAATCGGATGGCAAAAGCTCTAAACGTCCGGAATTTTGGACTTTTGAACACATTGACTCTATGAGAAACTTGACGGTGCCACAGATGAGTCAGGGAACTAAGGCATGTCTGGAATTTCAGGCGTCCGAGAAATCGAACGTTGACTACATTATTGATATGCCTTGCCTCAACCATCAGAAACATTTCTTTATTCTTATGCCGGTACAAAACTGCGCATTCATTAAATATTGCCGTGCACTGAGATTTTCAACAATGTAAAGAAAAATTAGAAGCTGAGCTTCCATTTAGCGATCTCTTTTGTTTCTATAATCTCTGGCTAATGCAACGTCCTGTCTGTCCCCCACGCATGCCAGATTGATAGGTTCGCATGCTGCGTGGCCCATGTGAAGATAAGTTTTCGTGCCTTCTTACTTTTCTGTCGTTGTGCGCACCTTCAGTTGTTTGTAGACGTTTGTGTTGTCTCAACTTCCATCTCGTGTTTGTGTTTGCATGTCCTGTCTTTTTAGAATGAGTACGTATCGACTCGCTCAGTTCTTTGCTATTCTAACCTTTGTACATTTCTAGAGTCAAAGAATTGTTCACCGGCATGAAGACGAGTAGTACCAAAAGCCACGTGACCAACTGGTTGTGTCATGTGACGCAGCCACGTGGTAACGCCGTAATGACGCCATCAGTTACAGCGTGTTATGTCATCGTTTCTCTGTCAAAGATGGGCCAGTTTTGGAGGTCGTGCAACAATGCTTCAGCGGGGCGGAGAACACACTTGACTGCAAATGTCAAAGTAATTTATTAGCTCTTTTTAGCATAATGGCAACGATCAAGCAAACAAGCTTGAAAGATTGTTGAATTTCGCAGAAAGTACTGGAGCTGCTGTTGTTTTCAAGTGCTGTCGTTTTATTGGTTCAGAACGCGAATTTCAGTTGATTGTGGGCTGCGTACCATGGGTGGCAAGTGGTGTTGCATTGTGGTTACACATGAAATTGTTGACGTCTATTTATTATTTATTTGAAGTGTGTTTTTGTGTGGCCTGAAAGATAACATTTTATCAAGTTGTGCACTGATAACTTCTCTTTCTCTCACCTCACATTTTTGCTACTATTTTGCGCTCCATTAAAGCTGGCAGTCCGCACGTTACACCCAAGAAGGATGGTTGAGTATTGGGACCTTTGCTTTCAGAGGACGTTCGCAGTTAGTCTTTCGTCAAGTATGACCAACTGGTTCATCTGGAAATTCATACTGAATATTCAAAAGGCTTATCTGGGCACTGTAGATCAAAAGAACTTGGCGTTTTCATGCTTTTATTTCGCGTACATGCAAAGATCGCGACTTGTAGCCAAACAACATCACAGGAGCAACATGGAACATTAGCGAGGCATACATTAGTCTTAGGCTAGTTTCTCTTTTACCCATGACCGTTTTCCCCATGACAAAGATGCACGGTTTTTGTTTGGAGACGTGACTTACTTTTATCATTGCCGTGCACTTTTGACAAAGGAGAGACCACAAACTGTAGGGTAATCGTATTCCCATTGCAAACCAGACGAGACAAATCCTTTGTCGCTTCTGATTGAAGTACTTCACTACATACAATAGCTTCTGTAAAAGTAGTACTGTGTAGCGACTCAATGAACTTGGGGCATTTCGGCAGGAAATTTCGATTTTTGTTACCTTTTTGGGAACGTTCAATGTTCACTGCTTGCAGATAAATATCTAATGCAATTTGAGTGGGGCATTGAAATTGGTTTTGGAAGAAATACAGTATGACTGAGTGTACAATTATTAAGTAATTATTTACATTGCAGTCACAATTAATTGCTGTCAAATAAACCATAATTTATTCTAACACTACCACTTGGTTTACACTTGTTCTCCAAAACCTTGATGTATGATTAAATAAATTTTATGCATTTATAGACGTTCGATCGTAATACGTTGCAAAGGGCTAATCTTTCAGAGTACCGTTTCTCGCTGAATTTCTTTGCCAGAGCTGCCATCTTTGCAGCTGTTTTATTCATTCACTGCATAAGTAAACAAACGAAACCGTATACCCGTTTCAGGAGAACCTCTTGTTGGGCAAGCTGGTCGCACAGGAGAGAAGACGAATTCAGGCGCACGACAAACACAGGCGAACACAGTTACGGGTGAGCTTTTCCAAAAAAAAAAGGCAGTGAACAAAAAAAGTGCGCTTCAGCAACAACCGTGAGGCTGTGTTCGTCTGCGTCCGTCTGTGTTCGTCTTTTGCTCGTGCGTGTGTGTTTCGTGCTCAGTACAACGCCTCAGCGATGTTGAGAAACTTGTACAGAACTTGTGTGTTTGCGACTGAATGGCGCTATGTCGTGGCAAAACTGCCAAAGCTGCCATAGTGGACTACGCAACGTTCGTTGCACTGCTAAGTCCAGGGCTGTGGTTTTGACTCCCGGCTGTGGCTGCCACATTTTGATTGGGTAAAAATGCAAAAACATTTTAACTAGTGACGTCACGGACATATTTAAGAACCTTGGCTAGTTAACATTGATAATTATAAGTATTGATTGCATTGCATTATATTGTCATGTTGTTGCGGAGAGCTGAAAGATGGAAGTGCGTTAAGGAAGATTTGGAGAAGCTGGCTGGTGGACGATCTTGACTTCTCATTCTTGTGACACATGAAAGCTGTAGCTCGAAGCTCCTCTTGTTTTCTCCCGTAACGAAAGCGCTTGGCTCCTATGCTTCAGCGCACCTGCGACCAACTTAAAGTTTAAAACAAGCCGTGTAGCTAGCATACCGGCCAAATGCACCCTGCGCAGCAGGTTGCCAGCTAAGTTCACTGTGACAAACCGAACAACAAAAATGGAGGCAAATAGTATCATGCATTCACAGACATTCGAACGCACAAATGTTGAGGGTGCATGACGCGGTGTCGGCACGGTTGCACTTTGCATGGCCTTTGAGATGGCTCACAATTGGCCTGTTTCAATGGCCCGTGCCCACCATCAGGAGGCTTTGTTTTTTGCTTTGTTTTTGTGCCATTGTGCTTGCATGGCACTTAAAGCAAATAGGTTTCTGCTTCATTCAACAGACAGCGCTGTGTCGCAAAGCGCGTGACATTTGAATTTTGATTGACGTCATCCGTGCTCGCAACTTTTTAGCATGGTTGTGAAACTATGTTTTGACTTTTATTGTGTTGTTATTTTGTGATGTAATGGCTTGATTTAACGTCTTGATTATCGACGTCAGTGGTTATCACACCAAAATAAAATAAACAGATACGTTGAAAAAAAGTTTTTAATCTTTCTTTTAAGGACCGGGGTAGGGAGTGGGTTCATTATGTGAGTAAATACGGTATTTGTGTTAGCATACCTAGTCAATAGGCATTTACAACCTAAGGAAAAAGTCTGGCCACTCTGGCAACACATCGCCACAACTTTTATGCATGCCTTGATTCCGTCTCTACGTTCTGCCCACTTAAACCAGTGCGTTCAGCTTCCTCCACTTGTAGCTCTCATAATCTTAATCTTTTGTTGTTTAAATATAGAATTAATTGGTTCGAATATAGCTACTTTCCTGCGAAAATTGAACGTTGGAATGTCTTGCTTCGGTTTGTTCGTGCTCTGCCAACGACTGATTTTTTTGTTTGCGCTTGACATGTGATGTTATCACCACTCCTGCCATAACCCATCATATGCTGCAGTATGTATAAATAAAATGAAATGAAAAATTTAAAAAATTTAAAAATTCTATCGAAAGCCATTGCCGTCCCAGCCAGAGAATTGGAATTCTCATAGATGCCCCGTGCAACTTAATGCCAGATATACATTTGCGTGTTTAAGATAGTAGTTGATTTCGTTGTGCGTTAATAAATTTTTGTCACTACTTTTAGGCTTGAAACTTGCAACATCCCAATAAATCCTTACATTCAGACTAAGTCAAGCATAACATCTTATATGAAAGCGATCAACACATATTTTTGAGTTGTCAAGGATTTAATTTAGCCAAGGGAAAATACCTGCGATCAGAGCAGAAACCACCTCGCACAGCCCTCCCACGCAGGTGACTGGCAGGTGCAGTATGGCACTGCGTGCAGAGCTTTTTGTTTATGTTCTTGTTCCACTACGACTTTCCACTGCTTTAATGAAGACAGAACTAGAAGGAAAACAACAGGCTTGAGGCTGTTCAGGGATGCCAACTTTTGTTTGGTAATTAAATGCTCTGTTCCTTAATTTGTCATGGCCAATGAGGAGTGCTATTCTGAATAAACAATTACATCGGGCAAGCTGCTACGGATCGTGATGACTTTGAGTGTGCAATTGCACCATCTATCTCGATCACGCTGAAAGAACTTTGTTTTTTGGGTAGTGTGGTTGGTAATAATGGGTGAGTATCGTATGGTAACACACGTGGGCTTTAGGTTGTATGTTCTTCTTTCCTGTTGCTCCTATATATTCCGAAGTTTTGCAATAAATGCCTAATTGAAGTCAACCGCTTGTGTCTCTCCTTTCGTTTCCCTCGTGTAGAAGTTGTGCGCTTCCTACCGAGATGGCACTATTCTGGCTTTTTTTTTTTTTTGTGTTTACCTATTGAGCAGATTTCACAGCACACTAGGAAATGGGTCGGTAACTTGGATACATTCTTTTGGGGACGGAGCACCATCTATCTCGTTCACGCACAATGTCCCTCCGTACAGTGTCCCTCCGTCCACAGACCACGAGCCGGTATCTACGGTAGATGGAAAAAATGAGACATCTGTGTACAACAAAAAGGTTATCAAAACGCTGTTAAACAAGGCCACAACAGCAGAAAAACATGACATTTAACCACCTATCAATCAAAGCGTATGACATAACAAAAAGGTAATGAGACCAAAATAAAAGGCCACAGCGCATAATCTGATGCACAGTCTTTGTCCCATCACCAGCATTCAGTTACCGGATATGCGTGGATTTTTTATTTATTTATATCTTCAGCGATGGTGGGGCATAAAAGGTTAAATCAGGTTTGCAAAGTTACCTTATTTTTGTGAAACATGACCCGAAAAGGCACGACCCGGCACGCTGCTCTCGATGTCACTCACACGTGGTGAATGCGGTGCCGTCTGCAACGCAGGCCCGAGAGGCGGAGGCGGCCGAGACGCGCTCGCTGCTCGAGGGGAGCGGAGCAGGCGATTCGCGAAGCCAGGTGGCAACTTCTCCGTCCGCGCACGGGAAGGTGTCCGCCTCGACGCCCCACTCGCTGCATCTCTGCCAGGCCAGGCCGGACAAAGAGAACAAGGCTACAGGTGAGCTTCGGAAATATGTGCAAATGCCTTCACAGAATGCCCTGAATCTTTGGCGAACTTCTTGCTGGATTCGTCGTCCTGTCCTAATGTCAATGGTTAAGGAAAGGGCAGTATTGACACATGGAAGATGTTTTTGTTGGAAGGGAACGTGCTTTAAAAGCATACTTCTTTAATTTTGAGCTGATTTTTGCCTAACTTACATAGCTTATTTATCTATTTACGGACTTACTTCACATACTTTTTTTGAGCACAGGACCTGTGGCTGCTAATTCCTGCTCTTTATAAGTAACCCTTCTCCCCCACCTTGTACAGAAAAGTGCATAGTTTTTTCTTTCTGGGATATAAGCAATTAAAGCTAGAGTCGCCAAATATTCATGGTGTGCTACACAGACACCTCTCCTGGAGCCGAGGACTCTGATTACTACACCCCTGAGGACCCAGCCGTGCAAGAAGGTAGCACTCACTTCTTGGTCGACCAAGGGACCGACACCAGCCTGGACACGCCGCTGGCCGAGACCCCCGGTGCCGAGAGTTCGTCGGGAATCGCGATGCCGACGTCGTCGGGCGGCAGTGGCAGTGCCAAGAACTCACCGGATGCCATGGCGCTGCGTCGGCGGCGAGTCTTCGACGACCGGTGCTCGCCCGTGCACGAGGAGGACCGCCCCATCGAGTTGGTGGAGGTCAAGAAGGCCACCACGCCGCTGGCGTCCACAGCAGGGACGACGACGTTCGAGGCAAGTGCAGCCAATTGCATTAGTTTGTCAGATAGGATTTAGTACTGTGTGCAGTAGCATTTAGCACGTAGCATACCCACGCCACTTTGAGGCCATAGACTCGGTACAGGTTCACAGTAAACTGTTTGGCATCTCGTGCTTGAGATTTAAACAACCGACACAGTATAGAGCATCGTAAATGTATTGCAGGGCATTTCGTTCACTTTCTATATGGTGAGCCAGCTTGCCTAGTTGTACAGCTAGTTGGCACTCTAACATATTAACATGTTGCGGGATCAAGGAAGCTCCAGTTGCTACTTCTGGATTATCAAGTCCGTCGCCTTGGTGGAACAGTGGCTAGGGTGCTCGGCCAGCCATGGCGGTCACATTTTGATGGAGCAGAAATGGTAGGAGGCCCGTGTACTGTGCGATGGCAATGCACGTTTTAGAACACCAGATGCTCAATGCTTTCAAAGCCCTCCACTACGGCGTCTTTCATAATCATATTATGGTTTTGAAATGTAAAACCCCAGATATTTTTAGGATCATCAAGCGAAGAATGTTGCAAGAATCCTGTGCCCATGTTGTTTGCACATGACCTCTTAAATGGAGATGCTCTAAATGGAATGGGAAGGCATTCAAAAGGTCATCCATGAGATAGCTCCGAAGAGCTGCTCAGAAGATCGACTTCATGCGTAGTCGATTTTAAGCAGAACAGAAAAGAATAGAGAAGCTTTCTTTTCAACCTGAGTGACCATGCCATCAGGTGGCACTGCAGTCAGACCACTGGTGTCATCAATCATCTGGATGAAACCGGATTGCAGGCGATGTGAGATCCATTTTAGGGTGCTTATAGGACACAGGACATGGGGCAATCTTATGTGACACACTTCCTCCCCGCCACTTGCATTTGAACCTGCCACGACAGAGCAGCCACTGTTCTTCTCTGAGGAGTGCTAGGTTGAGGGTTTGCATCCTGCTTTTGGTGGTTGCCTTCAGACGTAGTGCCACACTTGAATGGTTGTGTTCCAAGTGTAGGTTTATTTTTAAATAACGAACCTTGCAGTCATAATTAATGGAGAGACCTCCGCACTAGCATGTCTCGTAAACCTGTGTTGCTGTGGTTTCAAACAGATCAGTTAATGAACCGGTCAGGTGGTAAAAGTAATTCTTCAGCTATAGTCAGTCACTCGGTGAGTGTAGTCCATCAATAAAGATTGAGTCACTGACTCAACTTACACCGGCAAGTCAGTCAGCCATTATCAGAGCTAGAGGAGTGGCCTTACTAGAGGCCATGGGTTACAAAACTCTTGGGGTGACTGCAGCACGTAAAATTGCAATGTACCCACTATGCCAGTGATTTTCAGCAGGGGGCCCACAAAACTCATGGCCAGAAAAAAAAAGTATTCTTTAAAGACATATCAGGTCCTGTGACAGTGGCTCGTTCTGATACATACATTTTTTATGCTTTTCTGCATTAAATTTTTGCATTGTGGCGGAGCTTTCTTGCATTTCTTACATGAGATGGCTGTGACGTTTTTGTTGCAGTTTTCTACGAGATGCGAGCGTGTGTTTTCCAGGCTTGCAACCTTGAGAAGCAAGCGTAGCTAGAAACACGTTAAATGCCGTCTCTGCTGGCCACACATCTTATTTAATAGCTATTGAGACTGAATTGACATGACAGTTTTGTTTGACGATTCTTTGATAGGTATAAATATCACCCAGTGTTTTGTGTTAATTTACGGTCCGCCTCACTGCAAGGGGTCCTCCACAAGTTCCAACAGTCTACAAGGAGTCCGTGAAACATTCATGGCTGAGAGCCACAGGGCTTTGCCATAAATCATCTCAATTTTGCTAAGTAGGGAAGTAGCTATTATGCCATTATTCATCATTCTGTTGAGAAGCAAGGAACTCGCTACATACTTGTAAGGCATTATGAGAACTTTGTTGATGCTGTGTCTGATGACAATGTAGAATTATGACTGAGCCGTTTGTAATGGTCGGGAAGCTTTAAACCACCCAGTCTTCATGCAGTTCACATTGTGTAACACCTGGTGATTATTTTGCTCTTCTACCTATATTACATCTGTCATGATGCTTGGCATAATGCTTGCATAGGATCTTCTTGCAAAGGGGTCTCATGCACTGGCATGGTGCTGTGGTAAAATACACGACTGCCATCAGAAGCCCCAAGTTGTAATCCCACTCGAACCTGGACATTTTTTTCTTCTGCACACTAGCGGTTACAGGCGCCAGTGGTAGCTTCGCGTAACAACCACCAGCGGAGCTGCTGTTGTGATCTCGTAACAGCTCTCTCTCTCTTAAATGTGACTCTGCTGGTACACGTCTAGAACAGCAGTGTTTTTACGGTTTACCGGTTTGTCGTTTTTGTTTGTACAGGCACGCACCCAAACGACGTCGCCGTCCCGTACTCAGGCCAGCGGCAGCGTCGGGCACGCCGAGACCAGTGTCTCTCTGCCGGGCACCCCGGCGAGCAATGCCAGCAATCGCAGCAGCGGCGACAGCTGCAGCAGTGGCTCGAGCACGCGGCTGCTGCTATCTGTACGGCATAACTCTCAGCCTCCCAGCAAAACCACTGGAGGCAGTGTGGACTGATCAAAGCGTAGGGAGGAAAAGAAAACAAACAAAAAAAGGAGTACATAAGATCAAAAAGAAAGCTGCAGCTTTCAAGGAACATGAAAAAGAAAAGAAAGGAAAATATTTCATGTTCCGAAAGGGCAAACTAGCTCCGAGAGGTCTGCACTGCCCGAGGAAACGGAGGCGCGTTGTCGTGTCCGCGGGCTGTCACCGAATCGCTGACACCTGCCCTTGCCAAGAAACACAAGTCTCCCCGCCTTCTTGCAGCAAGCTTTGGATCGCTTCTGATTTGTGCTTTGTGCCACGTAATGCTAATCCTATTTTAGGCTTAGAATTTTAGGCACCGCACTAAACCTAACTGCATTAAGCCTGTTTAGGTATAGCAGAAAAAAAGAAATGAGAGAGATTTGAAATAGGAGTTATCGTAAAGGAGGGTGAACCTCAGTGGCTAGCTTAGACATGAGTACACATTGTTTGTATGAATCATGCTTAGAGAAACTGCGTGGATCTGTACCTGAAGTGGATTCAATGTTACTTTTGGCTGTCACGCTTGATCACAACTGCCATGAGGTGAAGGGAACTATCAGTGTGAAGTGTGTGCCTGCAGGAGTGTAGGACACAATCTTTCGACGGCAAAGCCGAGGAAAAAGCTCTGCAAAGTGCTTTTGCATGCTCCGTAGTTGACCTCGGCTGCAAGTCGATCGGGGCCATTATGGACTGTTGCCAATGGACTACGCCTGTCTTCGGTGAAAGGCATATGGCCGGTCTTTCCACTTTGCATGTCTGAAAAAGTATTCGTTTAATGACTTCGCCTGTTAGTGACTTGCGGTTATATTTCAAGCAGCGATACGAGAAACTCAATCTAAAAGGCACAGGGAGTTCAAACACAGACACATAAAGGGGTTCAGGACACCAAGAACGCCCACTTACAACTATAGAAGCGCATTACGGCAAAAAGAAAAAAATGCATGAAAACTTGTCTGCGCATGCGCATGCAAGCCCATCAATCCGGCATGTCTGGTGGTCTGCGTGAAAGATAAGTGTTAAAGCTTTCGATATATTCCTCATGAAAGTCGATAGACTATTGGCTCACGCATGGGCTACTGCTATTATAGATATGCCATTATCTGATCAGACATATTTTCTCATTCCTACACTGGTACAAAACTGCGCATTCTTCAAATTTTTGGCGTGCACATACACTCTTGACAATGTAAAGAAAGATTAGAAGATGAGCCTCCCATTGGCGATGTCTTGCGTTCCAATAACCTCTGGTTAATGCAGCAACCTGTCTGTCTTATGTAAAGCAACCACTGCTAAAAAGGGACCTTGTACGGCAATCGGTGAATTTGTTGGTGTGTTTTACAAGACAAATATTGGTCCGCTTCTTGTCTTTTACTGGCTCATTCTTTCTCTGCTCAGCAGCACAAATCTTGCCTAACTTATTGGCAGCCGTCAAAAGTCACATTAATGCCGTATCTGCTACCCACTCTCGTTAGCCTGTGAGATACGCAATGAATGTTTGGTATACCGTAAAATGAGCACGTACAAACTAGCTCGGCTCTGTGTAATTCTAAGCGAGAAACTCAACGCAGCCTCGCATTGCATCGACGTGTTACAGTGCATTCGAACAGTGTGGTGTTTCGCAGAGTCGCGGACGAATCATTGTGGGCATGTGCATCCTGTCCAACTTACCGTGCCCTCAAAGCATCAACGCACAATCAGCTCCATATTGCTATTCATTATTCAAGTTTTAGAGGCCGGCTCTGAACATCCAGAGCACTTGACATGCATAAAGCCTTACAGGAAGTGAAATGAAGCTATTTAGTTTGTAATTCTTCATTGAAGCATAACGAGCGAGTGTTGATTTGAGATTTTTGTTCTTTTATAGAAAGGAAGAAAGTGTATTGGGGTTTTTCTGTAGGCTTGTGCAAATAGCCAATTTCAGGTTCGAAGTGAAGAGTGATTTGGTTCGAATAGTGTCTATATCAGAAAGAAAGATATTATAAAGAAAAATTAGCATATTTGTCATGGTTCAACTAACCTGCACAATATTTTCTAAAAAAATGTAATTCTTTCTGGTTCAAAGGGAACTGGAAGCAGCATTTAATAGTCGTTAGATTTGACCGTCGGTACAATGCGAGGGATAACCTGTTAATATGTGAAGCTTTGAAATTTGCTATACTTAGCGCATATATGCCAGTATAAAAAGCTGTTAAATTCAAAAAGAAAAAAAAAACATATAGATTTGAGTAAGTGTTCTAGAGGCGTAGCACTTCTCCACATTCGTGAAACTGCCTTTACAGGGAGTTACATGCGAACTAATACACGTGTTCGTTCATTATGATTACTTTGAAATTTCCAGTAATTTGAATTCGATGCGAAGCCAATTCGATTACTGTAATATTTTCACAAGTCTAGCTCTTAGATGTGGTGTACCCCAAATGCGTAGGTCAGCAAACTCGCTCACGAGTGGACACGCTCCGGCTCGTATCAAGCTACGGGTCTGAGTGAGTAATATCGGGCTGAGTTTGAGTTGGAGTGAGTCCAGTTGCAGAAAGTTTTCCTGAGTGCAAGTCCGAGTGAGTTCAGCTCAGGAAAATTCTGGTGAGCCTAAGCGAGTCCAAAGGGCAAGATATTATTGCGATGTTGCAGTAAGCTTGAGTGAGTTCCGCTTTTTTTTGTTTTTGTTGCTGACTTATGCCCGATTGGCTTTGGGTACCTAAAGTGCAACGCCATAATTGCATCCGTCTTGTTTTCTGAGTTTAGGTTTGTTTTTTCTGGTGGTTTGAGTACCCTAAACTTGGGTATGTGCAACATGCAAGTTTAGTACATAAATTTATGAGTGCGTAGCTGTAAAACAGCGAGATCTTGGCAGTTGAACCAAGATGTTTAATCAGTTCTAACCTGGGATTGTGTGCTGGTTTTTTACGGGGATAAATCTGGCCACGCGGACCTGTTTGAGGTTTCTTATTCTGATAGTGACTTGGTTTCTGAACTGATAGCGGTTTTTCAATCACTGTCGCTTCTCGAATCTCTCTTTTTTTCTTGACCCGTAGACTATGAGGCATACCTTAAAGATAAAACAACCAGTTCATTTTTTGGTGACAACATCTTCATGTATTTGCTCCACCTACACATATATTGAAGTTCAATAGCTTGACAGGCAGTTTGAATTTGTACTTTATCTGCCTTAATAGGTGCTCAAGGTGAAAAATTAAGTGAAGGAGGACTTTTATGGTTACTATGTTGAATTTCATTACAGTCAAACCCCGCCATGAGTAAACAGGCTTGTGTGCTGAGAATATGCACGGAATAAGTATGAGTAAGCTAGTAAGGAACTGGAACACACTTTTTGAATGCTCTTTTAGACATGCCATTTCGTGATCTCTGGTGAAACAAAAAGTGCTACAAAGGAACTCTTAGACAACAATGCTACGCACAGTCGGCAGGAGTTCTTGGTTACATCTTAAAGTGTTCCCAATGTCTCCAAGAGCGACATTTGCGACGTGAGAGGTTGTGTAGACTAACTCTGGCTGACTTCCCTTGGACAACAGCACAGTATCGGCGTGGCACGTGCAACCCTAAAGTACATTTGTGGGAAATGTGAAAAGGAATGCTTAAATTATCAGCAGGCGGTAGTGGCTGAATACATCTACAGAGCGCACCACTGTTTGTAGCGTTAAATGTTTCAAATGTTAATGCATCTCTTGCAAACAAATATGGTGGATTCGCATGTGCACATCGCGGGTTGTCCTTTCTTCAGCGTGAAATCTGTATTCCCATCTATATTGTTCGTGACTGTACTCGTGGAACAACTGACCATATGGCTCCAGCTCTGTCATTGGCTGGCAGTACATACCTTGTAAGATTGGGCTTGTTGCACCACTTGGACGTTATGAATGCCTCGAGTTCAGTTCTTTGCTAGAGAGTTGTGTGTTTGTCGGCAAATCTCGCGTGTTCGATGTAGATTAGATGTATTTGTGTTCATTATGCTTGTGTTCAACTGCGGCATTGGTGGCCGGCAAAGCCGAGAGCGTGTATGATGCTTGTATTCTGTCGATATTTATATGACGGCCTTTCGTTGTCCAAACCAGTCTACTGTCCTATGTTTTCAGTTGCACTTTTCCAACAGACCATGTTAAGAGTCTGCTTATAAAGCGGTCTTCAAGGTTTTTCAGAGGTGTAATATATTACTGGGTGTGTACTTACTGTTTGCTTACAGGTGTTTCTTTTATGTTTCCTTTTGGTTTTACAAGATGTAAATATCGGGTCTTATGTGCTTTTGGTGCACAAACGATTGCCCTGTGAATGCGAGCACTCTACAGACACTTCCTTTTAAGCATACGTAGTGTGTGCCGATAGAAGTTTGTTTCCATTTTGTGTATTTTAAGCGGGGAAAATCGGAGCTTGCGTTCATTATCTCAATGCGTTAGCTACTTGGTGTGTTCTGAAGTTTCAGCTGTACAAACTAACCGTCTAGGCTTGGGCTAGTTGTCTGTTAGATGTAAAGTTAGAGACGTTCTGAATGACATCGTAAGTGCTGCCCAAAACATTACACTAGTGTTCATACAAGGCCACCAACTCTACAAGGCGTGGTTGCACGCCATAGTTGCGAGAGTGTTGCTGAGCTCGGTGGAATTATTTTGACAAGTGTATGCAGCGCTTTGATTGACGGACCACTGCAGTGACAAGTGCAGAGGGCGTAAGTGTTTCCTCGGACAGTGCTTCAACTTGTCGCTGCCTTAGTGCTGCGCTGTTTTACTTTGTGGAAAGTTGTACAGAATTAAAGTGTTTTCAATTGCTTGTGATGTGTGTCTTGGTGCACTTTTGCTTTGGATTAACGCGTTGCGTCACTAAATTGGTATTTTCCCAGTTCTACTCTTTATTGTCCATTAGTCTTTTAGACCTCAGATATACTCAACTTATGCATGTGACCTAAACATAAGTTATAATTACAATAGTTTTACAATTGTCATGTCACCAGTCAGTTTCAGCGCAATGGCCGGGCTGCTTGCCCTTTCACTAACTACCCCGGTTTCCTCTACTGTCCATCAGGGTGGTGGGTATGAACCGCGCATGCACAGTGGACCGCATCACTATTGAAGTTGCACCATAGTCGAACGACGCAATTTCGATCGCGATCAAATCAACAGGCGGTAGTTGGCTCTCGCTCGCAGCCTGCAAAGAGAAAAGGAAGCCAAGTACGATCGGGAAATTCGATCGATATATCGAAAGTGGTTGCACCATCGAGGTTCGCAAGTGCTAACGGGTCACATGAAATTTTTGTGGGTAACGTTAAGCCGAAGCGAACGTGATACCCCCCCCCCCCCCCCCCCCCCGAGAAGCGGCTCCAGTTATCTAGACAAACGGTTTTATTTACAACGAGTATTTACAAAGACCAGGGCGTTTTAGAACTTTTCAGGAACCGCCCCCCTGCGCCTTGTTTTCAACGCACTTCGCCGCGTCTCGAAGACTGTGCACGAGGTCTTGCATCTGCGCCATGTTGCACGAGAAGTGGACTGGACCCTCGGACGAAGTCGTCTTCAGTTCCACGTGGAACGCGGGCTCCCCGATGCGCTCTAGGTGGTTGCTCTTGACGCGATAGTCGACGCTCCAGTCAACTCCGACGACGTGAGGCGGCCGGCGCCCGATGCGACTCAACTCTAGGCGCACGAGCTGCCTGTTGGCGGCATACCTGCGGGTCAGGGCGTCCGCGCGGGCTCCCGTCATCCCGTACTCCTCGAGTCGCAACGCGAACTGCGAATCGTCCAGGTTGAAGCGAGCACTTTCGAGCACCAACGCTATCAGGCCGGCGCCGCCATCTTTGAAGGCGTCGTCTGCTGTCGACTCGTCGTCCTCACCTTCAGCGCCCGACTCGGCGTCGGCAGTAACGACTGCGAAGACTTTGTCGAGCAGTTTGGCGTAGCCCGCGTCGCCAAGCTTGCGTGGATCGGCGGCCGTTGCGATGCCGTTGACGAACGCTTCGGCGAGCTCCATTCCGTCCGTCCGTACGATCGACAGAGCAACAGACGTTCGGAGACGTGAGAATAACGCGTCGGCTAAATGACGTCGATATAAGAGGTTTTGAGCGTGATTATTTTAAACACAAACTTTTTTTGGTCGTATTTGCTTGCTTGCTTGTCCCTCTTTTTCGGCTCTTACCCACTAAGGGGTATTGGTCAAGAAGCCTGCGGTTAATGTAAGTGACCCATTTAGGACCATGCAGGGTAAAAAGAAAAGTTATCTTTCTTTTTTTTTAACAGAATGCGATAATGTTGACGCAACGAGAAAAGCAAAACAGAAGACATAACGGAAGTTTTCGAATGACCTAGCCGGCAAGGTTCCATTTGGCGTTGCATAAGTGGTTGCCAGACTGGAAGGGTGGTTGTTGCCAGACTGTTGTTAAATTTGGCAGAAATTTTTTTTGTAGTTGTGGCTTCTCCGTAAGAGTTTGGTGCTATCCGCGGTGCACTTCTTCGGTGCGGAGCCTAGCAGAAGTCGAGCGCGGTGCTGCCGTGCAATTAAGAGGCCGTTTCAATTCCGTTTTAATTAATGGAAGGAACCGAGCCTAGCAGAAGTCGAGCGCGGTGCTGCCGTGCAATTAAGAGGCCGTTTCAATTCCGTTTTAATTAACGGAAGGAACCGAGCCTAGCAGAAGTCGAGCGCGGCGCTGCTGCGCAATTAAGAGGCCGTTTTAATAACGGAATGAACCTCCCATTACAGAAGTCGAGGCGCGTTCTCTTGCTGTGTGCGCAGCTGTGCGATTAAGATATCGCGTCTCAGTATTAGGGATTACGGGGAAAACTGATTAGAGTCGCAGGAGGGGATGCGCCGCCCCCCTTCCCCCTTACTTTTCTTTTTTTCTCTCTCTCAGCTGATCGTGTCGCGTCGACCGCGCGCTACGACGGGGGACGCTACGCTTCCGCGGATAGCACCAAATTCTTGCGGAGAAGCCACAACTACAGGAGAAAAGTTTTCAGCCAAAAAGTGCACCGCGGCTAGCACCAAATTCTTACGAAAAAGCCACAACTACAGAAGAAAAATTTTTTGCCAAATTTAGCGGCAGTCTGGCAACAACCACCCCAAAGTCTGGCAACAAATTTATGCAACGCCAAATGGAACCTTATATATACTGCATGATTTTTTTTAGTTTCTAAATGATGCAGTGTAGTAATTAAGTGCAAATTTAGGCTTGGTTTGGAAAGAGCTGATGAATGACTCGGCAAGGTTTTTCTTGTGTCAGAGGAATTCGCTGCAAGGGCCCCGCAGATGTTCCTGTCGCTAAATTCCAGTGAAGCAGACCCAAAGGAGAATATTCGGAGCGCGAAGTGAAATTCCTAATTTTAAAATAAAATTTCAAAACATTTTTCTTTTTGATATTTAATACGGCGACATGTAAGTAGAAAATGGGTTACAGCTGGAGTACAAAGGGGTGACAGTATGCATACTTCCAGTTTACGCGTGGGACACCATTCATTATTCCATGCAAAGTGCGAGAATTCTTTATTCGGACTGTAACAATATCAATTTAACGAATCCTCAAGAATGGATAGTTTTCTGAATCTCGCTGCCGCAACACAAGCTGTGGCTCAATCGAACCATCAATTGGGATGCTCACGCAAGCGAGTCAGTTTGCGCGGTGACCTCCATATCAGTCGCACTAGGCGAATGTTCGCTGGGATCAGTGATTTAAATGCACTTTTTTTTTAGTACGGTGATGTCTTGATCCTGGACCTAATTTTTTTGCTTTGTTCAGAACTCCTCGCAAAAACAGCGCATGCTATTGTAGTAGCGGTGTGCAAGCTCCAGCCGTGCTAGCGTCACGCAACTAATGATGGTAATCGAGCTCTGTAATAAAATTGTCGTTATCGGACTTCACACCCAAGTGGACGAGAAAAAAACGGCGCCTTTCAAAATAATAAAACGCACCTTCGGACGAAGTACGACCATACAGTCGTACAGAATGCTGCGGCATACGAGCGGTGTGCCATTTGGATGTTTGAAAAGTTTTTATTCGGTGAGACAAGATCGAACTTTGCGCGCAAGGACCTCTCGTTTGACGTCATGAACGTGACGTGGAAAGGCTGCGACGAAAGTGAGGAGGTCCCAAATTTTTGTGAAAAATTACACAATTTATGACAGGCATGCGCACCCTTATGAACACTTTGGGTGATGTGTGGAACATTAAATATGTACCCAACACATGACCGACAGCTGAGCGTAGATAACTTCACGAAAAAAAAAAAAATGTTATTGTGTGAGTCCGAAGGGGTTCACAAAATGACGTCAGACATTTTTTGTGGGTCCTTGAGATTTATAGCGAGTGCACCGGTATTTTCAACGAGCTCTTCACTGTCACTCAATTAGCTTAATAATTGAAATGAATTCGCATGAACCATACGTATTGTTTTATGTAAATTCACTCGAATGGTGAAATTTAATCTTGCAAAACAAAATAAAGAAATACTCAACGGAATAAAAAAATAGAGATATGTGCACAAGAAATTTGTTGGGCTGGGTAATTTGTAATTTTGCAAGAGCTCTCGCAACGTCTGATGCGTTCAAAATGCTTAAAAATAATGTTGCTAAAAGCATCACGAAGATATAACTATAAGGGTTTTTATTTCTTCATTACCTAGCTCCTCAATATATGTTAAACAAAGGGCGCAGTATTTTAATAGTATTAACAAACTACGCTTATCGCTTATGCACACACCGCAAGTATTCATTTCTTTTTGAACCGAAACAGTGAAACTTAATTGCCGCCATGATTTCCACCAATGACAGATAGCGGATAACCTTTGCCTTGATTACGCAAAGTGGTCTGCAAGCGAGCAGCGATCGTCTACTTGGATAACATAAACCATTCCTTCAGTGCGTTACGTTCGCAAGTTGCCTTTCACTTATGAAGTCCATGCATTACCACTTCACAATGCGCCGCGTCATTCGCAGCAGTTGCCCCAGCTCAACGTTTATAGATACTTTTTCAGTTCCGTAACTCCGCCGCCGCAGGCGGCCGCCGGTTTTACCCGGGCAGTGAGATGGCGCCACAGTCGCGAGTTGCGCTGTCGCGGGCGCACGTGTTGCCGGTGTTGCTCCTCCCCGCAGTTGCTTGGCCGCGTGCGCGGCTGTCATCGCGCTTTTTTTTTCTCGTTGTTGTGACCGTGCGCGCACGTGGTTATCCTCGAAGACTTCGATCATCTGTGAATTGTGACAACCTAGCACTACCGGCCACAGGACGTCTCGGAGCTGCCAAGCTTTACGATGCCAACTTGCTTCGTGCCCGGCTGCACCAGCGGGTACAAAAGCAATCCAGAAAAGCGGCACTTTTTTGCACCGCCGTCCGATCCGCAGCTGCTTGAAAGGTGGGTGAGAGCTATTCCCCGCGCCGATAAACTTCTGAGCAAGACATGCAAAGTGTGTGACGTGCATTTTATGCAACATGACATTGTGAAGACTTACAAGCATGCCATTGACGGCCAGGTTGTTGAAATAGACCGCGGCTGTTGGGCATTACAGCCTGAAGCCGTGCCGTGTCAATTTCCGAATGTTCCAAGCTATTTGTCAAAAACAATAAAGAGGCGGCGGTCGCCTAAGGATAGGGCCAGCTTACCCAACAAAGTCGTACTTGTTGCTACGCCATCAGATGAGTACCAGCAAGAAGTTCCTGATCCCGTGCACGACATTGATTTCGCACAGATTGTCGAAAACGGCTCATCTTTAAAGCTTCCGAAAAACTGGAGAATGGCGGACCTTGAGGAGGACACTGGTAAACCTCGGCAGGTTATCTTTTACAAGGCGGGAATGAAGGACGATGTTTACGCGATCCTGAAGAGCGTCGCGATTCACGAGGACCTCACGTACGTCATCCATGCAAATGGAAGACTGTTGCGCAGCTGGGATGCAGAGATTAACATATTTTCTGCGCAAGATGTGGAAGCGATTGTACAAATTGTGCACGCAAAACAATTTTGCCGTGGTTGCCCTCTTATCGATGTCACCAACTCCAGCAGAGTGACAAAAAAAGTTGGAGGTAGGCTTCATCACAACGATTGCGCCGTTCTGACTGACGCAGATAAAGAAGTGTGTGCTGCATCTGTGTGTGTGCTACATCTATACTTTTTTTGCAGAGATTTTTTGGCCTTGTGAGGTCATTTGGAGGGGACGAAGACCATCCTACAGTGACCAAGTTTAGCCAGTTATTTAGGCTACTTTCCCTCTACACCCCTGTCAAAGTGGCTGTCAAAGGGAACTGTGAGAGCGGCAGTGATCGTGTTTTGCTTAGCGCTTTTGAAAGCCTCGGAGAAAAACGTCGTGAGGCCCTCGTTCGGAAAAGTGCAATGAAAGATAAAGTTTGGCAGCAGCTGATGTCCATACCATTCCATGCCCTCTCAAGTGATGCCGACGATCATGAATACAATGCACCATCACCAGAAGCGACCGCCTTGTATTACCTGGCAGGCTACGTGGCTTTCAAGTTGAAGAAAACTACACGCTGTGAGGTCTGCAAAGAAGATGCCCTTGGTAGGCGTGATTCACTGTCGAAGGAGGCCATACTGGTCATCGAGCGCGAATACGTCTGTGGCAGCCTTGCATACCCTTCAGAAAAACTGCTTGCGTGTGTGAGCACGGTAGAACGCACTATAAAGCATGCTAGCAAAGGCACATGTTTTGGTGACTTATTTTGGGATGTGCTGGATGCTCTAGTGAAGAGAGGCACAAATATTGTTGGCTGTTCCGAGCATGCTAATCAGCTTACTGCTCAAACAATTCACTTTTATTTAACAACTCGTATGCACTTCTTCGCACGAGCCAAATGCTTGGAGAACAGCAGTGCCGTTCGGGCACAGAGAGAGCGCAAGAAGGCAAAGCTAGTTTAACGAACTTCTCAGTAAACCTGCCGACAAATCTGTGCCGTGTACGTGTAATGAAATGTGTACGTCAGTTTTCGATCTATTCGTGAGGCGTTTTCCCACCGCAAAAAAAAAAAAAAGACGAATAGCAGTGTTTCATTCATCCAACAAAATTTACTAGTCGCCAAGTCCTCATGTTACGTAACCCCGAGTGCTATAAGTTTAAGATTTCTATTTCTTTTAGCGCGCTGAATTGTAAACTACTAATGTGGTCTTGATGCAATGGACACAGGAAGGCGCAGGGTGAAGCGATCACTTTGTCACTGCGCAAAACGGATGCCTGCGAAGTACGTACAGGCTTTTTTTCAAGTTCGTGAGTCATACAACGCGCACGAATTAAAGCGCGTGGCCTCTGTTAAATAGCGAGAGTAAAGACCAAGTACACTGTTCGCACAATTCTCACTCGGGCGCACGCAAAGGCTCACGCGACACCCTTCGCGCTAGCAGACGACTCTCGCTCTCCTAGCGCAAGGCGCGACTGCAGCGCTGCGGTGGCGGGTGCGGCGGCCGGCCGCCTTCTCCCTGGGCGCGGCGCGAGGAGTTGCGGAACTGAAAAAGTATCTATAAACGTTGCCCCAGCTTGCATCGATATTTCGTCTAGCAACGTAAGTGAAAAAGATGGCGGAAAGCCGCACATTTCTCCACGTCATGCACGTTGTATCAGCACTCCAGTGGTCAAGAGCGACATGAGCGCGATGGTGCGGAGGACTTGCGAAACTGACTGAAACGGGAACGTCTACGGGACATCGGCAAAAAATGTTACTTCGGTCACTTGAGTGTTTTTATTTCTGGTATTTGCGGCATTTGCCGAATTCCCAGATCGGGCGGTGGCGGCGGGACTTTGAGCTTTGCGCCTTGCGGTGTCGTGTCTCGATCATCATCAAAGACTAAGCAGCTGTGATTATTTTCGGGTTCCGCTTAATTTCATCTCGAGCGGCGGATCGCTCGGGCACACACTAACGTGAGATTCAGATTTTTCTACGAACACACTGCTTGGATTTCGCGTATTCATCGTTAACGCGGCGGCTGATGCAATGTCCGCGACATCGAACATATGCGAACACGTCCGCGCAAGTCCGCTTCAGCCTCATCACCACCATGTTTACCGACGCTCCGCGCAAGAAAATAAACTTTCTTTACAAGTCTCTTCACTCGTTGAAAACATGTTCTAACAAAACGTACACACTTCTCAGACGACACAAACAGTAATTTGGCGGAACAATTATTGACTAAATCTGAACTTGACGGTCGCGGCTATTTTAGGAAAGGAGAAGATGGTGCGAGGAATATATCGCGATCTGCCGGACTACTTTTTCATTCGCCCTCATGTCACGAACACAGCTAGACCGACACTTTTCCGCTCTGTGGGTACCGCCAGTGTGATGGAATAGTTTGTGGCCTAACGGCTTTGCACCGTAAGGTGCCAGCACCTTTAATCATCAAAATGGAGTAAGTATTTCCCAATTACTGTCTTATGTTCTCGATCACGTGATTGTACGGGGCGCGCCGTCGGAGTGCGGAGAGATAGCGCGCTTCCGTGTGTAGACGCCGGTCATTGTTTGCATTGCGAGGTGAAAACCGCGTGACCCGTTCCGCACGCAGAAAGAGTATTGGTTACGTGCCGTCTACTAGTATCAGTCGTGTTTTTCGATCGACTTCCATGTATTAACAAGCGGAAAGACAAAAGTGAACGCGTGAAGTTCGCAGGCTCGCATTACGGCCTGTTGCGTAGTGACCGCTTACGTAAAAATCGCTTCGTCATCCTTGCTTTACGCAAAAACACACGATCCGCGGGCTTCTTCGCGAAGAAGTCGGAGCCGTACCAGGAAACGTGCTATTTTTCGGCGACGGATTCGTTTACTCCGATATGTAGGGCAGGCGTGACGTCATGGTGACGTCATCTCGGGGACCCGAAACCTGACCAAACTACAACCTGTTGCGGAGTGTTGGCGACGATTGTTTTGCACCCACGAAGGCCGATTGCATTCCGCAAATGAAAAAACGATCCGTCATTAAAACATTGTTTTTTTTTCTGTCTGAAGCGGATCGCCGTTCTTGCTTATTTATTGCGTCCTCTTTTGGGTAGTGAAGATGAATTGTGTAATGAATTAAAACTTTCTCGTCTGGTGGTGAAAGGGTATGCCAGATTGTCGTTAAGCGCAAGTGTGTGACTGCTGATGAGGTTCTATCGGAACAAGACAAGTTGACATGCCGAGGAATCGCCGATATCGGCTGACGTTTCAGCCGCGTTTCGCATTTTATTAAAACTGTTATACGACGAGCAGATGTCTTGTATTGTCAGCGATGGATTAGCGGAAAGATCGGAAGCCATTGACTTGGAGAAATGCGTGCCGGGAAGACAGTCTGCGGCAGCTTTCGTTTGCCACTTGACATTTGCCGTTTGGTTCGAGAGTTCACTGCGTCTCACTCGAAAGGCGTTTGAGGAGAACTGTTCACTGCCTCGCTAGCGATTGGTCAAGTGCACAGGTGTGGAAATCGCACTTGTAGCGCTCGCAGAGACTGGGAGTAAACAAAAATATGTAAATATCGTGTGAAATAAATCTTTTTTTGTTGAACACTGAAAAGAAAATGCCATTATTTTCACAGCACAATTAAAGCATGAAACTACTATGACATGCATAGATGTTCCCAGATTCTGTGCTATTGGATTGAAGGGGACCAACAATCAATTCACCCTTTTTATTTTCTTTTTTTTTTTCGGTTCGTGGTAGGGCTGTGAGTGATGTATAAGTAATTGTTGGCTAGACATCTGCGAACAGCGTTTTTTTAGCTATGTTGCTGCTGTTTTTTTTTTTTACATTTCAAAGTTTTTTTTCTTAGAAGCTAATAACATAACTGGTGCAACTCCCTTCCTGCGAGGTGCACGTCATCGAATGGCTTGTTTTTTGTACGCTTCATAATTTTAAAAAAATGCTTCAAAATGTGTAAGTATTGTTTCTAGGCTCATAATTGACCTTTTTCACAACAGGTACAACACCCTTAGTGGCGAGCGTAAAAAAAAACAAAACAAATTTAATGTCTTTCTGGTCAACGCGACAGTGTGGGAGTTGGTGCGTTCCTTTGCACCTATTGCCTCCGAGATGGTGTGCCGACAGGTTTCCAAGGCCATGAGCCACCAGAAATGTTTCGGGGTGGCGCCGTTGAACAGTTTCCGGTGCGCATGCACAGATGGCGCTCGTGAAAAACGTCCATTGCACTTTAGAAGTGTGGCTGTTAGGGCTAGTTGGTATGACATGACGATAGTTATAGTGCGAGAACAGAATGACGACAAAGAGACAAGAAAAACAAGAGTGCTCGTGTCCTTCTTGACTATTTGTCATCGTTCTGTTGTCGCGCTATAACTATCGTCCATTGCACCGTTTATGAGTAGCTTTAGCATTGTGCAACTGAACAGGAGGTTGCCGGTTCGACTCCCTGCCACATTCCAATGAAGGAGTAACGCAATAGCATGTGCGCACTGTTTTCTCAGTGTATGTTAAAGGTGCTTTTGGCATTAAAAATAATCCTGATCATGTCACGGCGACTCTTGTGGAAATGTTCTCTAGTCATATTAATTGGGCTTTCGAATTTGTCACTTGCAACGGCATCATTCAACAACGTGACTGTATTTGGTATTTGTTAGAAAGATCACCACCCTACGATTTAAGAGCACTTGACTGTAAGGGCACTCTGTTGTTTTGTCTTGCAGGTTTCCAGGCTTTAACGCCTCCTTGCCTGCCCGCACATCGGCAAGACTGATTCTTGTGGATCATTCTCATCAGACCAGTCCATCAACTCATTCATCTAAATCGGCAGAGCCATACGCAAAGCATGGATGCCAATTGGGACCTCGATTCGCTTGGGGAGTACTGCTCCTCCAAGCTCATCCAAGACTATGAGCTGGGCGGATTTGAAGATGCAGGTATGGCTTTTCCTCGTGCTTGGCATCAAGCAGGGTTTCCGAGAAATTTATCGCTGCATTCTAACAATGCATGTGGCTGCATGGCGTACATTCAAGAATTAAACAAAAGAATGTGACATTAAGTTTATGGCATAATTTTTTTAGAATGTTACTCTGGTTTTGCGAGATGACAGACAAGGGTGCATCACTCAGGCCGACATTCGGGCTTTGGTAGCAGCCTCACGGCACATATTTTCTGTTACCATTGTGCACAGAGTGATAACAGCTCATCAGTAATGAATTTGGTTCTTACCTTTGTTGCTTACACGCCGGAATTTCTGGTTCCTGCGGTACTTTCCTACCTGTATTTTTGTTATTGTTGCGCTGATTGCTTTAATCATTGTTTGCTCTGTTTTTTCAAATGTGGATTAGCAACACGACACATGTTTTGTCCAATTCATATTTCGTCCTCCAAATTGCCTTATATTAAGCGAACCGGGGAATTTAAATAAATATTCTTGTGCGTGCTCGGAGTGTGAGAAGCTGACAGTTTTCTTTGATCTATGCTTTCAGGCAACCTAGACTGGCTGGACGAGAAGGTGGACTTGTCCGCCTGGACCCAGCTAGACTTCCCGTATGACCTGACCCCAGTGATGTTGGATGACAGCGACTTCCAGGCGGCCATCCAACCTGACCAGTCCAGCAACTGCAGCTCGGCCCTCAAAGCCAGTGGCTCTTGGGAGAGCCAAGCCGCATCCCCCTATTCCCCTGAATTCCTGTCCCCTCCACTTTCACCGACTCACTCTCCCCCGACGCCCACTGCAGTCGTCCCGAACGTCGACATCTTCATCAACTACGACGCCAAGCACCTTCACAATGCTGGAGCGAGCATTACAGACCGTGCTGATGACCCTGACATAGCATCGAGCACGAATTCCCTCTCTCCTCCTTTGACTCCGTCGCACTTGGACGTCCCGCTTGCGTCAACGGTCGTAGAAGTCCCGTATGCACTTGCATCAGCGTCGGCTTCACCGTCTTACTCTGCAGGCTACAACAGTCCCGCCGGGTCTCCGGTCACAATTTCGGAGACCTGCGTTGCAACTTGTGCATCGCCTGTCCCATCGATGGAAGAAGAGATACTCAGTGACATCAAATCGGAGCCATCATCGCCCTCCTACCTACCGGCCAGCCGGGTTGGGTCTCCGATCGATTGCATTGGAGCCGTCAGCTCACCGGTTGCAAGCACAAGCACTTGCGCGAAATTTTCGGCCGCCGGCAACGCCGACATTCTCTCGCCAGTTGAGCCAAGCTCACCGGAAAGTTGCCTCTCGGCACCTTCTTCATTGCCCGGTCCGGAACAGTTTGCAGAGAGCCCTTTGCCACACGCAAGCGCAGACAGCGAAGACCATGACCTCCACGATGGCGGCGACGATCCCATGGACGCCGACTTCGCACCCGAGGCCAGCGGGTCCGATTCGGAGTCTGCACACGACTCTGCGGCAGAGGAGCCGCCTCGCAAAAGGAAGCGGACGGTCAAACGTCGGCCCCGGGCAAAGGCTGACGTGAGCAGTCGCCGAGAGAGGAAGCGCCTGCAGAACAAGGATGCAGCAACACGCTATCGTCAGAAAAAGAAGCAGGAGGTCAGCAAGTTCGAGGAAGAGCTCGAGGAGCTCACTGCGACCAACGTCAACCTCAATCATGAGGCACAGCGCATCTCGAATGAAATTTCTTACCTCAAGGGGCTGATGCGAGACCTCTTCAGAGCGAAGGGGCTCATCAAGTGAAGCCAGGCACACTTCATAATATGCACATGAAGTGCATTTATTTCAGAAATGCTCACCGAGGTGTCTTTTGGCATGAACACCACCAAAGTAAGGCAGTAACAAAGGTCTAATAGGATCAGTTAATTTCTGTTGCAGCTGACCACACTGGTGCACCTGCTAGTTGCGCTGGAATAGGTAGTTTGCGCTAAGCATAATCTCTATTGCTAACGTTACCTTGTGACGCAATAGAAAATCAGTACTTACAGTGAAACGTCAAATGAGATAAAACTGTTTTGAAGCATGTTGCAGCTTCTACAGAAATTTAACGCATTCGATATCTCGGTGCCTGCTCTGTGGCTAGTGTATTTAGTAGCTGACGGGTTTGGCTCGTGCAATCTCTTGTCGCAGCTTTCCCAATGTGTAGTTTGTGGCTTAGACGTGGTAGATGATGAAGTTGTATGTTCGTGTTTCGACTGTTGGGCACTGTATAACTTTCCTTGTTTACATACACCATGACTTAACCTACATACTAATTTACATATCTCATTCCTGTATTCTTTTTCTTTTTTTCAGAATGTCTATTTATGTACCCTCCATTTTATGTTTGTATTGCATGCATAAGTAAAAAAATAAAGGCATGCACTCGATAAAGACCTGTGCTCAATTTTTTCTCGTTTTCTCCTCCCATGATTAATGGCATGTTAAGTGGTTGTTTGAGAGTGCTCCAACCATGTTTGACGGTGGTAAATTACACAGCTTTAAAAGTTAACAAGAAGAAGCGGGTATCGAAATGGTGTTGCACCTTCCTCGTGTATTAACCTGCTCATTTTTGTAGTATGCTTCGTTCCTCTTTTACATCAACTGTTCATCAAGCCTGAAACAACCGTTCATGTGCCTCTCAAGTGTATGCTCTTCTCCGAGTTTAGCTTCAGTTGTGAAAAGAACGTATAAAATGTTTTGATACCACACTTTGAGGTATGCATTTGGTGCCGCTGGAAACAATGACTGCTTATTCCTTTGAAATCTTTAGTACACCTCTATGATGGCAGTTTTTACACGGTCGTCCACCTCTTAGGTGACCACCTAAGTAGTGTTGAAGGCCTCTGGAAGATGATGCTCGGTACGTAACTTGCAAAATTATCGTTTATGAACATGATAATCAGATGTCATATAACAGACGTTTCTTTCATGAAATGTCTAGATTTAGCAGCTTAAATATTATCTAGGTGTTTGACCTCTGATGTGGACGACCTTGTACAGTTTAATAGAGGGATACCAGTACACCCTTAACATGTACTAATCGGTTTTATGTGTATTAGTATATGCGAGCAGAAGACTTATGTGCTTCAGAAATTTCATATCCACCAGTTGCTCCCGGCTACGCCATCGCATTTGGGAAATCCTACCGTATTCGTTGGATGAAGTTTTTCTCCTCCTCCGCCCAATTGACTGCGTAAGCGGAGCAAGATGTGCGTTTTGTGTTCCAAGCGCAACGTGAGCAAGCCAAGAGGCTGTAGAATCTCTTCGAACAAGACCGAGAAATATGATGCGGTGGAATTCAGTGTGTCAGCTTGAAACGCCAAGGCATGGCTATCGAGAAGAGAAACCGCTTTTACTAGGGCACTGTTTGTTATGAAGCTCTCACGCTGACAAGAGACAACTCGCAAATGCAGTAAATGAAAATAGTGTCAGGCGGTAGTTCAAGGCGTTCTATGGTGAGGCTTGTCACAGCTTGCAAGATGTCAGCATCAGCAAGCTGTGACAAGATGGCAGTAGTTCAAGGCGTTCTATGGTGAGGCTTGTTACAGATGTCAGCATCATCAGCAAGAGTTGTTTCCTTCCTCCACGTTCACAACTCACAAACCATGCTCCAATCTTCACAAAACTAGGGTGCCTAACAAAACCATTGCCAAATTTATAGAGGTACGCACATTGTCGTCCGGCCACACAGATCCAATTCAATCCACTAAAATACTCATAGCCTCGTAGATTTTTTTTGCCTGTCGAATTATCGGCGGTCACTTGAAAAGCGGCCGTCGTCGGAACTATGATGCTGGCGCCACATAAGTGGGGGTGTCTTCAAATAAGTTTTTACGTTTTTGAAGCTTATATGCAACACAAATATTGTAAAAAAAGTTTTAAAAAAGGCGTAAACGTACTTATAATTAACACTACGTAAGTGACGCCGTCATTCAACTGGCAACTCTTTCGATACACGACATTGCCTTTGAAATTAGTAGCAAACGCCAAAATTTTAAAGGTCAAGTACAAAAAAACTTTACTACTACGTAGGCGGCGCTGCCACAGATGACAGACATGCTAAGCAGCGGGGTGAACCGACAGATGATGTTGAAAGAAAATGGGCAACCTTTCTAAGCTGTAGAAGGGATGCATCCCTTCTGATCAATGAAAAGATTAGAAGGAAGGGAGCTCAGTGGCTGGCAGAAGTACATAAAAAAGATAGAAAGGCAGCTGCGAAATTTTGGAACCATCTAAACTCCCTAAGAAATGAGACGAGCCTAGAGCAGAACTTTATAACTACAGCCCAAGGCGCTAGGCTTGAAGGGGACGAAGCTATTGAATATATAAGAACAAGGGTGACAGAAAAATTTCAACAAAGAAGTACTTTATGCACCACAATAGACAAGGAGGAATCAAGTGGTGCAATGGCTCCATTTTCACAACAAGAGTGGGAAATGGCTGAGAAAAGGGTTCCTAGTAGTACATCAACAGGCCCAGATGGCATTCCAATCAGGCTGATAGAGACACTAGGTCCGAAGTCTAAGCAGGCTTTGAGAGAGGCAGTGAGCACAATAATAATCGATGGTGAAGTTCCCGATGGATGGAAACTTAGCAGGATGAGCATGATCTATAAAGGAAAGGGGGACAAAGCTGACAAACAACTACCGTCCTATAACAGTGACATCAGTGGTCTACAGGCTGGCGATGCAGATTATAAAGGAAAGACTGCAGGCATGGATAGAGGATGAGGGGGTGCTGGGGGAACTGCAGAATAGGTTTCGGAAACACAGGAGGTTGGAAGACAATCTGTTCTCACTGACGCAGTGCATCGAAATAGCAGAAAAAGAACTCAGGCCCTTGTGGCTAGCATTTTTGGATATCAAGGGAGCGTACGATAGCGTGGTTCAAGGGGACTTGTGGGGAATACTGGACACACTAGGCGTGGAAGATGTAGTCACTAATCTTTTAAAGGATATCTATAAAGGTAACAAGGTAATTATAAAGTGGGAAAAACAGGTATACAAGCCTGCAGAGGTAAAACGGCGGCTTAGGCAGGGGTGTCCCCTGTCACCCTTATTATTAATGATGTACCTACAAGGATTAGAGGCCAAATTAGAGGGAAGTGGACTGGGCTTCAACCTCTCTTTAGTCAAACAAGGAAAACTTATTGATCAGGCACTACCAGCATTAATGTACGCAGATGATATAGTGCTAATGGCCAACAACAAGGAAGATTTGCAGAGATTGATGGACATCTGCGGTAATGAGGGAGATAGGTTAGATTTTAGATTCAGTAAGGAAAAATCAGCAGTCATGATTTTCAATGACAACGAAGGTAGTGAGCTTCGAATACAGGAGATCACGCTAGAGGTAACAGATAAATACAAATATCTGGGCGTATGGATAAGCAATGGGACCGAGTATCTGAGGGAACACGAAATATACGTGACGACTAAAGGTAACAGGAATGCAGCAGTCATGAAAAATAGGGCACTGTGGAATTACAATAGGTATGATGTTGTGAGAGGAATATGGAAAGGAGTCATGGTTCCTGGGCTGACGTTCAGCAATGCGGTCTTGTGCATGAGATCAGAAGTTCAAGCAAGATTAGAAATTAAGCAACGTGGAATAGGCAGGCTTGCTTTAGGAGCTCACGGGAATACACCAAATCATGGAGTACAAGGTGATATGGGATGGACATCATTTGAGGGCAGGGAAGCTAGCAGCAAGATAAAATTTGAGAAGCGATTGAGAGAAATGGGGGAAGAGCGTTGGGCTAGGAAGGTTTTCAGCTACTTGTACATGAAGAATGTCGATACAAAATGGAGGAAGCGAACCAGGAAGTTGACTGGTAAATACTTAGAAAACAGCAGGTGGCCAAACCAAAAAGAACTATCGGTTAAGAAAAAAGTGAAGGAAACGGAGACTGACATGTGGAGAATGGGCATGATTAAGAAGCCCGCACTAGAGATCTATCGAACTTTTAAGCCGGAAATTGCCAAGGAAAGGATCTATAATAATACTTGGGGTAGTTCTCTACTGTTTGAGGCCAGGACGGGAGTACTGCGAACCAAGACATATCGGGCCAAATACGAAGGGGTAGACACAGTATGCAGTGCGTGTGGAGAGGAAGAGGAGACTGCCGAACACTTGATAATGTTCTGTAAAGGGCTTCACCCTATAGTTCAGGATGATGGCGCAGAGTTTTTCAAAGCACTGGGGTTTAGGGACCGGGAGGGCAAAATAAACTTTAAGCGGGTAGACTTAACTAGAAGGAGGTTATCTAATTGGTGACTAAAGTCAAGGCACGAGCGAAAATTAAACTCTTCTCTGCAAAGTACGAATCCTCAAACTCACTTTTTAAGGGAAAAAAATAATAGATTTTGAGTTCATTAAGTATTACGGCTTGGTGGCGCTAGCTACCGCCCAATCTAAAGGGTACAGTCATATCAATCCATCCATTCATCCATTGGTAGCGCTAGCCACCGCCCGATCTAAATGGTACAGCCATAAGGCTGTGGAAACAACCATTTTCGTTATGTTTCGAAAGCGTCATCCGAGTGGTCACAGAACACCTATCAGTTTGTGGTGGTAGTGTATAAGTGTTCTGTGGTCATCCATGAAATCATTGTTTCCTTCATGGTGGCATCATATTTGTAACAAGTTCACCGTAGTCGTTTATTGTAGTATGCTAGAATAATATAATGAAATGGGAGGTTATGATGGTAAACCATAGCCGCCTCTAAGCGGCTATGCATTTCCACGCATGATTCTAATCGAGACTGACAGTTCCGCACGTCCCAGGTCGTGGACAGTGCTACCGATGCATCGGTGGCATGTATTGCAACGTTCCCAAAGGTTCAACAACAAAGGTATGCTGTTCTCAAAACGCTCGAGCTTAATTGTTTTTGCCGCATGCTTGTTGTACAGTGCTCATCGATCGAAACCGCAGTGCTGAATGGTCGGTTGGTTGCGCAAGTGCACGTCGCTTTCGCATTGTGCTGGTGCTGTTTGAGACGATGAGTTTCTGATGTCGCAGATGGGATGTGGTGCTGAGTAGTTTGGTTTCCGTTGCCAAGCCTCAGGGGGGCACCCGCGAATACAATTAACTGGAAGACGCAGAATATCCGGTTCACCTTAGGGGTAGTGTGTGTGGGGGGTATCATTTAGAAGGTGTTAAGAGCAGTGTTGGGCATCGGTGAGCACCAATGAACCCAAGTGCCAGCTATGGTGTCCCTATTCGGGGCCGGAGTCGCCGCCTTGTATCATAAGTGAAATTCCACCTTGCTGTAGTCAAAGCGCCTACCATCCCTCCCGTTTTCTGCCGCAAATCGTGCCGATAATCGCAAAATTATGTGCATTCCTCGAAACTTCAAGCACCTTACTTGGTTTTCAGTCCGTGTGGCTCGTAACATTGGGCGAAATGGCTTGCTTCCCCTATCGTACGGCGGCTTCACATGCCATGCGATAACGTGAAAGCCATCATGCGGCAATGGGAGTTGATAGAGTTCCTCTCGTTTGCTCACTAATTTAATAAAAAGATGTATTATGCCCCTCCTCCCCTGTTAAGAACAATGAACGCACACAAACGGCCTTCAAGCCCTTGTTAATTGGGTTCTGGGGGAGACAAGCAAGCAGCATCGGAAACTTTGCGGCTCATGTGCATGTAAGCGTTCGTAACTTCAGCCCCGACGCTTTCTTTCTGACCACCCTGCACCATCGCTAGACGGTGCAGGCGTAATGGGCGTCTGCAAGTTGTATAGGCAAAGCACTTGCGTGTAGCGTGTATCTGAGGCCGTGCACATAGGTTGCACGACCTCTCTCAAATATTCCAAGGCTCTTTGCACCGTGGTTTCACCTTACGTGCACCACGTTGCATTCAAGTGCTGCAGTGCAGCGAACCATGTGTCTCACTGTTTGTCAGCTGTTTAAATCGAATAATGATGTGAGAGTTCCCAAAAGTGAACGCAAGCTGAATTTAACAGCTGCTGTCTTTGAGCGAACTGTGGGGGAATGCAGTGACGTCATTTTCGGTATGCCCTGTCTGCAATAGCAGCTTTGTTGAACAGTAGCCTCTGTGATTTGCTCTGGTGACAAGGCACAGCTAAAGCTAATCAAGAAGGCCACAGTGGAAGACAAGAGAGACGCATGTTCACATTGCCCTCAGCCGTCTGTTTTTACGGCAGATATTGTAATCGAGCTGCGGAACTTTCAGCATCTTTTTACTTACGTGAGCCTCCGGTACATAAACAGTACTCTTGCAATCAGTTGGAATCAGTGAGGGGCTAGAGCTTTGTCAGGATGCAGCACGGCTCCGCAAACAGAAACAAAGACGCCGTAGTTTCTGCTGGTACGCATGCCCACAGTGTGCTCACATAGGCAGAGCATGACAAACATTTCTGTCGTGTATTGTGAAGTTTTCTGCAACAACCGCAAAAGAAATTGCAACATCATCAACAATAATGTCAGCCTTGTTGACCATGAACTTTCACGGAATTCTAGAACGACTTCAGCTTCCCTTTAAGCTGGTTACTTGGTTTCCTCCCTTTATTCTCAGGCATTTGGTGTCCTTCCAGAGATGGGGTTCTCGGGCCGCATCTCTGAGGTCAACAGCAGCAACCTCCGCTGCAGAGGTGCTCCCAGCCGAAATTCAGGCATGGACGCAGCTCCAAGCACAACTCGCCTTCCAGATCCACCTATCCTCGGCATTCCCTTTGTATGTAAAGCTGAATCGCCGATTGATGCAACGGAAGTGTATGCTGGTGCGGTGGAGCATGTAAACATAAAATCGGAACCAATGTCTCCCCTCCATTTTCAAGACAGCCATGCGTTCTCCCCATCAGAATGCTTTGAATCCATTTATCCCACCAGCGTGGCATCTTCGAGTGCAGACTGTTGCTCAAGTTTACCAAGTACCATTGCCGACTTTCTTGATTTGCCAGTTGAGCCGGGTTGTCCAGCCGGTAGCCACAGTATGCCTTCGGTGATGCCAGTGCAAAGTTTGTCTGCTGTGAAAAGTTCACCGCCTGGAAGTCCCTGCAGAGACATTGGAAGCATCAACAGCGACGATTCGCAGAACATTGACCTTACACCCGAAGCCACTGTGTCCCGTTTGGAGCACGAACAAGACTCTGTTTCTGGTGTCGCATTTAGGGAGACTGCAGGTGAAGGTTTACAGCATGCCTGTACACAGCATGCCTGTACGGGCTGTAAAGACTTAAGCAACAAGCTTAACCATAAGCGTTTCCTCGATAGAACGCGGTCATTGTCATACCGGGCGGGAAAGATGCCAGTCATACAAAAGGCCGAAAAAGAGATCGCAATGCTCGCCGCGAGAAACGCCAGCCTTCGGTTGGAGGTTGAGCATGCTGAGCACACAATTGCGTCCTTGAGGAGAGTGCTGCGCGATATCGTTTTAGCGAAGTTCCAGCACAGTGGCATGTCGCCGAACATTTGAAGAACATGTAAGGTGTGCTCATTAGTAAGTACTTAAGAGTGCAAAACTCTTCATCCAGGCCATATCTGGACCATGTGGCAAGAAATTCAATTAATGAACTAGTTTACAGGACATGTCATGACAACTCAGTGACTATCTGTTGTGTGACTTTGATCTGCATGGTTCAGAACCCTCTGATCGTATTGTTTGCAGCTTTAGTGCGATACGTGAAAATGTGGCTAGGCAAAGCACTTGCGTGTCCTGGCTGTCATATACACTCATACATCGGCATATTGGGCACGGACATAATGAAATATTGGTTATAACGAAGGAAATGAAGAATAATCTTGCCATAGCTATGGCGTTGGAATATACCTTCATAACAAGCTTTTAAATACAACTAACTTATTCTTGTCTAAGATGCAACTTGTTATAATGAAGTTTGAGTGTATTTCATTTCTACATACCATACGCCACATTATTGACTCTGTGTATTATCTTGGTCTCAACGTAGAAAAGAAAACTTTTTTTTTTGTTAGACACAACCTATTAAAAGCCGACAGACGATGAGGCCAAGGAGGGTACTGGAGACATCTGTTAAGACTGCATGAACATCCATAATACCTTCTCTGGCTGTTCACTGTCTATTGATATTCATTATTTTGCTGTCAATGTCTCATTCAACATTTATTTTCACCCTGTGCATCTATTTGTATGTTCCTGTTGTATGCATCAACTAAATAAGTTCGTGCACCTGAGTATACGCTTCCAATGTGTTTCGTGTAGCTTCATGCATTCTTAGTCATCTAGAACAGTGTTTCTCAAGTGGAGGTTTGAGGGAGTCTGCGAAACCCATCCTTGAAAAAAGGGCACCCACATCACGTTGCACGTAGTGTTAATTCATGACTAGAGCTTTGTCTTTTTGGAGTTCCCTCTTCTGTCCACAAATGGTGCCACATACTCAAATGACAGTGGTCACTTCATACACCCAAATTTATGGCCGTTGGCCGATTTGAGCATTACGGGCTGCACAAGTTACCGTGGTCGCCGCGAGAGGCCACCACGTGTCTGCACGCACACTCACGGTTACACACAGAAAGTAAGCTGCCCGTTTGAAGGGAAGAAAGAAAGTGTTTGAAGTCATAACCCGCGTGATGCGACTTCTTTTCCTCATGCCATACCCCTCCCTGCTTAACTTCCAGCCCGTTCATTGGGATGAGAAAAGAGAGAAAGCAATCACAGTGTGAGACACATCTTTCAACCCGACTCGTACTCGACAGATCATAAAAAAATTTTGGGGCAGTCGATTAGTGAGGCAAGTAACTCCTTTAATGAAGCCATTTGATGGTCAATTGAAAATGTGTTGCGGCATCCCTTTAAATAACACAAGCACACAAATCATTTGACAAGACTTTGGTGTTGGAAGAAAATGTTTGCGTTCCAATTTTAGTTTTATTCCGGCGCGAGAAGTTCTCTCATGTTTCTGTTATGGAACGAAAAAAAAAAAAAGGGACGGTTCAGTCATGGTGTCTAGCGTTTCTTACTTTTATGCAAAAGCTTGAAGGTAAAGTAATAATAAAGAGACAGGACTTCTGGTATAGTTGCTTGCAAATTTGTTAATGTTGGACTGGGGCGAAACGCACTCTTCCAACGTTCTTAAGAGGAGCACAAGTGATTGTACCATGACCTCCTTGCAAGTGGCGTAAAACAGTGCTCGCATAATTTATAGTGCTTACTTTTCTCAAAAGAGAATCGCAAATTTACAGAGTTGGCTCAGTGCTTGTGTGAAGAGAGCGAGCATGATCTCGGAAGCAGCCTGTTATCTTGTGCAATCTCGTGATATGAGAGAGCGTTGTTCTGATGAAACAAATATGGGTTTTACGTCCCAGTACCACCATATGATTATGAGAGACCGCTGATGGAGGCTCCGGAAATTTCGACTATCTGGTGTTCTTCGACCTGCACTGATATCACACAGTACACGAGCCTCTACCGTTTCGCCTCCATTGAAATGCGCCTGCCGCGCCTGGGATCGAACCTGCTACCTTTGGGTCGCCAGCTGAGCTTTGTAACCGCTACACCACTGCGGCGGACTTTCTCTTAAAACAAATTCGGCGCTGGGAATACCTTCTTTACGTGTGTGACTGTGATGTGATTGTGCGCATTTGGAAAGTGTGCCACGCCATCAGCCTGAACCAAAATGGACAATTAAGGTGACGCTCGTTTGCGGCACATGTGGGCGCGAACATTTTAAGCCAATGAGGTGCCTCCACGGAGATATAGGGGAGCCACGGGAGAAAAACAGTGAAGCCAGGCCGAGTCGGGACCGAGTGAAGAAGGTGGCCAGGGTGTGGGAGTGGCGGCCAGCAGAGCTCCTGCATCAAGGTCGCAGCGGGCTCCCACCTGGACGCAGAGCTTCTTCTCGTCGCCTGACGTGGGCCAGGCTTGTTCTGGTCTTCTGGCGTTGGCCAAGAAACGTCTCCGGCTTCGTGTGCGAGCTGCGGCTGCCGAACGCCGAAAGGTCGCTGACCTCGACCAGCTTGACGCTTCTTTCCGTGCCAGTCAACGTCGTGAGCGTCTCAACCTATTCGCCGGTCTTCCCCTGCTGCATGAGTGCGTCTTCGCCGTTACTCCGTCGCATCAGCTGCAAGCAACGCGTCTCGGTGTATGGTGATATGGGTTTTCTCCGGTTAACTTTTATTTCCGCGCACTGCTTGAATCTTTTAGCCATCTAGTGTTCCTGTTAAGCTCTTTTACTTTTGCATGCTCTGTTCTTTGTTGTTTACTCCCTTTTGGCAGTTTCGTAAATATATTGAGTGTTGGAAATTTGGTGGAAGCAAATGGTCTCGTCAGCTCATTTCCTGATGACGGTTATGTCATCGGTTTTCGGTTTACACGAACCTACGCGGGAGCTTGCCCATTAAACAGCCTCGTGACAGTGACATGCGCATGAAAGCCCACTTGAATCAATATAAACAGTTATTTTACCGACTTGTTTTATTTTTTACAAGATTTTACATGCTTATCTTGAAATTCCTACTGGTCATACGCGCTGGTGCTGTACCCTGAGATCTGCATTTTTTTTCCCGTTGCATGGCTGTAGTTGTTTCAGATCACTAAGTTTTGCCGTGGACCAAAAAACCGCCAGGTCTCTGCGAAACACGCAGCACAGTCGCAGCGAAAGCTGCAAGAGAGGCCTTTTAGGAATCTTATATTTTTAAAACTCTTTGGTACAAGAACACTTGCAGGCTACCCACTATGCCATTAATTATAATTTTTTTGTTGTAGGGAGGCATTCCATGTGCCATCCTTTCTCATTCTTCGGAGAAGCGTGGTACCCACTACATACTTGCAAGGAATTTTGCGCAATTTTTTTATTCTGTGGCTGACGACGACAAAGAGTTATGTCTGAAGCATTTTTAATGAGTTGGAGCGTTCAACAACTACTCGTTATGCAATTTGCATTGTGCAACGTCTGGTTGTTCCTTCGCTGTCCTAAAAGCTTTATTACTCGTACTGACGCGAATCCTTCCCGGACACAGGGACGGATTATCCGGGGTTCAAATGAACAGGGCCCTCCGCTTCTAGGGGCTTGCGAGAGCAATAAAAATGGCTGACTTCCAAACTTTCGCTAAGCAGTTGTGGCATATCACACGGCAGTTAGAGTTGTTAACAATTTATAGGCACAAGCCCACAAAACTTTTTATAGCATTCCTCAGTTTACATTATTTCTTTACTTTTTTCACCTTTATACATGAAAAAAAAAATGGTACAGTTATCTTTCCTGAATGCTGTGGCACAAACAGCATTGAAATCTAATATTATGTAACAAACCTACAGCCCAATGAAAAGGGTCAGTTCAAAAGAGTCTCCCTATATAGTATGCATTTAATAGGGAACGCCAAATATTATTAAGTAGTAGAACCAGAGTATTCAATCAGGTACTTGTAGATTTTTACAAATATTTCTCGGCGTTGGTAATTTAAGCGCAGTTGAAGCATATTGTTTAGGCATCGGTAACTGCGCGTGGAATTTTTGTTTGAATGCAACTACACATAATCCGTATGTCTGTCGCATTTGTTCACGTCAGACCTAATGAAACCAATGAAGTTTTTCGGCACAAATTTATGATAATGTTACTGCCCTTCTTGGTGCGATTTGCGATTCATCTGTTCCAACGTACTGTGCGAGTTTCAGAAATTTCCCAATAAAGTAAATGAAGCGTTCAAGTCCCATCAACTCTTGAATCCACATGTAACAAATCTTTCGATGTGGCACAGTATATGCCAAGGGAAATTGATTGCTTCATTTTGTCGATTTGGATGAGAGCTCTCGCGTTAGGGCTTGTTCTTGATACCTCATGTGCAGCTAACTTGCAATTACGTCACGGAACTCTGGGATACAATCTCTGCATACACCACCATCCCCGAGCACATGGCAGCCTAGGACGTCGAGTCGAGCTGTGCGGCTCTCGCATTTCCTGTCGATGCGTCGCAATGGAGGTTTGTGCAATATTTGACCGTCTCACGAGAAGTAAGTGTAAATCGGGTAAAGCAGGACCAGACGCAAGGACGTACTGTTTGCCAAAGGTGATCACAAACCTGTGACGAAGGAGCTGTTCAAGCAGCGGCATAAACAGGAAAGATCGCATAAACAGGAAAGACCACAATACAAGGAACAATGTTTACGTGTGCGGGCGTCACTTCATGACAGAAAAGTCGTGTTTCCGAATGTCGTACGAAGTCGTTTCACTTATTACGTGTGACGCCATAGACACTGCACACACGAATGATCCGAGTTCCCCAGCCAACGCTGCAGGCTGCATAATGTCCCGAATCATTCTCTCTTGTCGTAAGTGGCAAGCAATCGATACGCATGCCTTATGCCTAACTATTGGCCGCACGAACGTAAACGTGGCGCAGTCACCGAGACGAATGTGCTCTGTTGGCTCGGTGATAGCGGACGGAAGATGGGAACTGACATTACGTGCAAGTTATGTACTGTAATGCTAGTACTACTAGCAATAATGTTATGATGTAGTGAAGCAAGACGTAAAGTTGTGGGTGTACATAAGCAATGTATGCGTGCATACACATATGCAAAGAGCTCGCGGGTTGAATTGTGAGCATTTAGGGCCAGATAATGGACATGCTTTCGATCTGAACACTTACGTTGACGCCGACATATTTCTATAGCCGAGTGCGTAGTGAAACGATGCGTTATCTCGGACAAGTGCGCATACCAGTCGTGCTGAAAGTTTAGGCGTTTCATTTTAACGTGCGCTCACTGTACATACACATTTGCATCTTTCCAACATTCTCAAAATATATTGGTGAAAGTGTGGGATAGCGTTAACCGCAATATTACTAATGCTCACAATATATTGGCGAGCTTATGCACTGTGTACATGGCATCCAAAACAGCACTGCACGAGTAAGAACGCTGCATTTCACAGCGAAAGCTGTTAGATCACACTAAGGGTAGCGTGCGCCGCAGTTTTCCAACGCTGTCCGTAACCTCTATTGCGCAAAATAAGAAAAAAAACTAAGTAAACGAAAACACCAACGACACAATGAGATTTGAACCTGAGTCCCCTGAGTTCCAGCCCAGTGTTTTGCCACAGAGCCGTGCTGGTACTCGAAACTTCCTTGCAAACAGACCTTAGGCAGGCTTGACGTCGTGGAAGGAATCTCGTTAACATGAGTAATAAAGCATTTCAAAACGGCAAAAGAACAACCAGGCGCCGCACAATGCGAATTCCACAACGAGTGGTCGTCAAACGATCCAACCCATAACAATAGCTTCAGGCATAATTCTTCATCGTCGTCAGTCACAGCATCAGAAAAATTGCACGGAACTCCTTCCTAGTGTGTTGCGGGTACCACGCTTCTTCGAAGCATAGTGAATTGGCATAGTGAATTCCGAAAAGTAGGTACGTGCCAGTTATCTAGGAAAACAAAGAAACAAATACTTCCCTACTGCACAAAAATTATGATGCTTGATGTCATAGTGGGTTGCCCTGCAAGTGTGCTTATTTGTAGCAGTTACCCAAAGAGTTTAAGAAAAGCCCTGAAAGGCCACTTTTGCAGCTTTTGCTGTGCCTGTGCTGCACGTTCCGCACAGGCCTGGTGGTTTTTCTCCCAACGCCCAAGCAAAAGTTGAGCGTACGCCCTCCATGTGGTTTTCTTCCATTTGCAATCATTATGGATGCACTGTACACATTGTTGCAACTCGTTGAGTAACAGAGCATCAAAACATCAACAAATCTCCCATGCAGCCCATACGCACACGAAAAAGAAGCAATTCCTTCGAACCACCGAAAATATTTTATTGAGTCGCTCTGCACACTGCAACGAAAACTTCGCCCGAAGGGCGTAGCATTCCCAGTCACTCGTGTCGCAAAGTGCACTGTCATCCAAACACAGCTTCAAAGGTTCTGCGCATGCGCGTGTATAAATTACTGTACAAAAAAACGAAAGCCCTGCTCAAATTCAGGCTGTCGCACTTTCCTTTGCACTGAGCCAGTCCTGTCTGCATTAATCACACAACAAACACCACCGCCGGGGAGAGGCCATTCCTTCTCAAGGTACACGCGGAAAAAATGTTGCATCGCCGCCGGCAAAATCCGCCGCACAATGCTAACGTCTTCACAATTAGCGACGGTCAACAGGATCCCGCGGACAAGTTGTTCACGTGAGCTCCGTTTACAACATGGTTTCATGTAAAAAAATGCAATTTTGCTACAATTTGTTAAAAAACAAACCAGACGTTTGGGAAACTAACAGTGTTAGTCCATTTGACACAAATGTGTACACATGGAAAACATCTTTGATGAACTGATGAGAGAGAGAAATGTTTTTTTGCATAGAGGCAAGCAAATTACAATCGATCTGAATGAACTGTGGCTTCTGGTGGTGTCACCAAATTCAATTGTCAAGAAATGGTGCTCGAAGCATTAATTTGTTTGAAACCAGTGATGTTGCAAAAAACACTGTTGTTTGTGTTGACTCAAAGGTCTTGGCAAGTAGACGAGCATGTATTTAAAAACCTTCAAAAAACCCGTGAGACTGAAAAAATGTGGACGCATTTTTATAAGACACACACAAAAAAGATGACTGTCATTAGTGTCGCTGCACTGCAGTTCTTGCCGTTGCCCCAGAAAACTCGGTTATCACAAAATTGCATCTAAACGTCCCTGTCGCAACGAACCTATCCTATGGACCTATTACAAAATGCAGACGGTGTTGTGAAGTGAATGAAAAATGAAATGGTGTTTATATATGCTTGTAGATGTAGCTCCTAGCAACAGTGACAGCTGTGGCTTTGTTGGGAAGCACCTTATTTGCGAAAGCACTCGTGGTACCCAAACTCTCAACCCCTTCAATAGGTGTACATTTCTATAAAGGTGACCCCACACACGCTATCGGCACTTGTGCAAATAGAACCGATCCTGCCATGTTTTTGCCGATAAGTCTTTCGCAGCACTTCCATCCTCAAGAGGAAGCGTAGGCTGTCAAATGATTTGAACGAAAGAGTGGCTGGACAGTAATTTTGAGGCCCGACGAAAGTTACGCTTCCCGAGTCTATTAGTGCAAGAGATTTCTTGTTCTGCCGATGTTACACAGTTTGATTGGGCAGGAGCAAGCTTCGATACGCAATTTCAAAACCAAGTTTTGTATGCGGGGAACCGCTATGGTTGAAATCTGGTGCTTACCGGTTTTCCTCATGCTACCCTTGACTGGTGCTGAGTTTCCCCGAGGCATTTTTTTTTTTTGCGTTTTCAAGAGAAACTGCGACTGGACAATCAAATATTGAAGTTTCCGAACTTGTTCAATTTTGATTATTTATTCCCAGGTGTCTAAACTACACCGAAAACAGTGCTTTATGAGACGATTCAAATGGTGCTGCAATATTTTTACACCGCAAAAGGTGTTTAAAAGCCCTCTCACCCTATTTTTTAGGCATCAACACAGGGCGTTTTCACTGCTGCACAGCTTGAAGGGCTTCCGAGAGTTATGCAATGTGTCGTGAGTGCACATAATTAGAAGAGGCGCAAACAACGGGAGACAAACGCAGCGACTTTACGTCAGTTCCTCTTTATCAGCCAAAGCCGTCTTCTTTTTTTCTTTGCAGCCACCTTTTTTTTTACTCCTTTGATTTGGTTCTCAAGCTCTGCCATGCGAGCAAGACAGTTTATCCTGGTGATAAGAGTGGTCGCAGGGCCAAGAGACGTGCCACTGACAAAGGGGCCGAAAGTACGAAGAAGGGCTGCTTCGAAATCCGCTCTTTGCTGTGTACGATAACCTCTGGCCGACGGCTCGTAAAATACCCTCTCAGAGTAACTTAAGGGATGACAAGTGTGCGCGTCATTACAGATGCGTCCGGTACCCCTCATGTTATAGTAAAAGCAAAGAAAAAAAATCTCGCGCAGGTGTCATCTTACACCAACTTTAAAAGGACATCAACCTCCAGAGTAAGCACACAATCAGTCACAAAAGAGTGCAATGGGAGCATTTATAAGTAAAAAGAAAAATCGAGCGTCTTGAAGGACAGCATACATTACTTTTTTCTCTTTGAAACGGCATTGAGGTACCACATTATGCCGTTAGTTTATGAGCAAAAAGGAGAATTCGAAAGCTCGTTTTTCTTTTTATGTACCATGTTAAGAGAACTAATAGATAATCAAACCAGGGAAAGTAATTTTCCTGGCTCGATTGTCTGTTAGTTTTCATTATAGTTAATCTATAAAGTAATTCAGGTCATGCATAAGGCAAGCAATTATTGCCGCTGTAATTGCAACCTGTTGATAAAAAAATAGATACAAGACGGCAATTTAAGGTCAGAAAACTGGCTGTAGTAAAATGAAGTAGTGTGTGTGTGTTTGTTTTCATCGTTACTCAATCCTTTATGTAATACAACCTTTTCTTGCAAACATGCAAGATGCACTTAAATTCAAAGCCTGCCTAATGAAAGTGCTTCTACTGCTAATCGTGGCTCTTTCGTGGCAGCCTTCTCTGTTGCTACTTTAGCATTTCTTGTTTCACTACACTGTACTAAGCAATCGCTACTTCTATTTCTTTGTAGCTTCTCAAAGTGTACCTTCTTTGTAGCTCCTAAATATTCTCAAAGTGCACTATGATTGGATATTTCACAAACAGCATTCCAAACATTGCATTTTTTTCCTTTCCCATATGATAACCTCACAAATGTTTTAAGGCCCACAACTCTACGATTCCATTATAGTGTCAGTGACCATTTGGCTTGAAGGTGAAACATGAAAAATAAGAGCGGCCTTAATTTTTCTCTCTTGATAATAAAGTTTTATTTACCCCACGCAAGGGCACTTGGCTTTGAAGTAATACTTAGCCAATGTACACAAGTTATTTAACAGATTGATTTTTGTAATGGCTCTAACTTTACTCTTGTGTCAAATGTGCAAGTGATTTACTGACGCATTACAACCAGAGTGTTTGGCTTGGGAGATCGTGAAGTGCTCTCAATGAATTTGAACCGCTAATGTGAAGACGATTTGTTTTTCCCAGTCATGACCGCTAACGGCAAAGAAAATGACATTGAGCTTTGGTGATTGCCCCCTCCTCTATACAAAACTGGAATTCATTTAATCAGCGGTGGACTGCATATTTGACTTCAAGGAAACACTACGCAGTCCACCTTCAGCTACTATAAGAAGCCAACTATGCATTATATGGTGTCAAAATCCGCATTATTGCCTGTCGTTTGTATCGTGCTTCTCAACACAGCGACACCATAATAGTTGTTGTCCAAAAACCACAATATGATTACGGGGGATGCCGTAGTGGTGAAAAGCTCCGGAAATATAGATCAACGTGCACCTAAATCTAAGCACATGAGCCTCTAGCACATTGCCTTTCATAGAAATGCGTCCAATACAGCCGGGATTCCACCCTTGACCTAACACAGCGACATTGTAAAAAAGTAGTTAACGCCTCAAATCTTCGCTTCATGAGTGCTCACATAAATGTTCCCGCATCATGTTCTCATCAAAAAGGAACTGGGAGCCTTCTATTCCACCACCCAGGGCTTGAAAGCAGAACTTCTGGAGCAACAGGAACAACCGCTCAAATGCTCGAGGAGAACGACGTGTTATAAAAACGGAAAATTCCACAAATGCGTGCGCAATTTAAAAAGGCGAGATTGAAACTGGACGTTGCAACTATAGGAAAACGGCCGATTTCTTTCGCATGCTGAGTGTACATATTCAGACACAGGATTGCTAGGCTGAAGACACACTTTTATGCGGTAGCTTTTCTTCGGCCGTTTTGAATGGTTGGATCGCTAATGTGCAGGCTGCGCTGATAAACAGTGGCACACGCAGTGAGCTATGGTCGCTTACAACACAAGAATGAGCTACAACTCCGAAACAACGGTGGGCATGTCCTTAGCTTTTTGCAAGAGTTGTACTAACTGGTTTTCACTTAAAGTGCAAGTGCTGCCAATACTAGGCATATAAAAGATGAAAGCTAGTCTTTCCCGACTAAAATGGTATTTTCGGCTGAGTACTGACTGATGTTAGAGTGTCTGATAAAATTTGCTTGGGTGTTGAAGTTTTCCATATTGAAACCAGTGACATGAATGTCTGCCTGTATGGCGAAATTAGACCACTATCTTGCAAAACCACTTAATGTCACGAAAATGAGCTTATGTTATTGATGGTACACCTAGGCAAATTTTCTTTTCGCGTGCCAGGGTAATGGCTGTGGACAAAGCTTATATGCTAAACTCTTAAGCATTTTTATGCTGACGCAATGACAGTACTGTCCATACCTTGTGTAATATACGAACAAAATAAGTTTCCTTCGGCGGGGCTGGGTTTGAACCAGGGAGCCTATGCATTAAAAGCAAGCTTTTTAACCGCTGGGCTACACAACCATGCTTACAGGATGTGAAAATATCTGAACCATATGATTGCGTTGTACCCGCAATGAAGAACACAAAGAGAGCTTCATTGAATTTTGTGGCAGCAAACGCCCACTCTAAAACAACATCTTAAACTGACATGGAGGATCGAAAATTTTACGTCATACGCGCATAATGACAGAGTTGTAACCCAAGATTAATGTAAGCTACACCTACAAAAGAGTGGCACACCTGTCCAACACCTGCGGGAAATATCTGTGCTAGCTCGTTCTCGCTCAAACTGCAAGCAGTTTTTTTTTCGGTTAATTTAAATACTATGCATATTAGGAGAAAATTTTGTCATTACTACCCAGTACATTAAATTTGGCAAGCAGGGATGTCATAATCCCCGAAAAAAATTGATGAACTTCAAGTTTCCGGCCTAGAACAAGCTTTTACCGCTTGATCTCGCGTGTCTGTATGTATAGATCCAACTATCTGAAACATGGAGCATTGTTGCTAATTATCGAAGGGAGGGACAGAGAAGGCCTTGGGCAGAGCTGGCATTTTTTCTTAAAGGGGTTACTGACACACGAAGATTGCCTTCACATTTTTCTACTGCAATGTCTTGCCGGGGGCTCATTAGTCGTGACATGGCACATAGTTTCCTGCAGCATCCAACAGATAATTAATTACAGGCTCCTCATTATTGACCAGTTGCGGTTCGAGAGCTTCAAGAACGACAAGCCGCTGGATGCAACTATCGCCACCTCGCGTGGGCAGCTCTCCACAAGTGTGCACACAGAACAATGACGCACTTCCACACGGTCCGCATCGAGTGTTCCTTTCGAGTGGGAAACGGGACTGCGCTGTCTCCAAACACATAAACGCATGCGCTGGAGACCAACCACCGAGAAGTACAGACTGCTGGGAACGAACATGGCAAAAAAAAAAAAAAAAAGGCTACTATCACGTCATTATAACCTGTTTTATTGACTGCAGCGGGGTGACACGAGGGAAGCATGGGGGTCCCCTTATGGTCCCTTTAGATGCTGTCAATATTTTCACAATTCAACCTTCAAAATTGGTGTAGAATGCTTTCCAAGCTATGTTTGCTGTTAATATTTTGAATGTTCACGGGAATTGACCCTGTAGGCTATCTTGGCTGCACGATTTCGCTTCAGTGTTATAAGTTGAAACCAAGAAAAAGACGAAGATGAGAGAAGCTGTGCTAATTTGCCATTCTCGCTGAGTGCCCATTTTTAAACAATGAAACAGTCATGACATAATTATGCAAGGGGTATGCGAGACAAATATTACAAATTTATGGACAATGCTGATTTACAGACAGTACAGATAGTGTGTGGGATGGGCAGAAGGTTGCACGAGAAAGCCACTTCAGAACTTCAAACATTATTTTTAATTCTTCCACACAGAAAACTTGTCATTGTACTGCAACTCTCAAACTTTCTAGTTTCTCGGTGTTGGGTTGTTTCAACTGCAGTAAAATGTTAAGACTTCAAAAGTAAGAAGAGAGAATCAAAAGAGGCACAATGTGGTACTCATTTGGGCATTGACGCTACTGTAGCTTCAAGCCGGCAGCTACGCACTGCACGGGTATTCGTCAGAAACACAGCCGACTGCAATGTATGCAGCCCATTATGAAAAAAAAAAATCTTGGGGGTCTTTCTACCACCTATAAACACTTTGCTCACAACACAGTTCATTTTAAAAGTAATTTAATGCACGTATCGCTCCTCTGCATACTGAAACCGGCAATATGTCGAGTTTTTTTTGGTAAAATGGTACATGCCGAGATAAACTCACACTATTAAAAAATATATATATATATAAGTGCAAGCAAGCAAAGCACGTAAAAACTAAATGAATTAGTTTATTTAGAAACAATCTCGTCATATTATGCTACCTATAGCACGGTGCAAATATTGTCACTGGCGAGTTATCAAGCACCATAAAATTTTTTTCCTCCCTTAAAATATTAACGATTAAAAAATGTTTTGCTTGTTAACCACGCTAATTTTAAGTCGCGGCATACTCTGGAGCAAAGACTGTGGTAAGGCATCGTCATTGGCCCTTTTATTGGGAAGACACCAGACACAACCAGCTGAACAGAAAAAAATTTTAAAAATGTTTCTGGTGCAACCCTTACAGTCTGGTGGAGCCGACGGCGACGGAGACTAGAAGGAAGGAATGCCGTCTCCCCCTTTCGAGCACTCACTCAAGTTCGTAGAGCAACACACACACGCAGTTTACTTTTCTTTCGAGACGGAGGCACGCAATCGTGGTGAACGACGGCGTCTTGTAAGGGCTCTGCCCGGTGATGACGATGGCACGGACACACACAAGACACGCAGCGACGGACCACTTGTGACGGAGAGCGTAATTTTATGGACGTGGTCGATGACAGCTCGGTGCCGGCGCAGGCCGGCCCCTTCAGTGACCGCGGCGTCGCAAGACGCAGAGGACAGGTGTGATGACGGGAAACGGACGTCGCCACCGGCAGTGCCGTATATTGAAACAAGTGGCGGTGCCCTCACCGAAACTCGTATATCTGAATGCTGTGCTCTGGCACATGCCGTAATGTTAGTGACTGGTACCTGCGACAAGCAGAAGAAAAATGTCCATTCTATTGAAACGTATGAAAGTGTGCTTTTGATGTTGTTGAAGAAATGCTAGAAGACATGGACAACAAGAGGGCTGAACGCTACGGCAAGTTGATAATTCATAACAACAAAACTGCCCGAAAAAGCGACAAGAAACAGAAAAGGCATACACACAAGCACAGTGTGTGTGCCCTGTCTATTTCTTGTCGCCTTTTTGTGCAGCTTTGTAGTTATGGACAACAACTGGAAGCACAAGTCATCATAATCATTTTTTTTAAATACACTAATCATGTTACCATATCAACTTTCACAGCTCTAAAACTGGAAAGCTGAATTATTTTAAGATGCTTTTTATTCCAGAATCGACATTCAGTAATATAGCAGATGCATCTAACTTTCATGTTTTCCACTGAAAGGTAGCTTGAACTATGTTTTTGACTATCATGGTTCATACATAAAAATTTAAGGCACGAACACAATGGGAACAAGGAGAGCCTAACACTGCGCCATACCTTGTCACTGTAGTGTTAGTGGACAGAATTTTTAAGTCTTAGCCGCTACTAACATAGCTGCAGTTTCCGTGTTGCTTCGCTGCATGATGGGTCTGCATGGAAACTATTATTTTTTTTTTTTCTATACACAAAGCCTACTTGCCATTCAGGTAAAAGGCGAGCTCTAGACCAATGGATCCATCGAAGGGTTGAACTGTAGTTTGGTGTGCGAGCAGTTCGAAACTGACAAACTAGACAGACGAACGAGGAAACGTACCATTCGGAGCTTCGGTGGTAGTAGTAGCCTTCGATGGTGGACGACTTCTTCTGGAAGCATATGTAGTAGAAGCCCGCAAAGGACGCCCCGTTGATGTCCTTAATCGTGTGGTCGGGAACGAGAAAGTGCTCCTGCAACAAAATGAAACCACGTTTAGCAAAGCAAGCCATGAACAAAGCTATGTTCACTTTGAAATGCACTTGTTGTGAGAGTTCCATAGGACAAAGAACAAGTGCGTGTACGGTACCCACGCTTTGAAATGGGACAATTTAGGGCCGACTACCGCACATACTTTCGTACGCACTGTCTTCAGTTCTGGTCGTATTGGCATGGTTTCGGCCCAAGCATGTACATCAAAGCCAGCGTCACATTTAGAGACCAGATTTGTCGCCATATGACATAGTTATCTCGAGCACTTGCGCATGCCAATCCTTTACTAACAGATTTGATGTCTCGTTCAAATCCGAGTGTATTGTACGTGGCACAAACTAACAACTGGTTGATACTATTCAGAAACAAGCGTATATACAAGTTGAAGGGGCGAGGCGTTGTAAAATGTGACAAAATAATGACGAGTGATGTTGCAGTGTACTGGAACAGCAACGTTTACGATTCTCTTACCTAGCATATGCCGTACTTTCTCGCATACAACCTGCTCCTGCATATAACTGGCAGCCATAAGTTTCAACTCTACAGAAGGAGCAAGAAATATGCACATAACCTCTGCATATTATATCCCATACCCCCACTTTTTAAGCAATTTTTTTTTCATGCGGATCGTGTGCGAGAGGATACGGGAAGAGTGTTTCTTAATAGTATTAAGGGGAGATGCTACTCGAAAAAGGTTTTTTTTTATTTCATAACCCAGCTCCTTGAAATTTTAGGTGTTAGTAAAGCTTGCAGTGCTGATTTCATAACTGCAATTATTTGTTTGATAGCTATAGTAGTTCCGGAGTTACTACAACTTTGATATCAAAATATAGTGTTTTTTGTGCACATAATAAAGCTTACTAAAAATTTTCACACAGAATTGCAAAATGGCTCATTCTGCTGCACTTGAGCAGTACAATACAGAAAAGTACCTCAAACAGAAAATTTATTTGCTACATTAAAAAAAAAATTAAAAGTACTAAATGCATATTTTACATCTCTCTATCAGTGTATCAAGTTGTGTAACAAAAAATCTGTGATGTATAATGCAACCTAAAGTAGATACTTGTATTCTAGAGTGGCTGATTAAGCTCTGTGCAAAATTTCATCAAGATAGGACTATTTTATGCCTAAAAAAGATTGTGCACAAGATGAGAGAATTACCTCAAAATGGAAATCGAGAAAAATGCATTTGAAAGTTGTAAATATGTTTACTCATGATTACACAGTGCGATTTGCACAAAACTTGGTGATATCATAGAAGGGACACAGCTAGAGCACCTAAAATTGTCCTGCTCCATATGTGGATCCTTCTCGCCGCTTGAGAAGGGAGTCATCAAGGCGCGCTTTCTTTGCCACGTTCCGCCGATGGGCCCTTGCCTCGGCTGTTTCACACGCAGACATTCTTTCGATTCTCCTCTGGTCGCGGGATTGGCCCAGGGTGATCAGTTGATCTGGTGGGACTACACCAAGCTCCTCTAGCACGTGTTCAAAGCTTGAATGTCCTTTATTGAACCACAACACGGCCATAGCAGCTGCAGTTTCCACTGTTGTCCGGGAGGCAAACTTAGTCTTCGGACACAACAACCAGATTTTGCTGTTCAAAGATTCTGCAGCGTTTTGGGTCTTCCCTTGGATACAACGCACCAGCAACTTTTCATCTGTCAGCCGCTTGTAAATGGGAAGCACAGCCAATCCTTGAGCCTTGGTCAAGATTGGTGTGTGGTCGGGTGGGGCCTCCCCAAGCGCTTCAGCTCGCCTATGCTTGCACCAGGAAGTCGCCCCTTCTGGACAGTATCGGTGGCTGCCTGCTGTGTTGCTCGATGATGAATGGAAATATGAGGCCCAGATGGCACGATGCATTTTCAGAATATCACCTCTGTTGTTTGTGATTGCAATACGGTAATAGTTCTGCAGCTTCTGAATTGTGCCATCTGTCAGCTTTTCCCCTCGTGGAAGTCTTGTTGGCAGTTTCCGAAGTGCAGTGCCTAGACGCTTGGCCACATGGTTTGTGCACTCCTCCTTGTCCACAACAGCTTCACCATATACCTTGGCCTCAGCGACAGCGGTATAAGCTTTGCTGTCCCCATCACTGAGGAACTTGGTGAAGCGCAATGGTGTTGTGTATGAGGATGTCCTGCCCCATATGCGCAAAGCTGCCTCAGTCTCCATGGCATGAGAGGAGCACTCTGTATTTTTTTCGCAGACAGGTGTGTGGAATGCTTGCCATATTTCTTCCTCATCACCCAAGTCCTGGTGCCGGCTACAGGCAAGGCAGTAATTCGATAGCACTTCAAAATCTAGGCACAAACCAGTGTCCACAGACACAGCAGTGCCGATGCCATTGTGGCTCTTGTGCCCTCTTTTTTGCCATGTGCCATCATACATGACAGCAACATCAGCCCCATCCACTTTCTCTTTAGTTATCATCCGCGCTTTCGCCAGGTTTTCTTGCACAGCTTTGGTAGCTGCAGCATGAACTTTTTTGCCAATTGCAATAAAAGTCTTATGATGCATAGGTATTGGCAGTCCAAGAATAGCGCAAAAACGCGACAGCTGTTCATGCCCAATGCCTATTGCACGCGCAGCCACAACTACCTTCACATTGACAGCGAAGCTGTCACGCGAGCTGCCGCTTCGGTAGCTCCAGTCATCACCGGCATCGGTGGGCTGTCTTTCCGGCAGAACACGCCGCGAACTATGCGCGGCAGAAACCACTGACTCAGGACACTCACTGTTATCACAGTGCAGCTCGAGGAACGAAGAGAGGCCCTTACGTTTACTTGCGGTGTCGCGAACGACGAGTCCAGCGGTGTGGCATGTTGGACAAACAGCACGGCTTACCATCGATGTCAGTGCGCCGATGTCACAAAATACTCCGCTCACAGAGCCACAAACACTCTTCGTTCTTTCGCTTTCGAACTGTTCAATCTTTTTTTCTGATGCGCTGATGAACTTGATCGCGGCGTCGATTTCGTCAAAGTTCCCGCAAGCCGCCGTATCCCCGCTGCCTTGATTTGGCCTAGTGGCCCGCGGCTCGCATTCTTCTACCGCTGCTTTGCGCTTCGGTTTACGTCGACGCCCTTGGTACTTGTTCTTGCTTGCAAACTTTCGTGCTCGGAAGTCTCGCTTCTTCGAGTTATCCATGGTGAACTCGGAAAAACGTAGAAACGCACGGCAAGTGCCGATCGTCGCAAGCGCTCAGCGAGCGAGGCCGATCAGATGTAGCCAATGGCGGCCTCGGTAGCGTACCATGTGACCGGTAGAGATGCGCGAAGCGGCTGCAGCTTGGCTGCAAACCGACTTGGAAACGACTGTTTTGTGAAATTCCTCACTAAAATACGAAACTAGGGGGACGCCTGTACACTAGAAGGAGCCTTGATCTACACCACCGAACAAACCCCGATGGCGGACGTCATCGTGTTGCCGAGTGGCGGATTTTCAAAAATAGCCGTCGGATGCGTGAATTCGCGACTTCGGCAGCTACCTTCACTAGCGCAGATCGACTTTTTACCACTTTCTCGTTTGAATTCAGCTATGACCTTTGGGGAAATGATAGTTGATAGATCAGAAGTGATTTTAGAAGCAATATCTCAAAAGTGGAAATTTTCGCAAAAAACGCGATTTTTCGACCCGCATCTCCCCTTAAACATTAGGTAGTATGTGCCATGTACGTCCATTCTTTCTTTGCCTTTCAGTAACATACTACGCACATTTAAACTAAAACAAAACCACAGCATCATAGGTTTACAGGTGCATGTCTGCGACATTACAACTTAAAGGCACATTACAACTTACAAAATTACACAAACATAACACGAACGAAAAAGAGCGAAAATGAAAGCCCGTTCATTGCTAAGTCCTAAATTGACACGCTTCATTCAGCAATTACTGTACACCATAGTGCAATATATGCTCAGATGAATGAGCAAAAGATGCAACAGCAACACGTCCGGTCTTTTCTGTAAACAAGAGCATGCTTTTTGCTAGGTTTATACAGGCTTTGAAGGCAGGGTGTGTGAAAGGACTTTAATAAGCTCTTTTAAGAATGTATTCTGGTGCTCTATCATGTAAAACTTATAACAAAACAACATTCATTTAAGATGTATAGCAAATCCAGTGTACCAGTTTCATTGCTTCAATCTGAAATTTCGATACATCGAAGTTGGCTTAACATGAATGGCCTACTGGGCATCACAGGGTCATAAATGACCTTTTCAATTATTTGATATAGCCCAAGGTTTGATGAAAACTCGTTGGGCGAGGGGTTCATTGGAGGAAATGACACAGGCACTTGCCTTGTCCAAAGAAAAACAGACGTATATGGATGTTTCGGGGCCGCTACGGGTCCCTTGTTCACAGTGAAGAGCGTTGCGATTCTGTTATTTGATGCGTAGTTGGATTTGATCTTTGGCAAATGTTTTGGATGAAAGGATTCCGCTTGTCACGTGAAATTCTTTAGGCGAAGCATGTCAAGCCAGTTTCACCTGCTCAGCCTGCTGCGGAACGTTCACCGGAAATGTCGGAGGTGACCTTGAGCGGGCGCTTCCACCGGGAGCTGATGTCACAAGACATGCTAACAGCGATGCACCAGAGATACACCGACAGGCACCGACCGCAGCACTAGAATCGTTCTACGGATTGTCTCGGCTGGACTTGTGGACGGTGCATTTTTCGAGTTTCAGTGGAGAGAAAAAGTCTGTACCAGAAAGATCCTTACCTTCCACCTCATGAAAACGTTTTCCGTCGCCTTTAGCTCCGTATAATTGAAGTTGTCGCAGTTGAACGTCTTGGTGTAGCCCTCAAACGCCCCGAACTTGCTCTGTCGGGGGGAAAAATGAAATGTTACCACAGTGCTTGCACATAGACTACAGGGGGTGAAAACTAATACCACGACAACACAGTTGTCTTGAATTATGAAGTACCGTCCTCACCCTGAAACAGTTATGACGATTTCGTGCAAACAAACAAACTAACCTAATCGCGCACAGCGAAAAAAAAACATGTTTCACAGAAACTTGGAGACCTGAAATTTATTAAATAATGCTACAATGTTGCTTGTTGAGCGAGTTGGAACAAGTCAATCGTAATGTAGTAACGCGCAAAAAGCAGACAACCAAACGAGCAAGGGGACGGGAACTTGCCACCTAAAATCTTTGTGGCAGTTAAATGGTTTTCTCCGACGAGTTTTGCAAGAAGCTCCATGTAAAGGCACAGATTATGTACTGGAGCAATGTGACTAGTGGAGATACATTCACAGTCTCAATTTTTACCAGTTATGGCCTGCAAAGCCTTTTAGTTCTAATGAGACTGTGGCACTGAGAGGCAAAACTTGCAAAAGGCAAGAAAACAAAACTATCAAAATTTGCTATGCTTTGTACTGAATTTATCTATATAAATGAAGTAAATCAGTTACAATAACTTTAAAATTAAGTGGTTCATGGCCTGCTGTCTATTGGTGTGGAAAATTGCGCATATTTTCTTGGTGATAAATCCCATTCCTCCAGCTCTCAAGCCGTAATTTATTAATTAATGAGCCTTTATTTTTATTTAATGCCAGTTTAATCCCAATTTTCAGAAAGTTTATGGCTGTGAAAAGAGTTTGTCAGGTTTAAAAATGTGTTGCTATTAATAGAATGATGTTGAACTCGTGCATGTTTGTAATGTCACACTCGCCATATTATACAGCTCTCATTCTAGTGACTGCTGATACCAATTAACTATCTTTCCCTGTAAGTTCCACTTCAATGACACATCTCCAAAGCAAAGCACCAAGGATAACCACGAAGAGACACCCATTGTGCCAGATAACCTAACATTCATTGTCCTACTTCTGAAACAATGCATGAAAGATAACTGCAAATGAATTAGACATTAGTCTTAAACTGGCCAATGTGACAGATTTCTCTTCTAGCCATGTACAGGTGTCAATTATGGACCTCAGAACTGACGTTCAGTTACAAGAATTTGGGAAAATATCAAAACCAATCTCTTGGTCATAAAAAAGGTTAAAGTCAAGTGCGTTTGTCAGAGCAAAGGTCTCAAAACTTTCATTATTTCAAGTCATGCCATGCTGGCTGACGCTTTTGATATAGCATAACTTATTGCTGGTAAAATTTGAAGGTAAGAAAAAAAGAATTCAGCCAGTTCTATGTCATGAATACCTTTGGACAGCAAAGCTGTAAGTGCACGAGAGAATGTGATCGGCTAGTGAGACTACGTGGTGTCACAAATCCGCTCCCAGGTGTTTAATGCACGCGTTCACACGATTTTAACATTATCATCATTATTTTGAGCATGATCTTCATTGTTTAATATATTCATTTAAAACCAGGTCATGATGAGCCCCCTGTCACATGACCACTGTCATTTCTACGATAGAGACGGCACAAGATAGACTAAAAAGAGCTTCGCTGTAACACGAGATCATTAACACAATATTTTTCAAGCCACACGAAACCTCTTGGCGAGCTTAGCAAACTTGCATTAACTAGATGTATACGGCATCTGCACACTCGTGTCATCACTGGGAATCATTAGCAACTTTGAAGGACATCAGAAAACATGATCAGCCCATTTCCGGACGAATGCCTGCTTGACGAGAGGTACGTACCCAGTGTTTCTTGTCGACCTCCTCGTCAGCATCCCATTTGCGTGTGAGGAATGGGTACTTCTCGCTGATGATCTCGCCATCGAAGAACGTCGTGAGTGTCGGGTACTCCTCGGTCAGGCCCTTGATCTTTAGGTAGCCGCAGAGGTAGGAGTTCGCTTCGTCCACGTGCTGTGCCAGGCAATTGAAACAAAAACAATGTAAATCAGGAAAGCAACGAACGGAGCCGGTTCGGTGAACAGGTGGAATTGCGCGCGGTGTTACACCGACAAAAGGAATCAAAATGACGACGAAGGGACGTCCGCTTGTTCTTTTCGAGAGAAGCCACAACGGAAAGGTTGATTTTTCACCCCCACAACTCATTTCAATTTACACTCTAAGTATAGACGACAATTAATCCCCACTATGCTTTTCCTGGCATAGTTGTTTGATTTGTGTGGTTGTTACACTAAATTCAGTACAACCGTAAAAAAAGAAACAAGACTAACACGGTGGCGACTGCACACCCCAAAACACTAATATTGCAGGTGTCCCCAATGTTTCTATGAATTTTGGGCTAGGTATGCAAGGCTGACGATGCAGATGAGGAATTAAATTTTGCAGGGTGGTGCCAAGAACTGTTTTTTTTTTATCTCGAGGGCGCATATAAACGTCTGCATACAATTCGGTCCTGCATGTGTCATTGTATAAAACCGCGAGTATAATAAACGACATTCAAGCCCATGGCATTCGTCAGGAAGGCCAGTATCATGACCGCATATAATCCACCGCGTTTCTGGCCAGCAATGAAATGCTATGCTGTCAAGACAAGAGTGATAGTTCTTTCAGGTTAAGCACGATCTCGCTACGCTCTGACGTCGGTGCTACGCAGTTAGCGTTTACGTAAGCGCTACTTGCGCACTTTTTTTTTTTTTTGCGCGGACGCGCGCACATCTTTAATCTCGTATGCACGCACGCATTATCTCGCCAAAAAAGCACGAGGGTCGTCCTAGCTTTACGAGCGGATGGCTCACGGTGAGACGGCAGAGTTTGTAATCGCAAGGTTACCGTCCAACGGCGTCGCAAAGATCACGCGTTTTAGAGGTTAACGCCAGGACCGCATCGGTACCTCGTTCGAACTGACGGTTCTCTCAAAAAAGTTCGGGGAAGTTGTCCTGGAAACAAAACTGTCGCAATAGCCTCTCGGGTCGACTCGAATCGCATTCGTCTCCGGGGCAAGTATACTACGCAACCGATCTTTTTTTTTTTCTTTCCTTACCCCGGCCTAGAACCCCCCCTCTTATCCAAGATCTCGCACACAGCACATACGCAATCTCGGCGACATTTGCGCCGATCGCGCGTTCTCCGAAGCCCCACCGTTTTATCGCACGCTAAGCGTCGACAGCGTCGGAGTGCTCCCGTAAACGACAACAGCTCCAGATGCCAAAAACCCCCGAAATGGCTCAGCCACGGGATGCGTGCTGCGGTTCTTTTCTTCGCCGCCAACAATCTCAACGGGAGCATACAACGGCGGCGGTGTTGCAATCTCTCACAGGGGGGTAGCGTGTGCCAGCGGACGATATCGCGAATCGCCGCGCTGGAATCCCGCGCACGAAAAAAATCGGGCCTAGGTCACCGCCTGCGTCGAGTCAGCACGATGAACGTCTCGAATCGCAGGTGATTGCAATGCCCGCCGCACCAAGAGCGTTCGTAAGCGCTACCTGCTCACGAATGAAAGAAACCGTCAGATCGTGGCTCGCTCACCTGAAGCACCACTTCGACGTCGTAACTGTTGCCTTTGCTTTTCTGCTGTCCCTGGAATCGGGATCCGTTGTAGAGCAGCGACCGCGTGACGCCGGGCTGCTGCGAGTTGGCCGGCAAAGGTGGCATGATCTCGGTCGCCCTCACGGGCATGGCTGGCGACGGCTTTCGTAGGCTTTCCTTCGGCGGTGCACAACACACCGCGATGACCCGCGGGAGCCCACCGCTACTGCCTCTCAACAGCGGGCGGCCATATTGAGAACACCTATAACATGACGTAACGAGAACGCGTGCATATTGCGCGCTCCCATTGGTCGACAGACTTCGGGGTGTGGTTGCGTAAGTGCACGCGTGAAATGGGATTGCATCTGCCGGATTCTCGCCGTAAGTAAGGGTTCGCGTTCTCGAAACTTCCGCGCGCATCGCGAACTTTCCGGCGCTACTGCTCCGCGAAATTCCCGCGTCCTGAAAAAAATTTTGGATTTTTTTTTACACTAGCCGGTGTATAGAATGAAAAACTGATGTCTCGGTATTTTCCCTTCGTGTGGTATCTGAGGAAGTTGTCCGTGCTCTCCGCCTGAGGGCAATCATCCGCGCGCGGTCGAACGGCGGCTGCTTTTGCCGGTTTTCAATCGGCGTGGTTGGTTGTAGTTTCTGACTTTGCGGGGTCGCACGGAGAATGTTCGGACATACGAGTAGAATAGGTTGTGCACTATTGGTGGCCCGAGCCGTTGTGATCTCCGGCCGACATTCCAAAAGGTTCTATCCAGGTAAATCGGCGCCGATTCACATTTGTACGGGGAAGCATTGCGACGATGAACTTGAATCGCGGACTCCCCAAAAATATGACAAAGTTTTGTTCTTTAGCTTGTTATTAAGCTGTCGAAGTGTGTAAAAAGTAAAAACAAAAGTTCTGTTAGTTGTACGCTTTAGTTTTGACTTGGAGCGCTGTTGCGTTGGATTACACCAAGTGCTGAGAGATGAATTGCGCTGCTCGTAACTTTTTTTTGTTCTTTTCTCTTTCATGCAGCCAAAAAGCGACGGTTTTACAAAGAAGTCAGCATAGTCAGGTCTGGTGGTGAGTTTTCCATAGAGTGCAGCCACTCAAACCAGCTGCTTCCCGGTTGGTTTCCAGCTGTGGAGTCAGTTGGCCTGCAACTGGTACCAGCTGAAACCAGCTAGTTCCAAGTGACACATTTTAACCCCTGTCGCCTTGAACTCGTCTTGATTCCAGATCAGTTTGAGGTCTGCCTTGACCAGAGGAAAATCAAGACGCCCCTTGGACAACTTCTTCTCATCCCGAATGAAGCCTTGGCTGTTGCGGTCGCTACAGAATGGGACTGCCAGCAGAAAGAAATCAACCCCAACGAAATGCATTTGGTTAGCTGATCACCAAAAGCTCCTCACTTCTTTTCGTTGTTGTACATTGCATTTCAGACAAACAGATAATCGGTTCTCTGTATGTTGCATATGTGAACAAGATAAGGACGAACAAGTGAACCACAAAAACTTGAAATCAGCACCCTACCTTCTTGCTTCTATTCTGTGTCCCATCCTAGGCTACCCGTGCGACCCCCAGGTCCCCTCAAGCTGTGCTCGAAGGCTTTTTTGCCTGTCCGGTGGAACACCTAATTTACTACGTAGGAAGTAAAGTTCAAACCGACAGGCAATTGTTAAAAACGTTGCATCGTAAATGCAAAAAAAAAAAAGTAGTAGGTTATAGTAATTACGTCTGATAGCTGTTTATGACTTTGTTCTGCCAAACTGTATTGAATGCACTGTGTACATTCAATGCAGAGATTCTAGCACAGAGAGACAATACTCTGTAGCGAATGTACTCTGTACATGTAATACATAGGCTTCCAACACAGAGAATGTGCTCTGTACATAAACTTTGTGTTGAAACTGTGTTCAGTACCCCTTTTCTTTTCTTCTGTTCAAGCACCCTAGATGAATAGTGCACTTCTCAAATATAAAAAAAAAAGACGTGAGCACACATAATTTCTCTGCCACAGTTCCAGATGTTGACCTTGGATTGAACGCAATGCTGTATTTTCTGCCCTTTCCCTCGTTTCCCAGACTGGTCTTTGCAACACAGTCCTGGACAACCCTTCCAAAAAGACAAAGGAAGATATGGTATCCGACATATTGGAGTTCCTGGAATCGGACACTCTTTGGTCAGTTTGCTGCATTATCCGATTATTTCTCTGTTGCGGTCATCGTGCTCATTTCACATGCAAGTCTCCACCTATAGGGGAGCGTGTGTCTTTAAAATTTTGTCGCTTGCCCTCGTTTGTTAGAGACTGCAAGCTGCAACATCCGCTCTGAAACATCTCTGGCACACTAACGGCTTACAATGCAACAGCTGTGTACTGTGCTGTTTAGTTTTTATTTGTGATGCACTGCGAGATCACATTATGTAGGCCTGTGTGGTTATTGCACTGATTTATTAACCTTCTGGTCTAAAATTTTTTTCTTCATCACAATAGTCCACACAATGATCAGTATACAGTGTTTATTAAAGGGGCCCTGAAACACTTTTTCAAGTAACCATGGAATGGATCACTAAAAGAGCTTATTGCCTAACGTATTCAATGTCGCAAAAATTTTAAAAGTGCTTCCAGTACTAGCGAAGTTACAAAGATTTGTCGCACGCTGCTATCGCATTCTGTCTTCTCTCAGCCCAAGGAAAGCGCTGGAAGCTTACCATGAAGGGTTGGCAGGGGCAGAAAAAATATGTTGCGTGCACCTTCGTCATGTGCGATTATGAATTCCACTTGTTTGAAAATTTATTACGATGCTTGCAGCTATCGAATGGAGGAACCCGAGGATCTTGTCATCCTTCAAAAAGAGAAGTGGGATCCCTTGTTGCGATGGTACGAAGAAAGGTATGTAGTTATACCATGCTATAACAGTCATCTTATTGAAAGAGCACTAGCAGAAACTAGGAGTTGTTCCATGTACGAATAAAAGCGATGAGCCAAGCTCCTTAGGAATGGAACGCAACCGACTATGCGTCTCATCTCGCTGCCAACCTTCACGAAGGCGGTAGGGTGGGGTAACATGTCTATAACCAGTACAGCTTCGTAGCTCCGCTTGTGAGCCGGCACACATGGCTGATGCATGAACACAGAGGCGATGCACATGCCACAGCGAGCTGGGATATGCAAGGAGTAGTTGCTTTCTATGCGTTGCAAGTTTCTGCGTGCTCGCTTTCTCCATACTGTGTGCGTGATTTGCGAACGCATGAAGCTTGGTGCAAGATGAACTGCAGCATCGCTAGTTCTTGTGTCAGCTGTCACGTCCACTTGGGAGAGCAAGCGTGCATGGGGAGTTGCGTAACTGACCTGGTTCTAGAGGTGCTAGGGTGGGGAGCGGTGATGCGGTGGGGAGCTTGGCTCCTAAAAATATTGGGTTATGGTGTATCCCTGAAATACGTTACGAGTGTTATATTGTCAGAGGATGTTGGTAAACCGGGCAAGATGTGAGAATGCAGGGCCAGTGGTGATACTGTGTCAAAGTTTCTTGCGACAATTGACTTTACGCTTGCAGAACTCTATGCACAGAGATGCAAGTACCATGTTGCTCAAATAGAAAACTTTAAAAAACCATTAAAAAAATTCAAGGGGAACTTTCTGGACAGACATTTGGGTTGTAGATGCAGGGTATATGTGATTGGATATGATTGAAGATTCTGGTTCAACTCAGTGTCATATTCTAAACAACTCTGCTGGGCATCCAGCTTCTCAAAGTTGAATCGTTCACTATTTCATTGCGATAGCAATTAATGGACACTCTCGGCTAGTTTTTACCGCCGGCGTTGTTGTTTGTCGCCGCTGTAATTCATCGTGTATGTGTACGTATCTATATATATAAAAATGCAAGAAAGAAAAATAATCCAGAAAAAAAGAGTTCAGCGTGTGATTTCGAACGCCCGACCTCTCATCCCTGAGCGCATGGCATTAGCCACTGAGCCACGAAGGAGCGCCTTCTTCACTGTTCAAACAGCAAGCTATTTATGTCTACCTCTTACCGCTGGCTGTGCCAATCTCGGGGAAAATATCAGCACATTTTCAGCATTGCTTTGCCCCACGAAGGGGGTTGGGGGATCATGCGTGCTTATTCTGCAGTGGGAGATAATCGTGCACCTTCGACTTTCACCAGAACAATTGCGTTGTACTTCCCGGGTGCACATAGGTCACTTTGCTTGGCGCTGAAGCCCCGTTTGTGAAAAGAATGCGTTTTTCAATGCGCTTCTCATGCACAGCGAAGTAACAACTAGGACACTTGTTAGTTTGCATTCATCTGCATCTGTGATTACGTTTCATGCGTCATTTTTGTTTAAACAGCGTGTTAAGTGTGAGCTGTAAGTGTTGTTAGGTCGCTCTTTGCCGTGTGTGTTGTTTTCGTGTGTCATTTGTGCTGTTCTCAGTGTTACATTCCAAGTTGTTACTCTCGCATTCATTGCTTCGCCCTTTCGGCGAAACTGCAACTTTTTCTGTTTCGTAATCTCGGCGCCAAAATTTAGTTGTTAGTGTGTCAGCAGTGGCGATGTTGCGGATATTCAAAGAACCTTTTCTCGTTTGGACTGTTCGGGTGCAGACAGAGCTCTCAAAACATGCTAAATTTATTCCTTCGGTCTTTCAGAATTCGACATTGCCTTTTCTTATCGATCAGCATACAATTACACCTGGCTCGCTTGCATTCTGCTGCAAGCTCGTCATCTCGTCACAGTAGGCTAGCACACTGTCGTCAGGGTAGTGTCACCCTTGGCTTTACGTTCTCGCATCTTTTTGTGGTCAGACCAATTGTGCCTTGATGAAGCTTGAAAATATTTTGCTTTAAACTTGTTTCCACGTTTAGGAGACATGCACCAGGGAGCATTTCGTTTCTTGTCCCTTACATGATGTGTATCTCATACACACTCTCATATTCTGATCGTCCCATTGTCGTAGGCACTGCCGTCTTGGACACCCATTTCTTTAGGTTACCCTATAAAGGGGTTGAATTGTGCTGTTCACTTTAATATTTGCCATTGCTGCCTGTTGAAACTTTGGCCACGAGCCATTCTGCATTGTAAGATCTCTAATCAATATAACCTTTGGTGCTTCGTTGGCAACTCTGCCTGGCATTCGTCCTTTCAGGTTCGGCGTGCGGCTGGAAGCAAAGAGTGACCTGACGGTGTCAAAGCTGCCCCAAGAAGTGTGCGACGTCGTGTTCAAACACCTGATGTCATATTCGTTATGGGGGCTTACAGGTGAGACATCTAGTAAGTTTTTTTTTTAAGCAGTAAGTATGTGGTGTCAGGCATAGCGTTAAACATTCAATGTGGCAACTGTTGACGTCGCATCACCAAGGGGTTCGCAGTTGTCCTGGTGCACTAAGGTCGCAAAGCGACCAGTTGCAAATTGATGCGAATAGTCTGTTTTGCTCAAAATAGTACAACTTTTTGGAATCGCTCACTCTCTGCTTGATAATTCAGTTGGCTTCGGGAAATTGTAGCAGTGCGCTGATACGGTCATTTTGACTAGTGCCCTCTCCTCCTTTCATATTTTGGTTGGGGTAAAGTGCGCAAAGCATAGACGCATACAGGGATCCGCTGTTGAAGGGACCGTCTGAGAGCGGTGGCTGCTCGGTGGCACAGCTGGCCGGCGGCTGCGAGACGAGTTTTGCGTGGGCACAGTGCACGCTGTGAGCCATCCTATCGTACGCTAACGTCTGCCTCGTCGTTCGCTACTGTCTGCATCTGCGCTGTAAATTGTCGCAAAGCAAACCGTGCAGTCGACAAAAGAGCACGACTCGCAGCGTGCACTGTGCATGCTCCAAAGTCATGGCAGCCGGTGGTGGCGCGAAATGGCTGCCACTCGCTCCAATGTTCTTTTTAACAGTGGACCCGAACTTCAACCCTATTTTATTAATATTAAAAATCACAGGCAGGGCGTTTGTGCCACTGTCCGGATAGCGGACTCTCGACAGACTGTGCAAACCTTTCACCCGCGCTTTTGTTTTTTGTCCGCAACCATGCAGGCATTCAGTACGGCTCGGAAAGCCTCAAGTCTCTTGTCCTATTCCAAGCGGCCTTGGCGCAGCACCTGAGTGTGGAGCAAGCTGTCATGCTGGGAAGGTTGGAGAGCGAGTTTCAGGTGCATCCCTCTTTCTCGGCTGCTTGTTTTGTCTGTTTTGCAGGTCATTTGCTGCATTGCCGCGTACATACACCCGATGACAGAAGGTTAGCAGGACACGAGTTCTCTGGCAAATGTAAATTTCCGCTAGGTTAAGGCATCGTGCTTTTCATTTGATGCACAGCCAAGTAGGTAGCAAGAAGTGCAGCTACGTGCCGAAACAGTTAATTATGGTCGGATACTGCTTAAGAACTGCAGAAAGGCTTTCACCCTGCCAACAAAAGCGCACCAGTCAACCGTGTTTATGTACTAAAAAGATAGTCACCCTCATGCATGCTCCATTATTTTCCAAAGTCGCAGTCATTGGCTGTCTGGCTCAATGACATCACTCTGGAGCGTGCTCCCATTGGTGTTGGCTTGTGTTCATCTGCCTTTGACGAGGAAATGCCATGCAGTTTTAAAGTTGTATCCGACTATGAAGAGGCTTATTTTTAGGCCGGAATTCAGATGTATCAAGTCGCAGAAGAACGCCAAGGCTCATTGAATTCACCCGTATATTTGGCACGCAATCAAATAGCATAACATGGCGCATGCCTTCTAGAATTAGCTAAAGATGTGTACTCACCGGTACATAAGGGTTCGGAACACTGCGTTTGTTAAGAAGCTGAATTCTCGCACAGTCTGAGAACGCAGCCTCTAGTTAATTTTTCTACCTAGTTACTTCAATAGATTAAAAGGTAGTCTGGCCAGATAGTTTGTTAGCATAGAAAAAAAAAAAAGTCATACGAGTGTTCTGTAGTTCTTGAAGGCGACTGGCTGTGTGTTTGTCGATAGATACGCTGCTGCACTCCGCTAGTAAAGGCCACCTTCCAACTCTGTTCCTTTCGAAGGGAAGCATAACTTCTCTTTTGCAATGTCGCTAACATAATGTGAGGCTTGAATTTCATGCATGCCGTAAAATCCCGAGCAGGTGCCCTTACTGCGGCAAACAATACCAGGACAAAATTTCGAGGTGGGGCCCTTCCTCTGTTGCAAACCATAATTCAAGAAGGCGACGAAGGAGCCTTTAAAAAGATTGTACACAAGTGCTTCTAATCAAATGCTTAATTGACTGTGCATATATCTACTGTATTTTACTGAAGTGAAAGGAATTCTGGAGTGAAATTCCATGTTAATGAAAATGGGGACAAATGTTCTTCAGGAGTTCTGACAATTTGTGACAACTCAAAATGGAACCCCGAGGCACCACACCGTAAAATTACTCGCAAATAGTGCTCATATACAAAGAGTTTCTTAGCTTGGATTGCTAGGAACCGCTTTTTTATTAATCGGCACATGTTTCGCATATTTCATGTCTCTCGAAAAGGGAAAGGGTACGCATGCCCGGTTAGGGGTGTTGACTTGGGATTTATTAATTTGTGAAACGTGGTGCCATTGTCGATTAAAAAGGTACTTATTCAGCCTTAAGGCATCACAAAAAGAGACATTTTTCATTTTCTGGGCTTGTAGTGTTAATGCGCTCCACGCACCAGGGCCAGGAAGGATGCGCAAAATGTTTTAGTTTTGTGTTAAAGTTCTTGTCGCTCAGCGTCTGCGAGGCAGCCTCACTGCAGTGGATGTTATTGCGATAAGCCAACACAGTTTACTTGTTTTGCATACTCTGCATACCGCACGCAGCTAAAATCTCTGTCGGAGCATCTAGACAATAATTCACTCGTTGTTTACGTGAATCTTGTACAACTGAAAGCAGGCACCTCCTCAAGTTACTGTTGGCATGTGACTTAGACCTACGCAGGACTGTGTCGACACGCCACTGTGAAGCCACGTGCTCGATATCGAAATTGGAAGTGATTTTTTTAAGACGGGTGTAAAAATAGTATATTCAGCGAGTTCTGCGGCGCCACTATATTCCTTGTAAGGTTCTAGGCACCGGAGTTTTTGTTTGAAGCGTTAATATGAGAGCTTCAGAAATTCGCATAAGTACTTCTTTGAAGGGGTGCATGTACCCATTTTCGAAGTTGAATTTACTCCTTCATACAAATCGTGTATACACAAGCCATTCTGGGCAAATGAATCCTGATAATAACATATTTTTACACTGAAGTCAACTTTCCCATGGCCCACCTAATGACATCGGCACTACCATGACGTCAAGCTACAGTGTCAATTCTTGTCACTTCACGCACAGGTATGGCTAGTTGTGATGAGGCCGGGTAGCAAAACATACTATATGGCCGCTTGCGCACCACGAGCAATATTTAAAATGGGTGCTTGTGCATCATCAACAGAGCCACGCGATAAAGCAGCTGTGAAAACGTCATGATATCGTGCGTGAGCAAATGAGGAGATCCTCATACAGTGTCGTGTTGTCAGGACGCAGTAGGAACTAAAAGTAGCTTTTAAAATCGTGTTGTAATTCACTTTTCAGGGTGCACTCATGCTTATCAGTGCATTTTATAGGCTTTTGAAGACTTGATGCAAAAAAGCGACAGCTGAAAATTCTCGTGTCAGTGCTTATTTAATGCAAAACTTTTCAATGATTTAAGTTTTGTTTTGTTGCGTAAATTTTAGACAAGTCGCTGGGGCAGCGTCGAGTGGGCACACGACCTCGACCGAGAGCAAGTTCTCAGCCGAGTGGCAGCGGCTGTCCTCTTCGTGCAGCTGACCTCGGAGTCTTCGAGCATCGTCTCCAAGTCGAACGCGGACAATCAAGCTCGTCAGTTGCCTGCGAGTGCGAAGAGGTGAACGACCATCAACAGAATAGGTTCTTTTCTTGGCTGGCATCGAGTGGTCCCTCCTCGTTAGGTGTGAACTTGTTAAGTGGAGTTTATAGGTTAAGAGTAGTGTTTCATAACATTACACTATAGGGAAATGTGGCACTAGTGTCTATGGAAGCTGCGATGCATGGCGCTTTAGCCAGCATGAGAATACACCCAACTTCATTATAACGAAGTTGCATCCCGATCAAAAATGAGTTTGTTGTTTCTAAAAGTTCATTATAAAAGTTAATTCCAAATACTATACTTATAAGAATATTTTTGATTTGCTTTGCTATAAACTGTATTGTCGCAGGGCTGTGACGTGAATGAAGAGAGCACACTCGATGTTCAGAGGAAAACTGTTTATTCGGCTGAACTTGTGGCCAGGAAACTGAAGGTCGGAGAGGACAGAGTGTCGGCCGGCCATCAAGCGGCGAAGCGCGGCAGCATTTATACATGTCTCATCAAATATTCAAGCCTTATCACTGGTCGTCGCGCAGGATTTGGAATAATCTCGAGTGTTCGGGTCTAGCGGCAATCTTAATAGAGTGATCTACAGTGACGCCGAGCATTCTCAAACAATAATGCACAGTTTGCGCTGAGCATTCCTGACCCAAGCTTTGTGGGTGAAAATCGAATTAAACGAAAGTGAAAAAACTCGCGGGGCAATATTTTGCTATATCCGGTTTCGTTGTATCGAGGTTTAAGTGTAATTCGTAGTACATGGCCACAAGACGAAGCTCAGCGAAGTTTCAGCAGTCCCACTTCACCATCTTGACTCCTTTCAAGCTGACCGATCCAAATCGCCTCGCAAGGTTTGCGAAGAGCCATTCTTTTATCGGAAATAAAAGACAGAACACAACGATGAACAGCCACAAGCATGTTCGGGCAGCAAGTTCAAATACTGGGCAAACCCGTGTACTACTCGTCACTTCGGTGGTGGCCGAACGATCACAGCACCACAGTTCCCTCTTGTAAATGTTATAGGCAACTCTTGAGTAGAAGTACGCAGTGCGTTTCTGTGCCCTAAAGAGCGTAGGAGCAGAACTTGTGGTCACCATCACGTGTAAGAGAGTTGCGTAATCTGAGCAGAAAACGTCATGTATGTGACGTCGTCGCTAGAGCGGCACGTTGCTGTTGACTCTGCTCCTTCCAGCAGTGATGCTGGCAAAATAGCGAAAACCGTGAAACAACGCGGCGTAGGCTACGGGCCTGCTAGTGACACAGACCGGTCATTGACACTGGCAAAATAGCGGCAATGCTCGGCGCCACGTTGAACTTTTCTGTTCACTCATCTTAACAGTAGGGGGGCTATTTTGTAGAAGATTTGTGATGGAACACAATGAAATGCCATTGGTCGAGGCTCATCTGACAGTCAAACGTGAGAATAGCAACGAGAAGCGGCAGTTGTCTCAATCACTTTGGCACAAAACGTACAGATGCACCCATCCGTCTGATAGAATATAGAATGATCTCCTGGTGACTTGGATTAGACAAAACATGAGTGCTACGGCCACAGAATCTAATCGGCCTGCTTTGTGTCTGTGCAATTCCTATTTTGTGCCAATAGTTTGTGAAAATCGCAACCTGTGAAAGTCCTGTGGAATTGCGACACCACCTAGCATCCAATCATGACATTAGCATAAATGGATTGTTAGTCTTCAAGCTCTTCAATTTCAACCAAACCTCTGAAAAACATTGCTTCCAAACATTGATGGTTAACGAATAATTCTGTGTTCCTTCATGCATTGAAAACGTTCTTTTAATTTTCCCAGCTCGCCTGTTGGCTGTTTGCCCTCTTTCATTCTCTCCGGACATTTAGTTCCATTCACTCACAGATTGTTTACAAATTGGGCCCCCTGGGGCAATGTTAGGGCAGCCCGTTGTCATATGGCATCACGCAGGAGCAGAGCCAGGTCGCGTGACCAGGTGAGGTGGGTATCGGAGCAACTGCGCCAAGCAGGTCACATGACCACTTGCCAATCTCACTTGGTCTCACTTGCCAATCCTTGCCAATCGAGCACTTGCAGCTCCACTGTTCGGCAGCTTTCATGGCACAGTACTGCCTGTATGTTTGACGGCGTATGTGAGGTTTCTCTTCACGTCATGCAACTCCCTGCGTGTGACAGGGATTGCAAGTTCCGTTGCTGTGCTTTTTAGGGCACGGAAGCATGCATAAGCATCCCGCCTCATTCTAAAGCTTTGTGGTCAGGTTGTTCATGGCCCGTTTGAAGATTTTTTCGTGCACAGACTTTTAGTGTCTGTGATATTGTGGAAGAAAATAAACATCCGAGGGTGTATCGTGATGTCACGTGTAGCATAATTCGGGTACACTCTACTGGGATTATACGAGCGATCACATCCTTCAAAACGCTTCGCATCATTTCAGTTACCTGCGTGCCTGTCAGCCAATACGGCTAGGCGCTTTGAGTCCGAGCACATCACTTCTGTGGTGTGCATTTGCGTTGTCTCTGGGATTGGTTTACGTTCCTGTGGCAATGCAGGATAGGTGTGCCGTACAAAGTCGGCCAGCTCTAGAGTCGGTGCAATGAGAACCGAAGTTTTATGGAGTGTTGGTCGAGCATGACACTTCAAACCCAGACTTGGGAAAGGAGGCATACAAAAAGTTTTGTTTCTTCTAAATGCGAAGCTTCTTAGGGTTGAGCTCAACCTGGTGTGCGGCGTGACCACCCTTTACTACGCATGTACGTCCCCTCTCCTTTAGGCATCCCTCCCTGGGGAGTCTGCACCTCCATTGCGCATGCGCTCTCCCCATCTCTTGCGTAGCAACGCTGATGCAGGCAGTGTCTCCTAGCGAGTTTCTCGACTCTTTCAAGCACAGAAGTTGGTATTGCTTTAAATTTGGAATTTTATTGCAAAAGTTATGATAAAAGGTCACAAATAACACATTGCACGCAGGGAAAAAAGAATCAAGACGTGTAACAACGATCCTTGGAGGTGGTCACCGCTGATGACCACCGTGCTGAAAGGGTCTATGCTCCGCACATATGTAACAAGTGGCAGTTTTCAATGCAGCAGCATGCTTTGCACAGAGGTAGTCACTTCTTGTGGAAGCGCTCTTTCTGTCCTTGTCTCTTCTTCTGTAGTTACGCCGTAACTACTCATAGTCTTGCGCTGTGCATATATGTTGATTACCAATCACCAACTAGCCCAAGAATCTGTCTTGTCACTTCTTTGAAATTCCGAAATTTTCCTTTCCGAAGGCAGAGTAGCACGCTGCATGTCCGACACATCCAAATCAGTTCGAGATGGGTGTGTCTTCGTGCTACAGTTTTGCGCACCTTCGTGGTGAACACCTTGTTGGCTGATGGCTGGACGCTCTTGTACGAATGGTGATGTCCACAAAGGGTTTGAATTTCTTTAGTTCGGCCCCTGCGCCAAAAGATGACTTACGTTTATCTGTAGGATCTATAAGATCTTCGGCAGTCGTCTGTCGCACTAAATTTCTTCTAAAATCTTTCAAAGTCATTTTTTCGGAACCAGCATGTTCCCGAAAAAAAAAAAAAAAAATGTATGCGTTGACAACACTGCAGTCAAGCAAGTGAAAAAATATCCGGTGCCACCACTTGCGTGATTTCCGATCCAGCTCATACTGCCCTTTCATCTGATCAAACTCATCAATGATATGTGGAGTTTAACGTCCCAAAACCACCATATGATTATGAGAGACGCCGCAGCGGAGGGCTGCGGAAATCGGAAATCGGAAATTTAGACCACCTGGGGTTCTCTAACGTGCACCCAAATCTGAGCACATGGGCCTACAACATTTCCGCCTCCATCGGAAATGCAGCCGCTGCAGCCGGGATTCAAACCCGCAACCTGCGGGTCAGCAGCCGAGTACCTTAGCCACTAGACCACCGCGTGGGACCAAACTTATCAACAAAATTCATGTTCTCGTATTTTTGAAGTGCTGCAGGGCAGTTCACCTTGGCGATGGCTTCATCTTTCTCTTTTCTGCTTACTTGAACTTCGTCGGCTGGGTCGTGGAAGTTCGACAACAGGTGAACTGTTCGCTTGTCTCGCCACTTCAAACAGCAGAGTGTCGTTGCTCGCTGAGCAGTCAGTGTCTCCCCTCTTCATCATCTTATCGGATTTTAGATTAGGCAAGTGCTTCCTGCTGGCATTTACTGTGCCACAAGCATATATCCCGGCTTTTGCGAGACTTTTCGGCAGGTAGTAACTGGTCAAATAGTTGTCGAAGAATACGCGGCGGTGCTTTCCGCCCGAATCGTCAAGCAGTGTCTTCACAACAAGTGCACCCAAGTCTCTTTCAACACCGTTGTTAGACTTGCCAGGTGTAAATTTGAAATTGTAGCCTGTTCTAGCACAGAGCATCCAAACTTTGTAGCCTCTTTTCCCCGGCTGTTTTGGCACATAATGCTTCAGAGAACTTCGACCTTTGAATTTTATCGTGGATTCGTCGATCGCCCAATATTCTTTCGGCAGGTGGTGCTGAGCGAATGTTGTGGAAATTTCCGGCAAAAGCGGACGCACCTTGTACAGCTTCTCAGAAGTCGGATCATCCCTCTCTTTGGCTGCAAACAGTTGTCAGTTTAGGTGAAGATAGAACAGCAGCCATCCAAATCTGTTCGAAGTCATCACTTTTGAAATGAATGGGTCATTCAAATAAGGTGCGCTGCACAAGTAGTCGCGATAGGTGGGACTCCTTATGAATCCCATCAACAAATTGAAGCCCAAGCACGCACGCGATTCTTTGTCTATTGTGGGAACATAGCACTTGTTTTCTTGCTGTGTGTAAAGATTCGTCTCAAACACAGTCTTGTCAATCCACCTAGGGGTCCATAAAAGACTAACAACGCCAAATGGGGTGATATTATTGATGGCTAGAATGTCAGGTGGAAGTCCGCAGTCATGTGAAAATATCAGCAGTGGAGACACCCGATACGTAGTGCTCCACACAGGAACCTTTTGGAGTGGGAGGGTAGTTTCTTGATCTGTTTCGGTGTCCGATGAGTCACTGACACATTCAGTTGCTTATGTAATCACAGATTCTTCTTCGGGAGATTTATTGTGCTTATCCTCTTCCGGGTCAAATTCATCGTCCCTTGAGCTGTCACTTCCAGCATAGCTGTCATTGTCGGACAGAATATCTTGATATTGAACTTGAAAAAAACTGTTTTGAGCAAAAAAATTTATTCTATTTTGAATTTTTTTCGTCCAGTCAGAGAGCTCTCCTCCCAGTAGCTCTTTCATGCATGGTGGTCAGCGTAGGTAACCACCCTGAATAAAGTCGCTGTACAGAATCAAACTGATCAGCTGCGCATTTTTACTAGCACAGCCAGTAAAAAATACTCTTCCGCTGCATGCTACACCAAAAAAAAGTTCACGTGCAAGCTAACATACCTTTGCACCCAGTAGAATCTTTCAGGGTCCAGCGCAGGAAACGGCATGCTTGTTGCAAAACTTTTTTTTGGCAGAAAAAAAATTCGCCCCAGATAACTAGCGCCATTTGGTGCATCTTCAGCAAAGACTAAAAGGGAAAAGCAAACACTTGTCTGCTCGCTGAATCTCTAGATGTCTATACTAAAAAGGGTGTAAAGGGTGGTCACTGTAGGTGACCACTGTGCCAAAAAGAGTTAGTTCAAAAAAAATAAAAACCGACTGCTCGCGCTGCTCAACCGTTCACTGGCCACTCAGTGTATATGGGCACTGGATCTTGACCTCCATGATAGTGCCACTCGGTGAGAGATTTCTCCTGTGCGTTGTTGAACAATAAAAATTTGCAGCGTGCGCATTAACTAAAAGTGGACTGTGGCCCTTTGTATCAAACTGGCGTCTTCTGTCTCTCATTGCCCATTAGTAGCGAATGGCATGCTCCAGTTGGAAACACCGGTAAATCACTGCGTACTTTGCGCCTCCCCAGGTTTCTCTCTTGAGCGATGCCGCGATGAGCGTCAATGTTGCCGCCAGTGTAAGCGTTGGCGCCTGCTGCTTTGCGTCTACACATGCTTTTCTTTAGCGGGGGATGGCGTAACCTTTTCTTTATCGCATCACTGTTGTGTGCAAAGAATAGTAGCACATGTTTATATACTGCAGCAGGAGCCAGTAGCATGCGAGTCCATATGGTAGGCTACACACAAGGTATAATTTGATCAAAATCCAAGATGTAGTAAATAATTTATGATGATAGTTCTGTTTGATAGTACTAATCCATATCTTCAGATTTTCTCGCTTTAGGTTTTAGCTAATGAAATAGCCTTTTTTATCGTGACCCATAAACTACTTTCAAAACCTGGGTTATTGCCTGCTAAAAAGATGTGCTTTGCATTTTGACATAGGTCACTCTTATTGGTTCAAATGAATTATAGCAGAGACCTTTATGCCGGTGCTGGGCTGTATGCAGTTCAACAGCTCCAATTTCATGTCCCCTATATTGGTCGAATACGCTGTACAGCTCATGATGTCACGTTCCAACCGAGAAAGCAGACATGGCGCCCTCTACACCATCTGTAGGCAGCAAGCAATGCTGCCTACAGCACTTGCAAGCAATGCTTGGCAGATATGTGCATGCATATCCGCCTGTGAAGTTTATAAATTAGCAAAATGCGCAGTTGGCAACAAAGGTTAGAAAGGCAGACACGCCTGATTTCAAAATGTTTTGTAGTTGTCGCACATCATTTGTGGGTAAATATGCGCCTTATTAACGGCAAATCGCATTTAGGCGAAGTTTTCTTGCTTTAACAGGTACTGACGCCTTTTTCGAAGGCGAGTTTACTCTGCCGTACGAATCTCCTGTATCCCGACGGCCATGAGCAAGTGGGACGCTCTGCAACCGCCGATGAGATATTTTATTTTGATCTTAAACAAATTTTCTCGCGGTACACCTATCGACATCGACACTATCTTGACGTCAGGCTAGAGTACTAATCCTGGTGACTTCACGCTCCAGTCTGGCTAGTTGTAATGACATCAAGCACAAAAAAAAGGGGCAGCTGGTGCGTCGCCTTCTGGATCGTCTGCTCGCGCTATGCTGTCGTGCGGTCACTGTCGTCCAGCGTACCTGTGAAGCGAGCTAGCAGAGTCCGGAGTAGCATATGTGCTCGCGAATACAAGATACACGCTTATGAGGGGCCAAAGGAACCGTACGATTTCGAATCTAACGTACCTGCAAAGGGGTCAAATGCAGAATGGTTGGCGGTGTCCACAAGCTCAACATCTTTCTCTCTGATGATGTCGTTGCTGTTGTCGGAAACGGTTGAGAAAAATTTGTTCATCGTTGACGGCACGGCAGTTGCCACCTGTGTGGCGCGCAGCAGGTGATCGAAGAAGCGATGCGTGGACGAGGATATCTCACGAAAACTTGCGTGTGCACATACTATTGCCTGGCGGCGCTGCTCATACTATGTCGTGTTGTCAAGGTACTGTAGGATCCGAAACTAGCTTTTTAAAGCATCCCGTATTTAATTTTTGAGGGTGTACTCATAATTATCTACACATTTCCTAGGCTCTCCGGGGTTCGGCCTATCATTTAATGCAATAAAATGATAAATGAAAAGTTTCATGTCATTACCCCTTTAAAGTGACACTTGAAGTGCCAACAGGCTGAGATTTTTTTTTACACTCCCCAGAGGAGCTCGGCAATTCGTAGAATTGACCGCAACGATCATGTTTGCCAAATATTGCAGCGCTGCGTGCCGCGCAGAGGCTTCATTGTGAAAAACGATTCCTGCGCTACTTTCCTACGCCTGACCAATCTTCATTTGACATGCAGTTACACAATGTAGCTGATGCGCAACTTGAGCTAGCACGCAGTTCGTTGATTGGTCTAAAGCAGTCATGATGACTGGCTACGCCTTCCCCTTCCTACGAGGGTGAAAGGTGGCAAGGCCAAGCGAAAATTTGAAACCAGCTGAAACCGATGTTCTAATCCCTTCAGCTTCTTTAACATAGCACGCATTCACAAAATTCATGTGGTGGCACGTTCATAAAATAAAAGTGCACACATTTCTCTTTCTAACAATTCTTGAACCTCAGGGTTATTTACTGGCCCTTTAAGAGCAAGACGGTTTTTTGTGTGTTAGGTACAACTTCACAATCCCAAAAACACCACTCTTACAGCGACATGAAGCTTGGCGAGCGATAAAACGCATGAAAAGAAAATGTGAGTGGAGACTCCACCGTGAGAATCCCACATCAAACACCGCTGAGTTCATAGACTTTGGTGGCCTCTACTAGGTCCCATGTCGCTTCTAATTGATAAAATTAAAGCTCATTGTGATCTGTGGGTGCCATAGATCTAGCATACGAAGTTTAAAGAAATTCTACCGAAACAGAGTCGGGGAAAATACAAAAGATACATTTTGAAATTTGTTGATTGACGTGCGGAGATTTTGGCGCGAAATTTAAAAATGAAACTTCAACCTTGATTTTGTCCACTAATAATGAACTTGTGACAGTGAAGCACGTGGCATTAAAGTTCTCGGAGTGCAGTTTATCAATCGAAACCAAGTCTTTGTTTCTTTTTAGTGTACCTTTAAGGGCAAGAACTAGAAAATATCACTTAATATTTATTTCAGCATTCTACTGCTCAGTTCCACTTTATTTTTATAGACTTTGTTGGTTTCCAAGTTTGATTGCTTTACTAGTGTCTCTGAATGAACTTGCTCAAAATTTGCCACTCCATCAACTTTTAAGCATGGGTTGCCACCGCCCCGCCGCGGTGGTCTAGTGGCTAAGGTACTCGGCTGCTGACCCACAGGGCGCGGGTTCGAATCCTGGCTGCGGCGGCTGCATTTCCGATGGAGGCGGAAATGTTGTAGGCCCGTGTGCTCAGATTTGGGTGCACGTTAAAGAACCCCAGGTGGTCGAAATTTCCGGAGCCCTCCGCTACGGCGTCTCTCATAATCATATGGTGGTTTTGGGACGTTAAACCCCACAAATCAATCAATCAATCAGCATGGGTTGCCACCACTTCTTTTGGCTGCACAATTGTGAACAATACTTAGCTGTCAAATTTGAAGCTGGATTCACACGACGGATGTGATCGTGGACGGATCAGTCAGATGACATGTTCGCGATCTCTGCGCAACTTGCATTCACACGTCAGCGGAGAAAACCACCCAACGGCGAGGACAGATCGGCCCTACCCTCTCTCCCAGGAGCATACGCGACTGCGCAGACAGCCTTGGCACAATGGCTGTTGAAGATGTAGCAGACGACGAAGACGAGAGCGCACTTCTTCAGTGCAAGAGATCGATCTGGGTTAAGCCATGGCTTATGAAGAAATCTTTTGGGATGCAAAAGCAGCTTTACGAGTAGCAATACTCCGCGACAACTTTTCTTGGCGTTGAAACGAAGGCTAAAGAGCCAAATCACGTGTCCTACAGCCATTGAGTGCAGTTCCACGATACCGCTCCTATTTTCAACATGAAATACAAAAGTTCTTTCATTTCTTTTTTACGTGGAGCTATTTGAGAGAGGACGCAGCACACACCATCAGGGCAGTAGTATTTAACTTTACAGCGTTATCGAACGCGCGAGAAAGTCCAGACTCTCTACGTGTACCTTAAACGCTAAGCGGCGTCTGCATCTACATGAAACGCTGATGGTACACCCCCATCGCTTCCTACAGAGTTACGAGACTCGTGCCGAATCGGACCACTTTGCATAAGGCTACATGTCCAGAAGCTCCACCAAAACAGTGTCGTCGCGTGTATACTAGCCAGTATGGTTCTAGTTCACTATATTCGCCAGCAATCCCGAACAGTACAAAAGATTTTGATTGCATTGTAAAAAACCGCTGTTGCCAGCAGAAGGCAATTTCTCGCCAGAAGTTCTGTATCTTTCGCCGAAATCCCAACTGCGATTCGGGTCCTCCGTTTCATGAATCGCTCCCCACGGACCAGAGGAGCACAGAAACGGGTGGCGTAGTATGCGATCCCTGGTATCTAATGGTTATTTTGTCAGTCGTGTGAATCCAGCTCAGTGGAACATTTCTAATATTGCAGAATGAGCAGAGACTTATTAACAGTCGGCAGAAAGATGAAGAAATATACAGTCTGAAGGGTGTTAATTTTCTTTAATTTTCATCCCTCTGGTCACTTGTGGAATGAAAAAAAAGGGGGTTCAACAAACCGCCGTGCTTGGGAGAGTCAGTTTGACCTACACGACGATGAGGATAGGGGAAAAAAACGTAGCAGTGCAGATCATGTACAAAACAAGCAAGTGCATTTCATTTATGAAAAAAAAAAAAATGCGGAGAATAAAGATGAGGGGTAGAGGAGTTCATTTTTCATTTTTGTCTTGTTTTCCTTCACTCAGACGAGCAGCTTTTCAATTTCTTGCTGGAGGCTCTGTATCTGAGGCTTTAGCTGTGATCCCTCATTGACAGTGACTGAACAGGCGACGACCGGCCTTGAAACACCGCATGCTCGACCCAGGGCTGTAAGTATAAGAGCCAGAAAGGATAAGCGTCAGTCCGGGGCAGTGATCAGCTCACAAATAGTCTAGAGCAGTGCAGTTAACCACACGACTCTAAACGATGAACGACTCGTTGCTTTGTCATTCCAGTAATACCGTAGCACATACGTGAAACCTCACTTATATTCAAAATCACAGATCCCCGAACAATGAGGGAGTACTATAGCTTTCAGCGCTCTTCATCTCCAAACCTACAACTGGGGGCTTCTTAATGCACTCCTGACACCACAACAAAGGAGCGTGCGTGCCTGCCACCTCCATGGAATCTGAGCTGTCGTGGCTACACATTGAACCTTAGCATACAGCAGCAGAAGAATTGAGACGATGTGGTTGATGCTAGACAAAACATTATTCTGTATAGAATCAACGATATAGGAGTATATCAATAATCTATGCCCTTGACGTCAGTTTCCCAGTGAATGAACGCACATTATATTCTTTTTGCAGTTCCCAAGACCACTTACAACACCATTTGAAGGGTGCCTTTGCCCTCTCAAATTGTTTCAACAATCTCTGGTAACTGTGGACTGCTTTTGCATTAATACTGTCTCACTAGATAGACTAGCAATAAACAGTGAAAGCTCGTTAATTCACACCTCATTAATTCGAAATTTTGGATAATTAAAAATGGTCGCCGCAGTCCGGTCCGCAGTGCATAGGAGACCATGTGTAAAACGATTCGTTAATTCGAACAGAAATTGCTGCCTCTAAGGATAATTCGAAGCGCGCGCCACCGAGCGTTATCATCATCAAACACTAGTGGAAGCTTTTACGGTCAAACGATAGGTGGCACGACCAGTTTTTTCGAGCTTCAAGTGGCCTCTGAGCAAAGGGGGAGCAAGGTATGGCCTCCAAAATCCAGGGAGCAATTTTTTTTTTTCCCTAGCCCTCCCGCTATCTCAGCGCCTGGCGCCACTTGTACGCGGGACCCACGGGACGCTGAGGAGCCGGCGGAGTAGTCCTAGCAGTCCTAGGCGCACGTTGTTAGTTCACGCCGTCAAGCAGTCTTATTCCGCATCAAAGTGGCAAGATGCCGCGGGGAAACTACTGCGCGAAGACTGTCAAGGAGAAGGTGGAGATTTCGCGAAAGGTTGACCAAGGGAACTCGAGCAAATACGAAATTGCGAGGAAGCACGGCATACCTCCAAGCACGTTGTCAACCTACATTTGCAACAGGAGGGCCATTGAAAACGCCTATGAAGCCGAGGATTTTGGCGCCAGTCGAAAAAGGCTAAGAACAGCGAAGTTCCCGGAACAGGAGTCAGCTTTGATTATCTGGGTTAAAGAAATGAAAGCCCAGAGTATCGCATTGAGCGGCCCCATCATCGTGGCCAAGGCAGCCGATTTTGCCCTGCACTTGGACATTGAAGACTTTGTCGCCTCCGAGGGATGGTTTCATCGTTTCAGGGAGCGGCACAATCCCGTATTCCGCACGTTATCTGGCGAGGCAATGGAAGTGGACGCCGAAACATGCGCTACTTGGAGAAGCGACACCCTGCAGCAGTACTTGGAGAGCTACTCACCACAGGATGTGTTTAACGCTGACGAGATAGCGTTATTTTTCAAGTTGCAGCCAAACAAGACGATCACCTACAAGGGAGACAGCTGTGCTGTTGGCAAGCGCAGCAAAGAGCGTGTCACTGTTCTGGTCGCCGCAAATATGACCGGTACGAAAAAGGTCCCCCTTTTTGTGATTGGCAAAGCACTCAAGCCGCGGTGCTTCAAAAACATTCGCTCACTGCTGACGGAGTACGCCGCAAACAAGAAAGCCTGGATGACAGGTGACCTATTTAGGAAGTGGCTACTGAAATTCGACAGGCGAATGGAACTGGGCGGCAGACGCGTTCTTCTTGTCGTCGACAACTGTTCGGCGCACAAAGTCGACTTTGAGCTGAGAGCAACTAAGTTGGTGTTCCTTCCGGCAAATACGACTGCGGCCCTACAGCCAATGGACCAGGGTGTGATAAGGAACATTAAGTGCTTTTATAGGCGTCACGTGCTGGAGAGAATGATTTTGTGCGCGGGCGACAGGAAGGACTTCGGCATTACGCTGCTCACTGCCATGCACAGGTTGGTGCGCGCATGGGAACAGGTGACCGCGACCACAATCGCAAACTGTTTCCGCCACAGTGAATTCGCAGCTGGAAGTGCACAGGATAGTTGTGACGTCGACGTGGATGGGGCTGAGGAGCTCATGCCAGTGGCATTGCGCGACACTCTTCGGGCCGTACGTTTTGCCGATTATGTTGAAGTTGACACCGGTGCATCGGTGTGTAGTGCCCTGACTGATGCTGAAGAGCCAGAAGGTGAGGAAGACGAAAATTGCGAAGCGCCTGCGCCCGTCAGCTTCTGCGGTGATGGAGGCACTTAATGTGGCGAGTCTCTTCTTCAGCTTTGAAGAGGGTGAAGAGGACTCCCTGCGCCACGTCCGCGCGCTGGAACAGGGAGCCGCAGCTGTGGCATTCAGAGAAAAGAAGCAGATGGTCATCACCGACTTTTTTGGCCAATAAATATTTTTTTTTTTGTGCCCCCACCCCCGAAATCCACCCATTTTTGCTCACTTTCATTATTTCGAATTTTGTTTAATTTGAAATCGCTCAGCGTTCCCGTGGAATTCGAATTAACGAGCTTTTACTGTACTATAGAAAGGGTTTCTTCGATTTGCCTGTATCGTATAAACAAGTTCACGATAAAGAGTTGAGCTTCTTGGTGCACGCATGACTACGTTCGATTAGGCTCCACTGCTTTTAACCAATACTCAAAAGTGCCACACTTTGTTTGCGGAACATACTCCATGCAAACGAGCAAACTAGAGAGCTCGTGAACCACACGAAAGATAATATCCGGGCCGCGAATGCACCCTGCGTTTGGCAGGCACAGCAGATGCTGTGCCTGCCCGAATCGGCACCGCAACTGGGGGAGGTGCAAAAAAATTTGCGCGGTTGCCCCGTGCCTTTGTCGAAACAAAGTGTGGCTCAGGACTATTGCTACTCCTCGTACACTAGTTCGGGCGGTACATGCAAATCGAAGACGCCCAGTCATTGAAATGCAAAAGCTAAATAGAATCATAGTATTACTCACCATGCTTGGACCTCACAAACACATATGGCACATTCTGGAACAAGAAAACAGGCACTGCAGTTAGAGTGGCAACACTAATAAAAGGCGAGTGAGAAAAGATTACTAATTGCATGCACCCATCTTGGTGCAAGCCTGCACTTCATTATTATTATTTTTTTAAAGATCTCAATTCGGCTTTTCTTTCTGTAATGTTGCGAAGAAGTGCTGGTCCAGGGTACTGCAACAACACCTTCGTCATACACTATTCAGCTCTTGTAGCGCAAAACAAATGCGAACGCTGTGGGTCTACGTTTTGGAGCTAGTGAACTTTATTATTATTATTTTTTTAAAGATGTCAATTCGGCTTATCTTCCTGCAAGGTTACGAAGAAGTGCTGGTCCAGGGTACTGCAACAACACCTTCGTCGGATACTATTCAGCTCTTCTTGCGTAAAACAAATGCGAACGCTGTGGGGTCTGCGTTTTGGAGCAAGTTGGCGTAGCGTTATTAGCGCAGCACACCTAAGATACAGACGACACAAAGGTATGGTCTATGTCTTATTCCTCACATGTGCCAAGCTAATACAAGCTACGTTTGCGTCTAATGCGTGCTGCCAAATCCCACCACCATCCAGTGCAATATGTGATAACAGTCACGGTGCTTGACCCAACAGTCACGGCATCAAATCCCGGCCGTGGCAGTTGCATTGTTATGGCTGCAAAATGCCTGTAGCCCATGTGCTTAGATTTGGATAATGTTGAGTAACCCTTGGTGATGAAATTTCCAGAGCCTTCCACTATGGTGTAATCCCATAAAGGGGCAATTTCGGGAAGTGCAAACCCCATAACTTGCAAATTATATCATGGGCAACCAATCAGTACGCCTCGAGCTGGAATTAATAAATGCTGCTAGTGTGCACGACAAGATTGTTTCAGATGTACGACATAGCTCAAACCGTCGTTGCACTTTCACTCCCAGTTTGCACGAGTGCAACGTCTCGCAAACAAAACTCCTAAAGTGTTGCACATGGCACTTTTGAAAACAGATGCCAAAAGAGAAGGGACCTTATGTGACTGCCAGGCAATGCATTAAAACATGCCGCAATGTAAAGCTCACCTTGTCTTCGCATAGAAGCGGCAGGTGTAAGACGATTTCCAGAGGCGTTGCATCGGCGGCCATGACGATGATTTCGGCGAGCCCTCGGTTCAGAGCCTTTGTGGCTGAAAAATAAGCACAGATAAGAACTTTTGTAAACTCAAGACGTGGTGTTTCAAATGAACACACTGTTTTTTTATGTTGCCTATCACGGTTGAACTGCTAGATGTGTGCAGACAAAAACTTGTGTTAGAGCACAGGGAAAACATGGAATTAAGTCTTGCAAACTGTCCGTGGAAATTGACAAAAACACTTGCAAGACAGTGTTGCTCTAGAACTATTACAACATTGAATGCACGATCAATTTTTTTTGGAGAAGTACTATTGAAAATAAGTTACTGTTGCGTAGCAGGTTTCCACTAGCCAGTCTGGTTGTACACCTGCACACATGATGTACATTGCTGAAATGCGGCACAATACTCGACACTGGAACCCGAACAAGCACAGCTGACAAATACTCCCGATATGAAAGCACATTTTCTGGAAATACCCGGGAAAATTCGGCAAGCTCGGACATTTCGTTTAGTATGGAGTTTAAAAATACCAGGAGAACGAGATTTACACGATAATCGCCATCGTCAAGTCAATTGTACATTTGACTCGACGATTAAATCGGAGGTGTCCGTCACCATCAACAAAGGTAACTTCACTTTTAAGTCAACTCTAACCTAACCATGTTAGTGGTTCAAGACAACAGTGCTTAGTAACTCAAAGTGATTAAAGACGATGCTTCCAATGAGCAGACGACTGCATTATTCCAATGAGCAGACGAACTTACCTTCGTTGGCGCCTTTCCTCATCTGCTTGTAGTTTGTGGCCTGCTGAACGATGTTCAAGATCTTCGCCGTCAGTTCGGGATCGGCCAGCGGGTAAGCCTTTGGGTTGACTTCGTCGGTCTGCGGTTACAAACAATTCGAACATTTAACAAAAGCGAAGATGACGTTCCGGTATCGCTCTTTAAAAGTCGGTGCTCGTCAGAGACTTCCGCGAGCAGACGTCGTACGTTGAAGCCTTCGCGTTAACTTCAATGCACACAGGGTCTATTTGGCCAGTCGAAATTTCCTAACATGCGCTACGGAATAAGAGATCGACGGGCAAGTTGGTTCGGGTTCATAATTGAGATAAAGACGGCGCTAGATTGAATACAAACGGAACGTGAACACGACGGACATTCGCTGCACTCCCAACTGCAACTTGGTATTTGTTCAAGCTTTGCCCTTGCATCATTGCGTTCCACAAGATGGAAACTTATGTTTAAAACGTCAGGTACCAATGTGTAACTACCCAATAATGTGAGAAATTAATGCGAAGTGGCTATAAACCTCGCTACTTGAACGGAGGTGCGAGATTCGGACATACTGACGGGGGCATACGCTGCAAATAGTGCGGGATTTCACGTCACGTTTTGATTGCGCGCCAACTCTGTTGAGGTGACTCGCTCGGACAGTTGCGTCGCGAACGGTGAATTGGTGCTATGGTTAAAAAAAAAAAAAAAAAACGCGCTCGTAAACAAAATGCGCCACGAATGGCGCCAATGTGCACGCGACAGCCACGCTGAAGCAAACCGCGATAAAGAGGTAGATCTACGAGTACAGTGCGGACAGCGCGAGTTTAAGCGTCACTGTTTTTTTTTTTTTTTTTGAAGCTTCGTTTGGAAAAACTTAACACGTGAATCGGTGCCTTGCCGCAATATACTGCTTGTAGGCTTACGACTGCGCGGAGTCCGCTCAACTCCGAAACGTGGGGCGACTTGAGAACTCACCATGTTTTGTTAGGACTCCACGGGTGATCGCTAGCCTTTCCCTCTCGAACGGTTGTGGGCCAAGCGCGCTGAATTAACGCGAAATGTCACGAACAGAGAAAAATGATGTTGATCAACGACTCGTGGTTTACCGGCGGCACCCACGTGTTGTTGGCGTCGCGACAGTGGCGCCACGCACTGGGTTGACAACTAGTTTGAGAACTAAGAGTTCTGGGTGGCCAGATTTGTTTTAGTTGTCGCTGCGTTTAGCATTGTATTTTTTTATTGCTAAGGTGCTTCATGAATTTTGATCACTAAAGCTGCAAGATGCTGAATATGCTGAGTGTGTGTCATTGGCACTGCGTGAATATGTTATCGCTTTAAACACCTCTCATGACAGCTGCAAATCTCAAAGGTCATGCTTATGTGTACTGAAAGCAGCAAAAACAAGTCTCTGAGGCAGTGCTTTCGATCGTTAAAAGCGCCGGATTCATCTGCAATCCAAAAGCACTGTTTACCCTCCATACGTGTCTGTTGGTGATCTCAAAACTATAATTATGTATAATAATTGTGCTGCCAAAGTAATATCTCGTAAAAACGGAGCGTTTTCTTCCTCCGTGCCCGTTAGTGACTTGCGAAGCCGTATACTGGTAATTTGCGTCATTGTGCTTTTCAACTACATGTGTACGTGATTTACAAAGATAGCTTTATTTGTTAAATATTTAATTTAAAGACTGCGACATTCTGAAGTCGGAAAGGCCAAAGGCCTAGCCCGCTTTTTCAAGATTTTTGTACAGATCTCGAAAACTACGCTCATGCGTGCCACCCAATTGCTTCATAAAGCATTTGTTTTCTTTTTAAATAAAATATATAGATAGCTTTGTGAAAGTGTCTCGTTTATTATGTTTGTGAGGATGAAAGCAATTAAAACTGCGTCAGCTGTAATCTTTGGCTCTTGCTCAACGTTACTCGATGCAGCTCTGGCTGCGGACGAGAACATGGCCTTCGAGATTTGTTTTTACGTCGAGCTATCATAGGTCTAGATTGCAATCACAGATTTACAGTTTTAGCCAACAGGCTACTTGGTGAATAGGCTAGCTTGATAGACACAATACTATCACCGAAGCTTTGATTGGACTTCTATCACGTCTCGCCTTTCGGTTTCGCTTGCTTATACGTCATAGACGCCATGTTTTCGAAGGTTTCTTGGAAAGTTCGCTTCTTCTAATGGCGCAGCGTAGTGCAGTGAAGATGGTTCTCAACTCGTAGTACCACCATTGTTTCGTGGAGGAGTTTGTCAAAATGTGATGTGCTGCGGAGGCGTACATGAAATCCTCGTCAAGAGATAGCTTATTCCAGACCTTCGAGTTATTGCCGTTTTCTTTTTTTTCAATTTTTGGCTTTCCCGGTCGAGTGTCATGCATTTTTAATTTTTTTTTTTGCATTTGGCGTGATGATGAAGACTTACAGAGGGATCTGCACGTACGCGTCTGGAATTGCGGCATCGAAAATTACATTCGAAAGAACTTTATGTAGTGCGAGGCGAAACACGCAAACAGGAAAGGTGCAGGTGGACAGGACATAGCGCTCTGTCCTGTTACGTGTTATGCAGTGTAGCTGGTCTAGCAGTGAGCGGTGGCGGCATGTGCGCCTCCGTAGGTCTCGTACTGACCCGTGGCGGCGAATAACCGTGCTCTGTGCTGAGTTGTTAGCTACGCGATGTTCTCCCGGTGGTTATTGTACACCTAGCAACGTTTACAAACCCTCTTGAGTCTTGTTAGCTACAAGACTTCAAGAGGAGCGGCATCGCGCGCAGCACACCCACCGTCAACACATGCACTGCTAGCACAGCGGCGCGTAGGCTTAGAAGTGTGGCAGCTTGGGCTAGTCGGTATGGCATGACGATAGTTATAGCGCGAGAACAAAACGACGACACAGAGACAAGTGTCTTTCGTGTCCTTCTTGTCTCTGTGTCGTCGTTTTGTTCTCACGCTATAGTTATCGTCAGGCGCGTAGGCACGTCGCGGAGGTACCCAGGTATGTCGGGAGAGCGAGAGCATACGCAAATGCGGCGGAAGTGACTTTACATGAACATTAGGTCCGTTCGATTCACCTGCACCACGTGAACCAGTTCACGGGGTGCTGCACTTTGCCATTCGTTTTAGTGGTGCAGCATTGACGACCTTTGAACCCTGTCATTCGTTTCAAAAGGTGCAGAAAAGGTGCACCACTGGTTCAAGATTTTCCTGCACCTCCTACGCTGACGGTGCCGGCTTGGTGCAGCCGCATGTGCAGCTGAGCAGACGACGCAGCACTTTGGCGTAGGTGGCTTAAATAGGCGTCATACCCGCCTCTACAAACGCGGTGTGTTTTGCCAATATGTTCGCGCTTCATAAACTGTCCATATGTGTGGTTCGCCATCGTTCAGTGTTAGCTGTACGGTGTAAATTAAGCGAAGAGAAATAAAGCCTGCACACTGTTGGCACATCGTCATTCTTTTCGGGGGTCGCGCTGTGCCTGCGCCGCTGAACTCACGCTGCACAATTTCTGAACTTCGCTTGCACAGCCGTGAACTGGTTCCAATTGGTGCAGGTGAATCGAACGGACTTATTATGTATAACCATGAGTGTGCCGTGTGGCGGATCAAGTATTCGAGTGCTCAGCGAAATTGCGTTCGTGCACCATGAGAATGGAACCACGACGAACGCATTGCAGGTAATTAATGGTTGCGCAGTGTTTCTGTTTGTGACAACGGACGAAACATTTCTGCTGAGGACATCATGTGTGCGCATATATGTAGTTTCTTGTCTGATATGCGTACAGTAACAACTTGCGTGTGCGTGTTAGAGCGCCTTTTCTGCTTCGCTTGATATGCTCGGCCCTTCGGCATGTTAAAGCAACCACGTTCAAGCGTCATTGGCACCGTGCTCGAAGTCACCGCGGCTGCACAATGCTGACGCCGGTGAGTTTAACGTGGAACGCTGGCACGGCGAGAGGGCGCCACGTAGGCCGCGTGAACGACCGTAGAATGCGGCGCCCGGCCAATCGTGTTGTCTGTGAGGTCCGCGAATTAATGACGTCAAAACACCGGCACCACACTCGCTGTTGTCAATGCATCGAGCGCGCGTTCTCTTGTGCTTGCTTCGTTGTCGGCGAATCGGTGCTTGCTGTCGACACTCCGACTAAATGATTTCGCCAACGGTGTCGCGCTGGCCTAGCGTACTTTTCAAGGCGGAGAGAGAGTCGTGCCTCCTGCTTCACACTCGGATGTAAACAAGAGAGGAGAACACGGTGTTGGAAGGGTGGAGGAGAATGTGCCCAGTCAATATGACCGACTTCCGGCTTCAGCACGGCTTCACAACGAGTGACGTTAGGGCGCCTCCTCAATTGTTTCCTTGCTCCGTGCGTCACGATAACTTGCTCCAGCACGTCACAAGAAGCTCACACCATATTGTGACGTCACGGTACAGTACCAAACGAAACTAGCTTTTAAAGTAATGCTGTAACTAATTTTTCAGAGTGCACTCGCGCTTATCTGTGCACTATCTAAGCTGTTGAGGGCTTGGCCTTTCATACGACGCCAAAAAAAAAAAAAAGGCTGCTGAAAATTTTCGTCGACTTTGGGCTTATGGCGTAGTTACTTGGGTATATGGCATAGTTTGTTGATATAAGAGAGGGTACTTTGAGAAATAAGTGTAGATACCTGGCCGCATGGCTCACGTGTCAAGAGACCCGACTACAGATACACAGCATTTCTGATCATGCTGAAAGAGGGTTATTTCATCTGTGCACACCTCTTTGACGTATGCATCTTTGCGAGCTTATAATTGCACAATTCGGCGTTTAGATTACATGATGTGAAGATTGCAGTTAAAAGGCCTTTGCGCAGTACATTTTATTGTTGTTTAGTTTGAAAGAAAAGAACAATGAATGAAAAATTCTAAATGAATACACACGAAGCAGTTGTGTAACTTGGGCATCTGCAGTGGATCCTGAAAGTCATATTTGTTCTAAATATGTGCTTGGTAACGCGATTTGTTTTACAAGTCTGATTCAGCGTGGCACTCTCGGGACGGCTTTAAGCTCTCCCATAGTAGAGTACCCTGTGCTCTAAATCGTTACCCCCTTTTTCTAACCCCCTCCCCCCCCCTCCCGTGCGAGACCCACGGGACGGTCTGTGCTCTCCCATTGTAAAGTACCAAGTACTCTAAATCGTTACTTAACAAAGAGGAAAATGCTCAACGGCAAGTCATTGGTATCGCCCTGAACGCCGCCATTG